GATCCTAAAGATGCCGGACCTGTTACCTTGTGCATACGCCTGGGCCTTGCCGAGATCAACTTGAGCGTTTGGAGAAAGTCTGTCCCAACTAACTCTGATAGACAACCCGCTTAGAGATGAGATGATACTCACTACTACAATTTCTATCGTGTAACATTTTACGCCGTCTTCCTTCAAGCCCGCAGGAGTCTTAGGGTACAACTTGATGCTTGATGACGCTAGCCAACCCGGGTTCTAAGCTGAATCAGGAAGCAGAACTAAGACAGAATGCGATTCCGCTTGCAGTGAAGCCACATGCGGTGGACCAAATTAGCCGCTACCTGGTGCGGCTTGCACTAGCTGCCGTATCGTACATAGTACAAGCTCTGGGCAATTATATAGATGACGTTTTAATCATAATATGCCTCTCTATCTCATCGTATAGCAACCCGGTCTTTCCTATGGCACTGCAGCTGATGGCTCGCTTGTAAATAGGTAATGTATAGTCGATGCTACCATCTGACCGTCAAAGTCGTTAAGGGGAGGGAAAATGAGTAAACCCTGTCATATATTCTAAGCCTAGGGGTATTGCGAGACCGGTTGAATACCGGGGAAGTCAGGCTCGTAGACACGAACTGGGTTAAGACGCCTTAGGCTATGCCACATGTGGGAACACTACCAAGGTAGGTCACCTTCCTGGCTCGAGCTCGGAAGAAGCAATTCGACTCTCCCTGCATCAACGGTCTAGACGGGCTTGACGCCCAATCAAACCCCAACTGCTCGAAGCCAAACTCTGCACGACGGACCGGTCCATTTGAGGGGTTCCAAGTATTTTGAGCGGTGACTTGTTGCGGGATGCACTGTAATAGGACAAGCCCCAAAACTACTGTATCGGGGAGATACTGAGCAAAGAATAAAATATGAGACAAGATCGAAAATGTTCTGGGACAAAACGTGGTTCGGTGCTGCTCCTTTAATCTGTTTCAGGGTTCGACGTCTCGCTGGGTTTGAGGGACGCCGAATGCAACGCTGCACATACATGAGACCACGGTAAAGAGATCGTGCTAAACCTTTATCCGCTAGAGGAGAACGGGTAACCACACGTTTGGGAATAAAATTTCCAGAATGTGGGGAGTTCGGCGCGACTCCGAGTGCGCTTTTGATATAGACAGGGCAACTATATTATAGAACCGGGGATGAGCTCCAGAGTCAGTTTGGAACGCACGATGTCACAGTACATAGATTAAATCTATGGGATTAAATCTATGGTGTAGGTATGTATGGTACGGGCTTAGGTTGGCCGCAGAGTATTCTCCAGTCCTCGGTTCGACAGTGACACAGCTTGTAACAGCTGGGTAACGCCAAACCCGCAGCGACTCAGGGAGAAAGCTTCAAACATGCAAGCAACATGAAGTTAGGGCATCGAAAGAATGCGCGTAGAATGTTCGACGTCGGCGGTTTATCGGCTGCTTCACCGGTTCTGGAAATTCATTCGTGAGAATCTCAACGTGCTTCCTGCTTGGGACTCCTGAACCACGAAGCGGTATATGCTGGGACGATGGAACGCGCTTGACAGCCGCCTCGTGTTCCAATCCAACCCGAACCTCACTTGTAGGTGCGGCCTTGAGCGGAGAAGAGGCCTTTCAGGGCAACTTGTTCCACTACAGTAAGTGTAAGGAGCAAATTCCTGGTACAGTACGTAACTCCCCACGTCGCTTGGCGCCGCGAACCAGTCAATATATTTCCTGGTCTTTAGCTTGGGTATTAATTCACCGGAGGAGGTCTGGTTGGCAGTCCTAGCGTAGCCTTCCCTGCTCATGCCACGCCGATCTTCTTAGGGCCCAAGTGGAATCGAAGGGCCGCCCCGGACCTCCTATCTAAGCCCCTTTTATTCTTGTACCGCCCGGATGGTACCAGTTGCCGGCCCAACGGCTATGGATCTCTCAATTTTATTAGACCCAGATGCTGTCACGGGTATTTAGGGCAATAATCATCGTGGCCTTTTCGAGCAATGTCCTTTAGCTAGTGTACCTTGAGGTATTGTTCGGGATAAGTCTGCTGCAAACTACGTTTTTGCTCAACGGCCGGGGAAGTCAAGGTCCAGATCCTATCGGGGGTGACAGACGAAATTGGTCCCTGCTGAAGAAAATCTCCGTCTGGTTGGCATAATAGTCCGGCGGCATTTTACGCATAAATCTTGTAATTACGGATTGATCGTGTGCGACATAATCGTCCAAGGATCACATTTTGATCCAGGCGCATAAAAATATTCCGACTAGGCGAGATGAATTATACTGCTCTTCTAAATGATATTCTTATATATCGTCATCACATTGACGTGAGGGCAACTCGGAGTTATCCCGGGGTCGTCGTTTTTGATCGTAGGTACATACACTGCCGACTAACAAACGTTAGCGTATAGACCAAACGACTTTTGATTGTCCCGTCCTACCATCATCTCCACTAGTAGTAACATATCTGACAATAACTTAGTTAGGACTAGAATGTACTAGGGTTGCTATGCATATCGGTTACATCTTGTGGGTACGGTGATACGAGTACGGTTGATATACATTTGCCTCGGCTTTGCAAATACAACGGTTGTAAATGGTTTGTGAAAGGTTCAACGTTGGTATTGATGTGAACACTTGTTTATCCGGAACTGAACGTTGATCACAAGCAGGATTGATGGTGACATATCCAGTAGACATGAGTTTAACTACTCAGAGTAGTCTCTATAATAGTGTTACCCTATGTTGTCATCTATAGTCGCCGACGTGCAATATGTGCTCCGCAAGCTTAGACGATATACAATATTAGGGCGGGATCGTTGGTTCTGTTTGTAAGATGACGGCTCTGCGGCTTCTTTGAACTTGACCAAGTGGATGCTTCTATTGTATGATTATGATCTGTGCCTCTCCCATTGGGACGGTCCAAGGGGTTTAATAGAGTGCTTAAACGCGAATGATCTACCTTCCGGGCGGGAGCACTAACTGTGCCGGTACCTAGCCGCCACAGACCGCCCAATGCTCTCAGGAGAGGGCACTTTTATATTCCGTACATAGTTAAGCTTGTAAAAGCCCCGCAAGGCCAATAACGTCCGATATATTCGCACAGACCAAGTAATAACCTGGCACCGAGGATTGACTCTTTACTCAGAATCGTGCGGCAATATTGCATGCTAGACAACGGTCGCGTTGTAGTATCCGACCTAGTAGAGTTAAATATCTTTGGGTACCTAAACTGTACTCTAGTCCTCTTCAGAACTTCGAGCGAGGTAAATATTGAGAATATTGACTGATGCGGATGTGAGCAAATGAAACCCCAGCCTAGATATATCCACTGGCGACAGCTTGAATGATTAAATTTTGACCGCCTTTGGAGGTAACCCCTTACGCATCTCTTTGAAGCGTTGGACTCGGACAGCAATTATTGATATTGGACGGCTTATTGTGGCAAGGATGGGGACAAGGATGTCAGCCGTAAATGTGTCTGTGGGTGTATTGAGAATCTCGGTTGATAACCTTGGCGAGCAAAGAGCCTCTGCTGTACGTGTACGTATGTAGTGTATGTACATGGTAGCGACATCTTTCCCACACGATCTGATCTGGTTGGGGTCCGGAAGAAAAGCCCTTGTCCAAAGTAATGACTTGAAGGGGGCATGACTTGACTTTCTAGGACATAGGTCCACTTAGAATATTAGAATAGGAGGTCAATACACACCGATGTGGATAAGATGAGACAGAGCGCTGGGGCAGAAGTAGGGTTGCCATGTGCTATCTCCTGCTTGAAATAATTCAATGAAGATGACGCAAGACGAAATGGTTGTAAAGGTGAAGAGTTTCTATTAAGGCAGGGAAAGACAAGTAAAGGTTACACAAGTAGATACGCTATTGTAAGGTACCTTAGGTGCAGGGAAAGTACCTATAACCTATGGATTATTCGGGAAGGTGCATTGGCTTCTGCCACAACCGCAACTTCCAAGCCCACCACGGGAAGAGTGAGGCGTTCCGGGAGCGGAAAATCAACCTAGCACTTACGTCTTTTAGATAGGTACTTATTACTTATTACATACTTGAATTAAATATATGATAAAGATTAGGTACAATACCTAAAGTAATAAGTAACGGTAGTTCATCACTTACCTACCTAGGAATTATACACCTTTATAGGTTTTATAGGCTTATAGGTTTATAGGTTTATACTACAGCCTCATACCCGACTCGGACATTAAATTACCTTTATTAGTTGCGCAGCTATACCCGTCGACGCGTTGCGCCATCTGGAGGTATCTCCTTTACGGGAGACCGGCAATGATTTTTCCGGCTTCTTAGCTGAGACCTGGAGATCCAATGCCTGCTGGATGCTCGGGCGCTGGTGGTGCGGGTAAGATGCATGTGGCTTACGGGAGCGTTCGGCCTAAATTATTCTAAGATCGCTCGATATGATTAATATTGCAGAGACACACTGGGGAAAAAGCGCCTTTGCTTGAAAAGAAAAATCTCCGAAGTTCCGGCTCAGATCTCCAAATAGCATGCTCTTATCATTTAAACCATTACTATAGTACGCCTATATGTAGACTAGGCTTGCGCATAAGTCGGCTCGCATCTTATGCTCCCACGTTTTATTATTCGGCTGGTCCCTGTCAATAGTAAGCCCTAAGGTACATACATACCTACATATAAGGTACATACATATGTGTATGCATGTATATGTACGTATATACCTAGGTAGGTATGTATGTACGAAGTATGGATTAGATATACGGGTTACATATGTATAATTTGATGACGATACTTTGTCAAACGTCCCTTAGGTACTGGGTTTATAAGGTTCGCTGATCCACGGCCAGCCACCCAAGGCGCAACGGTGTTGGGTAGCGAAAGACCAAGAGAGAGCTACATAGTACATACCTACCTTCACTACATACCTATACGTACATCCAGGAGAGAGGCTTCTGCACATGCCGGAACGCATCATGCATCAAGGTCCCATCCCATGTGGAGATCATGGCTGTAATCTTAAGTCCAGCTGATCTCGGGTGAAAATTTGCGGTGTACAAAGTAACGGGTGTACGTATTATCGAGAAAGAAGCACACGACGTCGAGATGTTGGCGCTGGTTGGCGCTGAAAACGGCTGTAATTTGGACCGCCGTGATTAGCAGATATTCGAACGCGAGAGCGGTGATGGTTATTTTAAGCTCGTTCCATGGGTTTTGACCTATCCCAAAATTATAAACCCACATGCCCCGGTCTGTTAGGTGATTAGAATGGGGTTTTCCATTTCTAGCTGCACTGTATTCTCTAGTATTCTCTAGTATCCTCTAGTTATCCCGTACTATTACACATGCGCAATAAAGGCAGCTATCGAACCACAGACGGCCGAACGGATCTAGAAGCACGATTGGCCGTTGTCCGGTCAGTGGTGGTGAATCTTCAGACATGAGATGAAAGACTAGTGGTTCGTTTCCTTGGTGGCCTCAGAGAGTGAGGATATGGATTAGGTATTGGACTATTGAACTCGGGAGACGAGACGCTACACGGCAGCAGAACGCCCTGGCAGATCTCGGTCCAGATTGAAGGAGCTCCATCTCCAAGGCTCGATGGGGTTTTGCGGGGGTAACCGTATCAAGTTTGAGGCCTCAGATGCCACTTCTTCCCGCAGTGTCTTAGCTACGACGAGTTTAAACTATAACGAACTGGGCAAAGAGCATTTGTGACCGGGCGCGCCAGAGCATCAACGAAGCGCCATATTCCTCCGCGTACAATCGTTCCGGTGGCGTCTCAACGCTTCATCCACCATCTGAGACAATGGCCTACAGGTTGGTGGGCGCGGGCGTCCAAGTAAAAGATCCGCAGGCGCTTATAAGATGGGCTTAGGCCAATGGCGGGGATCGCCCGGAAGCTTTAATCCCTAAACCAAGTACTATGTAGAAGACCAAGAAAACGAGTCGTAATAGATTTGACAAAACGCTCAGCTTTCTTGTATTATTGACGAAGTTCAACCCTGGAATTTTGCGGGACCGAAAAGGACCCTGGCTGCTATGTAAAGATTTGCCTACGTTCATCTCTGTAAGCCCAGCCTGCTGTAGGCAGACAACCGCGTCAGGTTATTTCGTATGTGTAGGTATGTAGTGTGTTGTGTTGTATTATAAGAGGTACCCATGTATATGCTTGGCTAACCTTTGTCGAAATAAGGCGGTGGGCTATGAAGTCTACGCCTGATACGTACATAAGGTGCTGATGAGCCATAAGCTCAACCGCGTCTAGACGGCAGGCCGGGATGCAAGGACAGGCATTACACCGGCATAATGGGCCAAATTATCATAATGTTAGTCTGGTCCCCGGAGAATGGACGCGATATGAAAGTGCAACTCTGTTGATAGACGCATTGACGATGATCATTAATGTAGCAGTGATGTAGCAGTGGTCTGTTGAGGGTCGCGACTTTTCGACCTACATATTCCCAATGTTGACCGTAATGTTGACCATAGTTTGGAGAGGTCAAATTAAAGAGCAGGAGAGGTGAGATAGCGTGATGGCCATGTTGACTGGTTGGCAACGCATTCAAACGCCATCCAAACTCGTCAGAAACGCGGTTAGCGTGTAATCTGTAGTTTATTTATTAACTAACCGTCTGGGCAAACTGCCCAGTGCCCAAGGTGTACAACAGCTGATGAGCCACAATATAAGAGACCGTTGTATCGTTGTATGACCACATGGCAGACCCGGATCTGAGCAGCCGCATCCCAGCCACAATCCACCTTCGTACACAATCTGGTACGCAGACGGCAAGTATCTCATTAGCAGCCCTATCTTAAGATGTAGGTAGACTAACAGTTATTATTGTGTATCCATATATGAGAAAAACGCCAATGCTGGATACTACCCGCTTGGCCTAGTACAGAATAGAAGATATATATTATGAGGTTCGTGGTATATAATACATAATTGCCATGTGTTATACGTTGCATGGTAGGGAACTACACTACCGCAATAGTCGTCGTTAGCGGGATCACACCGTCACATTTGGTATTTCTAGACCAGATTTGTATTAATTATGTATACGACTGGGAGGCTTGAGAGATGCTAGTCCCCTCTAATTAAGATACTGTTGTAGTCTTTTTTGAGAAACGAGGCTTACTTACCGTCGAACCTGTCAAGCACGTCGAGGCAGATACCGGGCTCTGCCGGATTGCGCGATGCGGAATAGTCTGGAGAAAAGTCATCATCTCTATTTATTATTAGCGGCGAGCTCAGAAATGCCACCCGTAGATAAACTACCTACTAGGTAAGGTACATATATTTTTTCTGCTAATTAAGTACCAGGTCGCCGATGGAGCCCGTATGTATTCTTTACCCTTTCGGGATCATGCGTCAACACGCTTACCCGGTTCTATCTAGCACACACATGTCACTAGGTCTGGGTAGAATAAAACTAATCCCAAATTGATGTGACCTCGCACATAAACCCCACGCCGATCACCGCAGGTCCTGAATCCTTTTTCAAGGCTGGGCTTTCTTAGTTTGAATGCTTAGCTCTTCTTCATCGAACAAGTCTCTGGGGAAATGAGGCGTCATGTTAGCATCTAGCACATACATACTAAGGCATTGAAAGCTCGGACGATGTGACTGTCGATCCTCGCATCGCGCCGTACGTACATACATATGTACCATGATCGATAGTCCTTTTTCTCTCTCTCTCTCTTCTCTACCCCTGCTCTGACGTTCGTCATTGCTGGGCAGGGGTGAGGGGGGACGGCTTAAGAAAGTACCTAAGATAAGAAGTTAAAAGACACGATATTATGGTCGGCGTGAGCGAGGATCAGCCATTGAACCAAGGGCTTGATTAGGCACACCCATTAGTAGACACCTAATAGTATAGTATAGTAATGTAGTATATACTACGTATATCCATACCTCTCGTCATCTCACTCTATTCAGGGCTAGTCGTATGCAGTGTAGAATGAACAATAACACCATGCAAGGCTAAGAATAAATGGAGCATCATCGTATAGTATACTGTATTGTATAGGTACCTCCTATGCAGCTATGTACAAACTTTTTCAATAATCTATACTTTGAAATGTTGATGCATGAACTCGGCAGGCCTTCCTTGTCCCCCTCGACCAATCCTGGCTTGGCCCATGCAGAATTGATCGAAACCCAGAACTTGGTATGTAGTACCTGCAAGATTTCCCCATGTCGATTGCCAGTTGATTATCTAGAAGAAATGTGCTTACAATACGAGGTGAAATGAAATACAATCAAAATTTTGACTTCATCACATCCCTCAAATAAGATCCATCCACCTCAGATGCGACAATCATCGTAGAGCCGCCGCTAAGGAACTGCCGCCGGTTAGGCACGCGGCCAAGTCCCTTCAAAGTCCGGTTCCGCTCAAGCCTCCCCTATTATTCGGACCCATGCCGCCATGCTGCCATGCTGCCATGCTACTGTACTCACGGGGGGAGTTTTTATTCTGCGGCCGTAGATTATCCACCATTGAAAATTCAAGACTCACCCATCTCCGTACGGAGCAGGAGGAGGTTATGTTGTATATACCATCGCACACCGTAATTCCTTTCTTGCCACGTACTGCTTCGTATGTACGTGAGAGGTAGGAGAGTCGAGGTCGGTGAGGTTCAGGTTAATAGTAACTATATTCGTGAATCTGACTTTTCATCTAGTTTCTCCAGCTAGCTCCACGAAGGTCAAGTTTTTAGTCGGTGACGGTTACGTACTAAAAGCTCGGGATACCACTTCTTTACGTTATGACTTCTTTTCCCGGGAATAATTGTTAGCTTGTCTAAAAAGTAGAGCCTCATACATAGGAGAGAGCGTCAGTAATACCTATACTCGCGGTACGTCACGGCACGTATTATAAAATTGTTAGTATTGTTGGTACACATCTAATCTTACCATACATAATAATACCTACCTGAGTTAGATATCTAATATGAAAAGCCGTAGACGGTATCATCTTTACGCGGACTAAATTTTAAACTTCCTTGGTGTCTTTGAGTAAGAATACTGATGTCGAATCTTCCGCTGATCTTATTATCCTCTTTTTACGGATTACATCATCTTCATATAATGCACGTGTAAGATGCTACTCGTCAATCTATTTAATTGAGCTGAGGCCTGGACGTTGGACCTTCTGGACTCGTCTTCCTCCAATCAGAATTAACGTCCGGCCAATAGTTAACTCGCCATTTGACGCCGGAAGCCGATTTGGTCAGTATTATTATTTTTTTTCCCCGTTCTTTTTTTCTACCTTCTTTTACTGGCTGGTCGACATACAATTTTCCCACCCATACGTTGGTCCTCAATTTAGGTAGTAGTAGTAACATGTACATACGTACTCTCATTTGCTTTCAACTGCTTTGTCTTTGTTAGAGCTACGGTCTTAGATACCTGGGTATTCCATCTTGTCTTATTCAACTTATTTACAACATAACAAAACACACAACTCTACAACAACTTTTTCTTAAAGTCATCAATGTCATCAGGGTCCCTTGCAGTGTATTAGAGTTACGTGCATACTAACTTACATATCTGCGCAAAGACTGCATAACCGGGCATTTTCTTAAACTGCTTCTCTTGCATCCCGCTCCTACCCTCTTAGAAGCAGACTTATTAGCGAGAACTTTTAACGTACCGTTCGTTTCCCCTTGTTAGGGGTTATATGAGGTCAGAGATAGTAGCAGTAGGTTGGCCTGCTTAGGTCGTGGGCCGGCAATCAGAAACGCACACCCCCTCCTAAAAGCCGTTGAGCAATACACCCCCCCTTAGGTACTCTATGTAGAACTCTACCCCTTCGTCTCTTAGTCCCTCGAATCTCGATAAACCCTAGCCAATTAAAGACTCATGTTTGGAAAATCTGTCTCATTATTTCCGTTGCGCATTTCTTAGCAATCTCAGGGCGCTCAGACGAGGTCACATCATGGCTGTTCGCGCGGGGAATTCTTAGATCGCCAGGGTTAAGACAAAAAGAAAAGGAAAAGGTGGAAGACACGCAGGGGACGTAAAGTACAATAAATTGTACCGTATCGCATGGTCTGTGATAGCATCGTGGGATGTTACAAGATGAACATAGGGGATTTCGTTCATGGCCGTTGCTAGCCTGTTAGCCCTCTCCGCTACCCTTGAAAAACCCTGATCAATGATTAGCAACCAATGCTTCCCCGTTGAGGCCAGGGTCTACCCTGACAGGTCCACAGCGCCCATGGGACCCTAGACAGTACTGGGATTTTACCATCATGGCGACCTTGTCGAGCAGGTCCACCTCTATCTAGCACTACTACCCATCTTCATCCTTACTCTCAGCACATTTATTAGCCGGCTAGTACCTGTACAGTGACGAGTACTTTCTGTACATATGCCCCTTCTCGTTGTCATTGTTGTTCTTTAGTAGAGAACATATCTTATTATTAGCCTCTTGCATACTTGCCTCGTCACATCGACAACGCTCCAGGGATCTTTCAGGAAGTCTCTTTACTACCCTCTTGTCTCTTTCTCCATGCCCACTCCCTACCATAGAAAATACACCCCCAGTACAGTACAGTGAAATACATCCCAGCCCAAGCCCAGCGCCCGTGCCAGCGCATTCCCAGTGCTTGTCAACGAAGAACTGCCAAGCAGGCCTGGCGCGTGTGTAGCTACTGGCCTTGTACTTTCGTATACTGCCCCAAAAGAGCTTGTACCCTGGTTCGTACCTAAATTGTCCCAATCTCTAATATTAAAGTCGCACAAAAGCCTCCCGCGACCTTATCCAGACCCAAAAGTTGTCGAGCTTCTCCATCTCAAGACGACAAGTTGGCATCATCAAGCTCTGCCCGACACAGCTACCGCCGGCACGTTGCCTCCCAGGCCTCCAAGACCCAAGAGCTATATCTCACGGTGCTACAAGGAGACCGGTCGTGTGTCTTGTGCTGCAGCTCCCCGTCATCCCATCTCCTAGGTTTCCACCAACTTCGCAGCGCGCCGTATCACTGGATTCTCTAACCTTGACTGAGCCAGTATCACAGGCGATTTTGCTTGTCCAACGCTGTCTTTTAACTTGCGCCATCGATTCAGGACGAGTCAGGACCGAGTCGCCATTACTAACTGGTCTTCGACTTGCCTTGGCCGTATAACTTTCCAGCTAATAAACTCCTTACGGAAGTGAAAAGAACTGAGCTGAGAGAACCACCCTTCTAATTCTTGAAAGATTTCAAACCTGGTTTGCCACTCACGGACTTGGAAAAAAAGAAAAAAGAAAAAAAAAAGCGTTGCTTACCAACTGGTACGATCCGCGGGCCAAGAAGTGATTTTGAAAACATCCCCGAATTTGCGAGTAAGCCTGGGCATGATATTTGTCGAGAACCGCCGGAGCCATATTTGAACGGTACTGCCATACTCCCAGCGAAGGTGTCGAGCCGCCGCTTGGAAGGAGACGAAGACGTTGGGGGCTCACGGTCCTGTCGTATACTCTCCCCCGGCTGCATCCATGCAAACTCTTATTTATCGTGCTGAGCAGTCGAACCATCCGCTCGGCCAGCGCCGAGGCTTATTGAATCTGGCGAACTTCTCTCTAGACCTGTCCTGGGCCAGAGCAGAGACGGATTGTGCTCTTAGCAGCACAAGGGCGTATCCCTCTCCGCCCATGTCAGGGTCTCCACCACCACTCCCGCCCAAATCATACCCAGAGGTCGGTGATCGAGGTCAGGGAAGCTTCCAGCCCACTAGTCATGACGCGTACCGTCCAAGCTCAACGGTTCCAGGAGGCGAGTATCGAGCAGCACCGCCGCAACCATCCTTACTACCCCCTACAACCAGTGCCGCCAGATCATACCCACAAGAGGCTCCGGAGCGAATGCCATATCCATATCACCGCCCGGAGGACACGATGGGAAGACCTATTTCCTACGCACAGCAACCAGGCCCGATGGTTCCCCAGCCTCAGTACTCGCTTCCTCCTGTAGTTGGACCAAACATAGGACCGTCATCCTATCCGATGCCGAGTAACCCGCAAGGCGCCGAGAACCCGCCTTACGCATCTCCGAAATCCCAGCGGAAAACTAAAGGGCACGTGGCTTCGGCTTGCGTGCCCTGCAAAAGAGCACATTTAAGGTACTGTAGAGAATTTGATCCCTCTCCCCTAACAGACTTCTATATACTAACTGTTGTTAGATGTGATGGTATGTATTGAAACTCCGTTTATTCACGTTATTTCTCCGTTGTCAGTTATATGCTCGAGGTAGCTCTGGAGGGAAAGCCACGAAAATGAGCACTATAAGCATAGTATCGATCAACTAAAGCCGTCCTTTGGATGGTAAGCTATGAGGGATCCCTTGCATTTATGGCTATGGCAGCGGGTAAACAGGCCCTACTTCGAAGAGAAGAAACGAATCCCGCTTTGAAATCCGGATTCTCGCCCTTTCCAACAAACATAACGTCAATACGCCAGTAAAGGACCAATAATTTGCTCTAAACACCGGGGCTCGGTAAGGAGACTGGTGTAGGTAGCGAAGGCACCGAGACAGCTAGGTGCAGCAAAAAGGGCGCGGGACAATCCTTATAATAGGGAGCCGCATACCGCCAAATCCCAGTACCTTGATGAATATGTCACAACCATGAAACTCCCTCCAGGATGCAGCCCTTCGGACCCGAATAGGCGTTTCAACATCCCTCCCAAAACCACATCTCACATAGTGGATTGTTCGTGGAGGGCATATTTCCCATGTTCCAATCTGGGTCTGAGGGAATCTCATTTCTTAATTTCATATGCGCTTACATGTCGTGGAATCGTGGTATAAAGCTGACCATATATGCTTATAATAGCCCAGCGGCCATGTTCTCGGTGTCTGAGCAACGGCAAAGAAGACTCGTGTGTTGATGTCCAACATAAAAAGCGCGGCCGACCCCGATTACGCGATGACAACCAACCCCGATTCGAAACGGGGAGATTCCCTCACCCAGGTGATCCAACAGCAATACGACGACCAGTCTCACTTTATTCGCCGATTAGCGCGGTATCTGCCTCGTACGAAGACCCCCTTCGGAGAAACCATTCTTATAGAGTGTTAAAATCACAACCGAGTGGTGATTCCATTCCGCCTAGATTTATCGAGCGTGGATCGACTTCAGACGCAAACATATTTCCCGCGCCCATTTCCATACCCCCTCGTGCACAGGAGCCAGTGGCGTTTTTGACGACAGATTTGGAGATTATGGGGGCGTCAGGAACCTTTATGGAAGCAGTGGGGGTTCGATCAGTCATGGGACGAAGGTTGTTGGATGTCGTCAGTCCAGGAGAGCGCGATCGAGTTTTTGCGCTCCAGAGGTCTTTACAGGACGAACAGGGGAAAAAGGAACCGAATTATCTACCGCCAATTTTCGGAAAAGAAGAGGCTGCGAGGGTGATACAGGCGCTGCCATTTAGCCCAGAGTCGATATCGAGGTTCCAACTGGATCGTCATGATTTCTTCAACTTTGTCGGGGGAGACGGACAGTCACGACCCTATCCGATCCGCGTCGGACTAGCGAAGGAGGACTCGATATACTTCGTCGTGTTGCTCCTGTTAAATCGTCCAGCTCAGCCGTTCCCCCACCCATCGCCCTCTCCTCACGCCCGGGATTTTCAATATTCATTCCAACAGCCATACGCCCAGTTGACTCCGATTTCGGGTTCCTTCGACTCTATACGGCCTCGATACGGGGAATCGTCTCGCGAGGGTGCTTACACACCACGACAACCACCAACACCTGCGCCTATAGCCTCGGGCCTTACCCCAGGCATCAGTCCGAACGTTTCCTCTTATTCCGCTTCCATCCCCTCGCGAATCGACCCCCCCGCCGGCCCTTCTCACCATATCCCAAGGAGCGAGCTTCCCGTCGTCAGGCCTCCCCAGCAAGTCGAATATCAACTGCCTCCCATTCGTGGCCAGAGCCAAGCTGGCCCCCCAGGAGAACCGTCCAGTTGGCAGCGAGATGATCGTTCAAGCCGTGTCGACATCGGCGGATTAATAGAAAAGCCCGACCCGTCGCGACGAGGTCGGTAGCGGTTGATTAATATTCGGACGCCATTGATCCTCCCATGTCTCGTCTCTAGGTAGTTCCGGTCTTTTTCCCAGGCCAGATGTCTTTGACGCCTATCCGCTAGGTTAATGTTTGATACTACACCTTATTCGCACTCGAATTGTAAACTATACCCATATCGCGCATCCGTCGTTTTCAGTCGCGCAGGAGATACCATGTACAACATAATGCATCTTTCCATCTATATATCATACTCTCGCTATTACACAGCGTCTGCTTTCTACGGCCATCTTAATACGAGCATGATCCCGCTTAGCCGTTTTATCGTCTCGGTCGAGTCGTCCGGATTTGAGTTTGCTCTCATTTTTACCGATCCCGTCACCTTAGTTGAGTTGGGCACCTAATCATGTTTCCAATCGCATGGATATCGAATTGTTTTTCCTCAGGTACGGCGTTTGCGGCTCTTGTTTCGTCACAAACCGGGAACTCGTGCGACGCCGGGAGGCGGCAGCACGAGGGGAGGAGAGGAGAGTGCAGCATAATGAGAAGAGTCGTTTTTTTTCGGAAGGTCAGCTGCATCTTCATGTACTATATATTAGGTCGGGCATTGGGGCTCTGTTTTTGTGACGTGAAAGGGGGGACGGTGGCCTGGTGATAAGGCCAGACTCGCCCAGCTTGCCCGTCCGTGCCAGACTGTTTGATGGCAACCCAGTGGAACCAGATAGGAGGGCGGGGTCTTTCGAGTTGGGGATCTCTCGCCGTCATTGTTCTAATCTTGTGTATATTTTTTTACCCCCAATTTCTGATCTCTATCTCGTCTTGTATCTAGCCAACAGTATCGGCCAAGGAAAGCGAGTGGGTGAGGCTCTATGGAGCGAGATCGTGTAATAAGATGCTAGTCCTGAGAAGAGGATGTTGTATAGGTTGGAAATAAGGAGGAGAATGAGGGTAGCGAACAGGAGGTTATAAGGTTATCTAGCCAAATATACGAAATAAGTGTGGGGGAGAGCAGAGTAAAAAGGTAGAAACCACAGAAATTGGGATGGATATATCAATGAAACGAAACATTTTCCGTCGGGACAAGAAGGAAAATTGGGTCGAGAAATGAAACAAGCGCGAGAAAACAAGAAACGGACATGTTTACCGCGACTCTCAGAGATTTTCGTTTCGGAGGTAGGCTGATCAGATCCTATCCATCCATCAGATCCATCCAGGCCCGTCAATACAACCCGGGAAGCGAACTTATATTCCGCCTCAACTAATTATAAGGATTCGGCCCGTCCTACCTGTCAACCCCCGTCTTGCTCTTCTCCAGATCTTTCCTTGGGAATCCTCCTCTTAAATCTACAATTATGTTGTCGGGTTGGCGTAAGCGGTAACCAGTAAGAGGTCAGTGCTGGGTCGGTTGCTAGGTTCATTGCGGTGGTTTGATATGATATCGAGGTCTATAATATAATATTTCGTGCCGGGAAAGTTGTTTTCATTTCCGAACATTACGACAGTACACATCAACAAGGCACCATCAAGACGGCACACGCTCGTCACTCATATATAGGTACTCATATACTTGTCATCCACGCAGACGCAAAATAGAATTCGCGGGACGAAGACACCCCACGCATACAAGCGCTCGCGCATATACACCGACTCTTACGCATAACGGGCGCTTGAAACGAACCAAAAATCTTACTGCTGCTGTTGCTCGGATGCTTCTTGTTCTCTTCCCCTCTTTTTCATACCATAGTACCCTGCTGACCTGGGTATTCCTTGCTAAGACCTCGATCTTCCTAGCTCCGATCTCTGCACATACAATTACCGTGACGCCCTTGCAAACTTGCATCTTGCATCACCTCGGCCAGCCGAAGCACACCGCAAGATAAACAAGAAAAGCATGCACGTACCACCCCCGTTAAGAAGGGTCCATGCCTGTGCAGACAAGATGCAGACGAGCTTAACCTTGATAGAGGTGGGAATCAGTGCCGTGGTTGGCTCGCTAGCATCTAGTCATCAAACTGCGAAGGGGGGGTACTGTACGTGCCTGTATCTGGGCTTCTTACATTTTGGAGCAGCACGCAGTTGAGATTACCTACCGCTGGCCTACTACGTACATACATGAGATTATCTTATGTGGCCTGTCTACAGGGGTAAGTCAGTGGGTAAAATTGTCCGAGCCGTTGCAGCGTGCGCGCAGTGTTACGGGACTGCGGTACCGTAACGAGCCTACGGATGCACATCTGCACATCTAGCACGGGTAGGGTAGTAATGTCTAATAAACTGACGCTAATAAGAGAGAGGGAAGAAATAAAAACTCCCGACTGGTCCTCTCCTGTTGGGTCTTTTCGAATACCCTTGTCTGAAGAGTGATGATGCTTGTCATTGCGGAAGCGATCACTCACACAATAAGCATCACACATGCACACCAACACCCACGCTGTTGGCCCGCGAAGCTGGGGTTAGTTCTTGGGGTTAGTAATAATCCTCCCGACCCAAAATTGAGATACCTATCGTGTCCATGCCTCTTAAACATTATCATCATATGTAAGAGTTATCGAATTATCACACTTAGGGGGGGGTTCTTTACTTTAATAATTCCCTTCATTCTCCAATGTGTTACCTTGTAAAGTTGTGACCGTCCCGTATATGGTTTCGAAATGGTTGTTAAACCCGCCGGGGGATAAGTTTATGGCCCCAAAAGGAAGCGTAACCCGAAATACTTGAATGAAGATGACCACAAAAGTGAGAGTGACGTCGGGATGATGCATGATAGCGCAAGGGGTAAACAGAGACCCCTGAGTAGGTAGGTACCTCTTACTAGGTATACAGGCTTCTATGAGGACATACTAACGATCAGAAAGTTGTATCCTCATTACAGCGATTCGAACTGATCGCGATGCCTTCTAACTCCCCTTTCTGAAATAAGATTGGAGCTGCTCTTGTTTTTGTTATCTTAAAAGGTACGCTTAGTACTACCCTAGCTTCAACAAGGGTATGAATGCCGCTCTGTACTAGGTAGAATTGCACTCATTCCCTCGACTAAATTCTTACCAACAGATGAGGCAGAGAATGGGCCTAGATTGTTTACTAATTATTTATTATAAACTAAGCGTTCTAAGGAAAAATACAGCATAAAATACAGGTCGTATTTGATACGATTTGTGTTTTTCCTCATTTCATCAGTCTCTTCGAACATATCGTTTCTACCATGCGTGCCGTTGAGGGTTTTCTTGTTGAGAATACGGCTAAAGCCGATTAGCTCTAGTCAGCATCGCATTGACAAGGACACAGATATATCTTGGCCCTTAAACAATGGTTGAAAGGTTGAATTGCCAGACTAATCGTATAGCAAGTTGATCACCTTAGCTCCTAACTTGGAAACCCCTAGCCGAGCGTAAGCCGGAATCGGGCTCCCTGCCTAGAAGCTAGTATATAAGTTGTATGATGCCGGAATAACAGTAGCATGCACAGGGGAGAATCCAATATTACCGATTCCGGGAAGCCATCATTATCCGGCTGGGCACTGGTGTTACTTATAAGCTTCGGTCTTCCTTCCGTATTCCGACAATGTGATATTCGCATTTTCGTAAAGCTCGGGATATCCCGAATCGTTAAGTTCATCACACTTTTTACATTTTACCTACCATGAGGATCCATTATCGAGTCGGCTCTTTCGTCGGAGGCAGTCTGACATGAACTTTGCTTAACATGAATCTACGGATATGCCTCAAATAGGCAAAGCCTGTCAGAAAACTACCTCCTATATCATGTACGTAAGCTGCCTAATTCACACCAATGTGTCTCATCACATATGATATTTGGTAGTCTTTTACCGTAGCAATCCTTAGACTTAATAATCCTCTAGCTTCGGCTCGCGAAATGAACAGCGAATATCGCAAAGTCTAAGATTGAGTCCTTTAACCAAGGAAGAATCTTAATGAATTTAGGAGTCCCTAGGGATAAAATAAATTAAGCTATTCTCTAGAGTTAAAAGACAATCGACGATGCTTTGTGACTAATAGTAATCTTAAGAACAACAAGCGCTTATGTGTGTTAATGGCAGTTTGTCAATTCCAATGGGCAGCCTCAGATCTAAAATCTAAAAAGGAGGTCCAAGCGCATGGATGAACACAGTACAAGATACAGTAAAGAATACAGTCTAATTCCCCTATCGATGCATATTCTGTGGACTTGGTAGGTGTTGATTGGCTACGCGACTTCCTCTCTTGCCTTACAGTACAACCTTGAATTCTAAGTTGCCACTCACTTCCACTCATTCATATCTTATTCAGAAGGCACAATCCAGTAAAATAACAAACCGCTACACTAATTCATCGCACTTACCGCTCGCTAATGCAAACGTAATCTCTACAACAATCCAAGTAGCGACCAAACAGATGAGAATCCAATTTCTCTCACTTTAGTTCTCATTATTTGAGCGGTATCGCCTGTGATAGACCTTGAGGCAAACTTTAGGTACCTGAACTAGAAGGTCAAAGGAGAGCCGAAAATGCGTGTCTACTATAAGACTTATACTTAATAGTGGTAATATCGCGATAGGTGGTATCAAGATGGCTGATCCCATGGAGCTTGATGAACCAAGAGGCACCAAACGAAAGGACCCATCGTCTCCAGATGAACACACTCCCCGCCGAATCAAGGCTAGTGTTCCTTTTCAATCCGATTAGGGAACGTAGGGCTGATTATCGACACCCTCTAGGCACTGGACCCAGACGTTGTGAACAAGATTGCTGCCGGCGAAATTATCGTAGCCCCAGTACATGCTTTGAAAGAATTGATCGAGAACGCGGTCGACGCAGGTTCGACCTCTCTAGAAGTACTAGTTAAAGATGGTGGTCTCAAGTTATTGCAGATTACCGATAATGGTCATGGAATTAATGTAAGTTCTCTCAATACTAATTGTTGTCGCGTACACCTAATTTCTTACGATGCCCGGCAGAAAGAGGACTTGCCGATCCTGTGTGAGAGATTTACCACGTCTAAACTCAAGAAATTTGAGGACTTGAGCAATATCTGCACCTATGGCTTCCGGGGTGAAGCCCTCGCCAGTATCAGCCACATTGCTCACTTAACGGTAACTACAAGGACTAAAGACTCTAATTGTTCGTGGCGAGCGCATTTCGACGGCGGCAAGCTATCACCTGCAAAGCCCGGGCAGCAGCCCGACCCTAAACCTATTGCTGGGCGTATTGGCACTCAGATATCAGTTGAGGACTTGTTCTACAATGTTCCAACGCGACGCAAAGCCTTTAGGTCCGCTTCCGATGAGTATAACAAGATCATTGATATGGTGGGGCGCTATGCCATTCACTGCGGTGGTGTCGCTTTCTCATGTAAGAAACATGGCGATTCGGGTACATCGATAACGGTGCAACAACAAGCTTCTACGATCGACCGTATTCGCCAGATCCACGGCAGCGCTGTTGCGAGTGAGCTGATAGAGTTCGCGGCGTCCGATGACCGCTGGGGTTTCAAGGCTTCAGGATGGGCAACAAATGCTAACTACCATATCAAGAAAACGACCCTCCTTCTTTTCATCAACCATCGCAGTGTCGATTCATCCAACATCAAGAAGGCGGTGGAACAGACATACTCCGCCTTCCTTCCTAAAAACGGACATCCATTCGTTTACCTGAGCCTTGAAATTGACCCTCAACGAGTCGATGTCAATGTCCATCCAACGAAGAAAGAGGTTAATTTTCTGAATGAGGATGAGATTATCCAATCTATCTGTGAAAATATCCGGGATAAACTAGCAGCAGTTGATACGAGTCGCACTTTCTTCACACAAACTCTACTCCCCGGTTCTATGCTTTCCGATACGCCCCAACCAGACGCGAGTAGCTCTTCTGTTAAAACACCGGGCGGTCCGCGAAAAGCGCTTGTGCGGCCCGATGAACGCAATATGGTTAGAACAGATGCTTCGCTGCGCAAGATCACCAGCATGTTCTCTGTGGCCTCGCCATTGCCAGCAACTCGTACGTCGAGTAATACCGCGCCCGATATAGGCCAAGAACCAGTCTACGAAACAACTGACCGTGAGCCGATTCTCTGTCGACTCACTAGTGTGCGCGAACTTCGCTCCGCTGTTAGAGACGATATGCACCACGAGCTCACTGAGATATTTGCTAATCACACCTTCGTGGGCATCGTAGACGAGAGACGCCGACTGGCCGCCATTCAAGGAGGCGTCAAACTCTTTCTTATCGATTACGGCAGAGCGTGTTTCGAGTATTTCTACCAGGTTGGGCTCACTGATTTTGGCAATTTCGGTGTTATAAAATTCCAGCCTGCGCTTGACCTACGTGAAGTCCTCAAAATTGCGGCTGAACAGGAAAAAGCTGCCGCTGCGGATGATGAATTTGATGTAGACGACGTTGTGGACACGGTGGCGGAACAGCTGATCGAGAGAAGGGAAATGTTGCTAGAGTACTTCAGTTTTGACATCTCTCCAGCCGGCGAGTTATCGAGCATGCCACTTCTCTTGAAGGGTTATACGCCATCTATGGCGAAATTGCCGCAATTTCTTCTCCGCCTTGGTCCCCATGTAAATTGGACGGACGAGAAGTTATGTTTCGAAACATTCCTCAAGGAACTAGCAACATTCTATGTCCCAGAACAGCTTCCGACGCTCCCAAGTAACGATGAGACTGAGGAAGATATCCCTGATGAGATCAAAGCAAGAAGAGAACAGATCCGACGCGCAGTGGAACATATCTTCTTTCCAGCATTCAAGGCAAGATTGGTAGCGACAAAGTCGTTCATGATGGGTGGTGTACTTGAGTTGGCAAGCCTCAAAGGACTTTATAGGGTCTTTGAACGTTGCTGATGTGCGCGCGGAGCATTTGATACCCATTTGCATTGCGAATATAGTAAAAATTGCTGATTATAGAAAGGTTGAGTCCAGTCATCCTATGTATATTGATTTGTAAGAGGGAATCTTTGGGATAGGCTTATATTATATTGCTAATTATATATTATTCAGGTATCGTAGTTTCTATGTGTTCTACCGAGACTGAGAAGGACATGGTTAAAGGGGGACGCGAGGGAAGGATCTGGTTATCTGGTATCCGCGCGGCTAATGGGTTCCACTTACACAACCGTTATAGAACGGACGCAACAGACAATAAGCACTCTTATACGCTTTCTACTTCTCATTACTTTCTAGACGAGATATTTCCTCAGCGAAAGATAACTTCAGTTATCCAATAACTTGCTTCAACAGGTCTCTTGCTTGCTAAATCGTCGTCTTTACTATATCTGAAGCTAGTTCGGTAGTTTCAACGACCGAAAGCGAATACCGGGAAACAACTTGGTAGTTAAGGGCCCCCTATTTGGACTCGAGAAAATATACGACTACGAGAAAGGAGGCCACCACCCGTCCATTTAGGCGACATTATACACTCTCGCTACAAACTAATCCATAAATTAGGAACTGGCGGTTACGCAAACATGTGGCTCTGCCGCGACAACTCTAGGGATACGCCTAAATATGTAGCTCTGAAGATCATGACAGCATGTAGGGATCACTTCGAGGACGAGACGGATGCGGGGAATCGAGTAATAGAGGTTCGCAGAGGTTCTAACAGGAGGAGCCCAGGCCCCGGCGCTCTAGGTGCACTGGTTATGCAAAGGCCACAACCAAGGTCGCTACAGTAGACGTTTTCTCAAGGCCTACTCTATGAGAATAGTCACGGCCTGGGGGAAATTCAGCGAGGTATCCCTCGGGGAAATCGAAATATTTTCAAACCTTCTCTCAAAAGTTACTAACGTATACCCCTGATAACCGCTTTACAGCCAGCTACAAGGTAATAAAGCATGATTGATTCAAACATGGGTTTTGAGATACTTGGCCCATCCGGATTTTCGACCGTAGCTTAATTCCGGTCAGAGGACGTTAAGGCTAGGAGCAGGCGTCCTAAATTATGGTATCACCCCAACCGTGCAAATAGAAAACTGACTCCTGATTTCAGCACAAGGCTGTACACATCAAAGAGGCTTAAACTGTACATGCTGGCCTTAATACGCCTCGGAATCTACCTTGCTACCCAACCTACCTTATAATGCATACGCCCGAAAGCCGCGTGTACCACTCAATAAAAAATATCCTTGGTTTACATAAGTTTGCCACAAAGCAATATCGCAAAGACTTACCACTGTATCAAAAAAGCATAGTTAAGTGCTGGATATAGGGTTTCATTCAGAACATAGCCGTAGGCAGATAAATGTAACCAAGGTGTTGCTTGCTGGTTGGTCAAATCCCAACCAACCATATAAACTTAGCACACTCTACACGAATAGAGCTGGTCGCTATTCAATCAATATAGAATATTCGTAGGCGAAGCAAAAGCATTCATAAAGCCTTCACTTAGTATAGGTATAATGTATCAGCACCTAAGGCCAGCCTCGTATCTGGTTGCATAAGCTGAATGTAGGCCTACGACAACAAAGAGCGTTCTTGGTTATTCATTGGCGGCTTCTTCTAGAGCCTGCTTTACATTGAGCAGATTGCTGTGCTGTGTCTCTGGAGTTAATATCTCCACTGCCACGTCTAGGCCTCGACTCTGCCCTCGACCTAGATGAGACTGTAAAGTGACATTATTAAATTGAGTTAGCCTTGTCACTTATTAGATACCTCATATACATACATACCATAGCGGCAAAATGTGGTTTTGTGGAATGATTATTAAAATTGGAATGGCCTAATAAAATGCGGAACCTACTACAAGTTTAAGGTTTTTAATTAAATAATAGGTAATAAAAGTAAGTTAAAGCCTAAAACTATTTCGTAAATGTTAAAATAATTCTTAAAAATGGAATAGTTCCATTATATTTTTTTTTAAAAAAAAATTCTAAGTTTTTTTTAAAATTAAGCTTATAAAAATAAAAATCAAATAAAATTTTATATTAATTCGATAAAATTAACCACCTCGTCCCATTAACTTAAACGTTTAAATACCCCCACTATGGAATAATATAAGCGCGGGAGCTATAAGTTTAAAGATTAATCTTTTTAATTTTAAGCCCATTTTTTTATTTTTAAAAAGGCATTCCAACTTTTAAAATCATTTCAACTTTTATAAAATCATTCCAACCTTTTTAAAATCATTTTAACCCTTATAAAATTATTTTAACGTTTATAAAATTATTTAATTTAAATTAAAACATTATTATACATAAAATTATTATAATAGGTTAAAACTATTCCATGAAACCACATTATGCCGTTATAGTATATATATTTACTAATTATTAATTTCCTATTTAAAGAAACACCCGCAGTTTCTCAGGGCATTACTTGTTATCTGACATCGTTTACTTTTTATCATTATCTTTTTCGTCTATTTCCTTGGAATTTATTAAGGCATCTCCCGATACCAGAGTCAATTCCAGAGCTATCTATTATTGTTCTTCATACAATATCGACCTTGCCAATATTATAGAAGCCATGGAGTCTGCTCGGCTTCGATCTCTGGTCGATACTATAGCTTCCGATCTCCAGAACACCCCAGATCAGATCCATCTACCAGATATTACTCTAGAAGCTAACTCAACATCAAGTTCACACCCTGCTACCCCTCTCAGTGGCACCTCTACTGTACCAACAGATATATCTCAGGGAGCAAATACTAGTTCGGAAGTCAACGGTAGTAAAACTATATCTCTACCTTTACCACCTATTTTCAGCCCCTCTGATCCTCAGGAGATGCATAACTTAATGCTTCCGCTTGTCTTTTCGGAGTCGTTCCAAACCCTGAAGGAACGTCAGGACAGACTATCACAGGGTAACGATAGATCGTCCTGCCCCAATTCACCAACTCCCCAGTCTTCGTCTGGCAACCTATCCTCGTCCCAGTCGTGCCCAAGTTCCCCCCGTCCAGGCCCAGAGAATCCTGACACCACCACCGGCCGGCCTACATATAAGCCCCCTCCTGACGAGAGACCTTTCAACTTCGTGCCGTCTGCTGCGAGCCAAGAGTGGACTCGTAGGAAGGTGTTAGATGGCGAGACCAACGATGTCCTTGACGAACTGATGCGATATGAAGGATTGGAAGAGGTCAAGCAACAGTTTCTGGACATCAAATCCAAGGTCGATGTCTGCAAAGAGCAAGGCCGAGATCTGAAGTCGGAACGTTTCAATATTGTTTTCCAGGGGAACCCCGGAACGGGTGAGTAATGATGAGTGTTTACCGACATGACACATCCAAGCTAATAGAAGATTCTTAGGTAAAACAACATTTGCCCGCTTATACGCTAAGTTTCTGCGTAGCTTGAACATTCTCGAGTCCGACTGCGTGAAGGAAACTACCGGCATCAAAATAGCTACCAAAGGCACTGCAGCAATTAAGAGGAAGATCAAAGGGATGCTTCACCCCTATCGCAACGATCGCATCGGCGGGGTTTTATTTGTCGACGAAGCTTACCAGCTGACTGCTCCATATGCTGATAGCGTTGGACGGGCAGCTTTGGACATAATACTCACGATGATGGAGAACAACGTCGGCAAACTTGTCGTTATATTTGTCGGCTACAAGGACGAGATGGAATCATTCTTCGAGCACAATCCCGGCTTGAGTAGCCGGATCCCCTATACAATGAACTTCGCAGACTTCACCGACGGCGAACTCTGGAAGATATTAAGTGACAATATTACGAGCGAATACGGCGGAAAGATGAAGGTCGAGGGTGGTATGAATGGGCTTTACATGCGCATCGCCATTCGTCGGCTTGCCCAAAACCGCGGTAGCAGGAGCTTCGGTAACGCGCGCGCTGTACAGAACCTCTTATCTAGGATCGCGCATCGACAGGCACAGCGTATAGCGAGAGAGAGGAAATACGGCGGGAGGCCAGACATCTTCCTTTTTACGAAAGAAGATCTGATCGGCCCAGATCCGGCCACTGCCAGCACAAGCAGCGAGGCATGGATTGAACTGCAAAGGCTCATCGGACTCAACCAGGTTAAGGAGTGTGTGCGAAGCATGATCAAGACGATTCAACACAACTACCTTCGCGAGTTAGCCGAGCGTCCTCCTCTCAAGTTCTCACTAAACCAACTATTCGTGGGAAATCCTGGTACGGGAAAAACAACGGTAGCCAAGTTGTACGGCCGAATCCTAGCTGACTTGGGCTACCTCAGCAATGGCGATGGTGAGTTTCGTCTTCCTAAAATGATATGGCCCTATTAACTAACATTCTCAAGTGGTTTTGAAGAACCCGGCTGACTTCATCGGCGACTGTCTTGGAAAATCCGAAGCGAAGACAAGGAAGATTTTGGACGCCACCGTTGGTAAGATACTGGTGATTGACGAGGCGTACATGCTTGACGCCGGCGATCCCGGCAGAGAGCAGGATAAATTCAAGACAGGAGTGATTGATACATTGGTCTCGATGGTCCAGGGAGTACCTGGAGAAGACCGATGTATCATCCTCATTGGATATGAAGATAAGATCAAGGACATGTTCCAGAACGTTAACCCAGGTCTCTCACGACGTTTCCCCATCGAGCGACCCTTCCGCTTTGAGAACTTTGATATCTCGCAGCTAGAACAGATTCTAGGGCTTAAAATGGCCCAGCAAGGGCTTACTGCTACTGATCATGCTATCAAGGTAGCTCTCGAGGTCCTCGAAAGGTCATTGATGCGTCCTAATTTCACAAACGCCGGCGAGATCGACAGCCTTCTTTCTATGGCCAAGACGAATTATGAAATGAGATTATCTGCAATGCCCATAATCAGTTTAGACACTGACATAGAGATGGAGGCAGCAGACTTCGATCCTGGCCATGATAGAGGATCTCTAGTCGACTGCCGTAAGCTGATGGATGGCCTAGTACACAGCACCATCACCGACAAATTCGTTGGGTACCAAAAGCGATGCTTTGGGGCAAGGAAGCATGGATTAAACCCGAGGGAGCAGGTCCCGACGAGCTTCATATTCAAAGGACCATCAGGTACGCACACCCGAAGGATCAACGGACACCTAACTTGAACTTATTATTAACTTTATCTCCTTACAGGCACTGGGAAAACTGTCACCGCACAGAAGATGGGAGAACTTTTCTACAATATGGGACTTTTAGCGACATCCCAAGTAGTCGAATGCACCGTGGCCGATCTCCTAGGTCAGTACGTTGGCCAGACGGTCCCTAAGACACGAAAGAAGCTCCAGGAAGGTGTCGGGCGGGTTCTTTTCATCGACGAGGCCCATAGACTTGTTCAAGGACAATATGCGACTGAGGCAGTCGACGAGCTAATCCAGTTCCTTACCCGACCGTCGCATAAGGGCAAGATGATCGTGATCCTAGCTGGCTATACGGCAGAAATGCATAACCTCATATCGACTCGGCCGGCCCTTGCGAGTCTCTTCCCAGAGGAGATTACCTTTGATAACATCCCTCTCGATGATTGCGTTGCGTTGCTTGCCAAGGAGCTTGAATTCAGCAAGTTTACAAGTGAAGCAGGGTTCCTCACGAACCCAAGCTCGCCGGACTATGGAAAAGTCAAGAGGCTCTTCCGCGCTATGCAATCGATCCCCAGCTGGAGCAATGCCCGTGACGTGAGAAACTTATCGAGGAGAATCCTTGGGGGATTCCTTGAGTCCGTCGACTATGATTGCGCCCACCAGGCCCGGGTCATCTCCGCAGAACATATCACAAGCTGTATGTCGCAGATGATCACGCAGCAGAGAGACCGCTGTACTACCACGGCATCAAATGGCAAGACGGCCTCGCCACAGCAGCCGTCCACCAGGGGACTGGACTCCCACCCAATGATGTTTAACCCGCAGCCAGAAACACCACCTCCGGTTGCCTCTACCTCCTATGCACCTAGAGCAGAAAGCAGCTTTTCTACCGCGAACAATAGCGCCTCGGTTAGAAGCCAAGGCCAAGGCCTCAACAACTTTTTAGCGTCTCAAGCCGCTGCCGTCCACACAGGAACGAATGGACCGCAAACCAACCGTAATACGCAAGGGCAGAACGCGCCAAGCGCAGACATACGTGAAGAGGGCGTGTCCGACGCCGTCTGGCAGGAACTTGCCAAGGCGAAGAAGATCGAAAGCGCACGACGCGTCCTGCGCAATACGGAAATCAAACGACTAGAGCGCAGCTTGCGAGACGCCGAAAAGAGCGGCGATGGCTCGGCGTGCGATGCGCTGCGGAGCCAACTCTCGGCGACTCAGCAGCGCATACGGGACGAAGAAAGGGTACAGCAGGCCATACGGCAAATGAACGTCTGCGTTAATGGATTTGCTTGGAATAAGGTTGCCGGTGGTTATCGATGCGAAGGCGGAATGCATTTTGTGACTGATGAGGATGTTCAGTCGAGATTGATATAGTAGCTGAAGCGTTCGCTCTGTGAACAACTACATACCTACCTATACTAATGATCAGAAGTAACAATGTAATACTACCTAGCTGCCACTATTAGAATGCGAAACTATCAAGATGGCATTATCAGAATAGAGAGGGATATAGAATACATCTTATATATAATATTGAAGAAAAAAAGAAAGAAAAAAGAAAAAAGAAGACTAAAACGTACAACACCGGGGATTCACTGGTCGTCACCGACCCAATTACTAATCCGGCGGTATCCGGCTTGTCTAGGGGAGAGCGGACGGGATCCCGAATTTTCCAGATCCTATGGTCGTACGTGATAGTTTGTGTGGTTTTTACAACTTATATACCTGGTGTTTTGGTTCTTGATTAAAGGGGGGGCTTCATCTCTATGGCCCGGATTCTCATCGACTTAGCTGCCAAACATTCACCTCCTACTCTCTCTACGCATGGAAACTATTAATTTTCCGTGATGATAAATAATTCCATTTGGGATTTAATTTACTTGGAAATTCATTCTTGAGGAAGTCGAGGAGGATAATGGAGGATGGTTTTGCTATGTTAGCCCAGAGAGCACATGGGATGAATTGTCATTTCAATCAATACCGGATAAAATCTCATGTTCTAAAATTCATTTTTGAAATTCACGCGCAAGTAATCATTTTGCTGTACTATTGTAAATGTGCGCATAACTGCTGAAACTAGATGTAGTCACTATCTGATCATGCCTCCTCCTGGCATAAAACATCGCGAAGACCGAGACTCTAAGGGCTTTTTCGCCTACGCATTGAAAGCTCTCTTACGAAGAACAAGCGCAACTCTCTGTTTGCTGTATAAAATGAATGAAGTGCATAACGCAAAGCACGGAAGAGGATACCGCGAATGACCGACAACCAGTTTGTGTCTGTTATGAGAGGCTCCAGGCTGTGTTGGATGAAGCCTGCGCTTGCTAGCTGAGATAAGAGATCCATGGAAGGAAGACTAGAGGTTGCTGTTGGCCTTTTTGAATGAGGTGGCGCATTCACACCTCACCTTCATCTTGGGGATCGTCGGCATCCACAGGCTCCTCGAGCTTGACCTTCGGCTCTCCGTTCTTGGCACCCCTAGTGGAACGGACAGGTCTGCTCTTGGTAACGGCGACTATGTTGTATGCGTATAAGTAAGCAATATAATCTTAAAATGTGAAAGGGGAAGAGGAATAGTGAACGGTGTGGGGGTGAGTCACATACCAGCGTCTGCATTGGAGTCATCTGCCTCTTTCTCGTCGTCGGACGAAAGGCGAGCTTTCTTGACGGAGACCTTATCCTCCTCTATTATGGAGATGTCAGTACCTGGAAGCTAAAAAGATAAAAAGGAAGGAAGGGAGGGTAGGGTTCAAGTCAAACTACGTACCATCGTCACTAACCCAATCGGAGTAGGTTCTCTTCTGAGTTCTCTGACGGGAACCACGGCGGGGAGCTGTAGTAATACGTAGTGTCAGCAACTAAACGTATCGTGATTATGGATAGATAAAACATCTTAGGATGGAAAGAGATGATCAAGCTAGTTAGGTAGTAACATACAGTCGGTAGACTTCGTAGGCGTCTTCTTTTTGCCACGACTGCCGTTGGTGGTCGCGCCTGCCTCAGCTTCCTCGCCGCTGTCATTGTCGTTGTTCTTACTACCATTGCGGTAGGCAGCTGCCTCAGCACGGAGGTTTGACCAAGTGTGCCTGAGGCTTCTGGGTGTGCGGCCGGGCATTTTAAGCTCGTCAAAGGGAATACCCTTGCCAGACGGGTGCACGCGATCAATGACCTGAAGAAGAAATTCAAGCTATTCGGTATATTTCATTAGTAGCGGTTCGACATAAGTTATATCCTGCCGTTGAAGCAGGTTGGTAGGAAGCTATGGTCTGCATACCTTCTCCTGCGGGCTCCAAGCTTTGCCGGCTTTGCCACTCGACATGGTGTTGGATGAGCCGATGAGTTGTTGAAGAGTGTTTGGGTAAGTGGTGAATGTCTGTTCTTGAGATTTTGGTTAGTTAAGGTATGGTATGGAAGGTGGTAAGATGGAAAGGAAGTGTGACGGATGTGAATTTCTTGGATAGTGCAGATGGATGGGTGGTTTATGGCGGGCTAGGTGTGGTAGGTACGGGTTATAGAAATTCACGGGCAGTGGCGTCGTGCCGTGAGTACGTAGGCAATAGCATGTATCTAATGCAAAGTGCTTGCATAGAAACGTAGAAGGGAAACACCCTTGGAAAGGCATTTCTTGCGTACTTGGGTATTTTTACTTACCTAGGTAGGTATTGGAGTTGAGAAGCTGGGCAGTTTCTTGCTGATAGAAACGACCACAACGGAGGATATAACGGAACTTTATAGAAAATGTTTGGAGTCCTATGTACAAACCAACTTAACCCATTGGCACACTTCAGGAAATGGCTATAGTTACTTCCGTTTCCTAGGTTTTCTTACGCGTCTATCCAGTGCGAATATTTGAGAAATACTAAGAGGTAGTTATGCAGTTTACTGCACATAATGCGGTAGGCATATCACATTTTTGATGATGGATCATATTTTCTCTTCATATTTTCTCTTATCATGCCTTCGTGGGCATAGAATAGTTTCCTGTGAATGAGGCTGGTGCAGAAGCGAATGAGGCTAGATGCTGTCAACCCATGAAAAAAAGTAAAAAAAGTAAAGGCAGTAGGCATGTTCAACACCCTCACAGAAGTATCACCAGCGTTGAGCCTTAGGACTAGGCTAGGCAACTGTGATAGGATTGTGATACTCGACGGAAGGCGATAGCTATAACACCGAGGAACATGATCTTGAATGACAAGTCACACGACTCTTTTTGATTATCTGTTATTGTAGCGAAAACGCCAATGCTTCTACCCAAGGTACGTATGTAGGTGGGCGTTTTAGGTGGTCTAAGAGCAGGCTTATGCAACAATACCTGCGACATGGGGGTTAATAACATTTATCAGAGCCGAGACTATCGCGGGGTGGCAATGCAAACCAAACATATTTTATCGTGTAAAACTCCCGCCTTATAATGAAGGAATGAAGGCTCTTGGGCTGTTTGAATCAGCAATATTGTGTATTAATAATTGATTTTTACTTACTTTTTATGTCCAGTTCGTATCTCGGGACTACTCTTATCCTTGTTAAAGAACTTGTACCTTCAAGTTTTTATAACTTAGGATAATATAGTCCTTAACCACTATCTAAATTTATCGTGGAAATAGAAATAGAGATATCCAATACTCGTATTTACCTTATAAGAGCCTCTTCTATTATCCACGTGCAAAATGTCCGTTTAGAGTAACATTCCTATTCAAAGTAAACAATCTGTACTCGTTCTGATTAGTTAATCCCGACCTCTTTCGTTCGTGGACCCCGAAGCTAAGATAACGGATCGTTATCGCACCCTTGCCCCTTGCTACCTATATCGTCCAGCAAAACTTAATCTGTATCTACCTACCATCTAGTAAGTAGGAGCTGCAGGCTGTCCACCTACACCTACACCTACCTAACATATTTTACCGACCGATCGGGAAGGATATGGATGAAAAGCTTCCAAAAAGCTACTAACAACATTAGCTGCCTTCATCCGGGTTCGCATAAGGCGGTCCTTTTTGCATTGCGTCAAGACTCAAGAACATAATCTCGAATTGGTTATCAGCAGGGATTGTGGGAACATACGTACGGAATATTTCAGAATCGATTCTGACAATTAGCCCAGAGTTTTAGTGATACCATCCGCGTCACCTTCGTTACCTACTTCATCCTCATCATTACCACAATCACTACCTCGATGCAAAGGTTATCTGTCATAAGTGTGAAATAGATGAGTGAGACAACACGTTGGAAGGTATTGGCGCTGGATGAGGCACCTATTGCCTTTGCGCATTGCTGAGTCAGGCCTCTCTCGGCTTCTTCACTCGTCATCAGGCTTCTCTTCGAGGCTCTCTCCAGAGCGACCTTCAGGGCTCCCTTCAGGGCTCCCTCAGCCTATATCGCCGCTACAGTGCGGATCTACTCCCAACAATCGACACAGACTCACCATTTGTCTTACACGTCCATTCACTACAGAGACACGTTCTCGTCACCAATCGACTCCTACAGTCATGAATGGATCAAGTCCAACCTCGCGCTCTAAGCGCAAAGCTCCCTTCTCCCCCGACGAGCACGGTCGTCTTCATAAACACCTCCGACCCGCAAACCGAAGGCTATCCCCGAGCGAAAACACACCAGATACCGAATTACCAAGTTTTATGGAAAGTGATATGGCTACGGACGAAGAACTAGCACCCTACCCACCACAACCTGTGCCTGATACGGCAGAATGGCAGGCTACCATAGAGAAGGTCGTTAGGAATGTTGTCTCTATTCGTTTTTGTCAGACCTGTTCCTTCGACACGGATGCTGCATGCGCCAGCGAAGCCACTGGATTTGTCGTTGATGCCGAGAAAGGGTAAGATGGCTCGATAATAAATAAATACTATGGGGTTTCGTCTGCTAACACCTTAATAGATATATCCTTACCAATAGACATGTTGTCGGCGCCGGTCCTTTCTGGGGTTATGTCGTATTCGACAACCATGAGGAAGTCGATGCGCACCCCGTCTACCGGGACCCCGTCCACGACTTCGGCATTTTGCGCTTCGACCCCAAAGCGATCAAATACATGCCTGTTTCGGCCCTCCCTATCCGTCCGGATCTAGCAAAAGGTATGTTATATTCCCTAATACAGGGTTAAATACATGGTTAAGCGTAGATTTCTAACCATATTACTTTAGTTGGTGTGGAAATAAGAGTTGTTGGAAATGATGCTGGCGAAAAGCTTAGCATCCTTTCCGGCGTCATTAGCCGGTTAGATCGCAACGCCCCCGAATACGGCGAGGGTTACAGCGACTTTAATACTAATTATTACCAAGCTAACGCTGCCGCAAGCGGTGGTAGCTCTGGCAGTCCGGTCGTAAATATCGATGGTTTTGCCATAGCACTGCAAGCTGGTGGGAGATCTGATGGTGCATCAACCGACTATTTCCTACCCCTCGACCGACCGTTACGGGCTCTTCGCTGTATACAGGAAGGACGGCCAGTTGAACGGGGTACTATTCAGTGTCAATTCCTCATGAAGCCATTTGACGAGTGCCGTAGGCTTGGCCTAACGCCGAATTGGGAGAAGGCGGTTCGGGAGACGTTTCCTAAGGAGACCAATATGCTTGTTGCTGAGATAGTCCTCCCGGAAGGCCCTTCTCACAATAAGATCGAGGAAGGAGACGTTCTCCTGAAGGTAAATGGTGAGATGATCACCCAATTTATCAGGCTGGATGACATTTTAGACTCGAACGTCGGCAAAACCATCCGGGTGACTCTGCAACGAGGAGGTGAAGATATCGACATCGACATTGAAGTCGGAGACCTTCATGCAATCACACCGGACCGTTTCGTGACTGTCTCCGGGGCTAGCGTTCATAATCTATCCTATCAACAAGCACGACTCTACGGAGTAGCCATTGAGGGCGGCGGTGTCTTCGTTTGTGAATCGACTGGTTCTTTCCGTTTCGATAGTGCAGATAATGGCTGGATGATCCAAAGCGTTGACCAGAAGAAGACACCCAACCTAAATACTTTCATCGACGTCGTGAAGCAGATCCCCGACAAGAAGCGTGTTGTAGTTACATATAAACACCTTAGGGACCTTCACACCCTCAATACCACAATCATTAATGTCGACCGACATTGGTCTGCTAAGATGCGGCAGGCTACGCGAAACGACACAACCGGGTTGTGGGACTTTGAAGATATTGCCGATGCCTTACCCCCTGTACCTCCAGTACGCCGCAAGGGTGCTTTCATCCAGCTAGAGCACACATCACACCCCGCTGTAGCTGATCTAGTTCGCAGCTTCGTGCGTGTAGGTTGTACAATGCCTCTCAAACTGGATGGATTCCCCAGGAACAGGAAGTGGGGAATGGGCCTAGTGATCGATGCCGAGAAGGGATTGGTAATTATCTCAAGAGCAGTCATCCCTTACGACTTGTGCGATATTTGGATTACGATTGCCGATTCCATCGTCGTCGAAGGCAAAGTTGTCTTTATGCATCCACTCCAGAACTACGCCATTATCAAGTATGATCCGGCGCTTGTTGATGCGCCGGTGCTAAGTGCGAGGCTCAGCAAAGACAACATCACGCAAGGAGCGTCAACAACCTTTATCGGATATAATAGGAGTGGCCGAATTGTTCACGCCGCCACTACAGTTACCGAGATAACTACGGTGGCCATTCCTGCTAACTCGGGCGCGCCGAGGTACAGGGCAACCAATGTCGACGCAATCACTGTAGACACCAATCTTAGCGGTCAATGTGGAAGCGGAGTCCTTGTTGACAAGGATGGAATTGTACAAGCTTTATGGTTGACTTATCTAGGGGAAAGGTCCTCTGGGTCGAGAGACGAAGAGTATCACCTAGGGCTTGCTACACCGACTCTACTCCATGTTATATCACAAATTCAGCAAGGTCAAGACCCCAAGCTACGTATGTTGCCCATGGAATTCCGACCCGTCGCCATGTCCCAAGCTCGCGTCATGGGGGTTTCGGAGGATTGGATACACAAAGTCTTCTCGGCGAATAAACACAGCCATCAACTCTTTATGGTTTCGAAATGTACCTTTGAGCGCGACAACCGTCCTGCCGTCTTGCTCGAGGGCGATATAATCCTAACCCTCAACGGGAAGATTATCACCCGCGTATCAGAGCTAGATGTCATGTATTCGCATGAGGTGCTCGATGCTGTTATCGTCCGGGAAAGCCAAGAGATGCATCTCCAAGTCCCGACGTCACCGGCTGACAATGTGGAAACGAACCACGCCATTTCGTTCTGTGGAGCTATCCTTCACGTCCCTCATCTTGCGGTTAGGCAACAAATAAGCAAGCTCGCGAGTGAGGTATACGTGTCCGCTCGGAGTAGAGGTTCACCCGCATATCAATACGGGCTTGCACCAACCAACTTCATCACACATGTCAATGGAAAGCCAACACCGGATCTCAAGACTTTCTTAGAGAATGTAGTTAAGATCCCGGATAACACTTGTAAGGCTTCCCTCCCTCTTTCAACATACCTGGTGGCGTAAGATTAGCTAACATGCTCTTAGATTTCCGATTGAAGGCTATGACTTTTGATAACCAACCGTGGATTATCACGATGAAAAAGAACGAACACTATTTCCCGACGATGGAGTGGATAAAGGACGGCTCGGAACCTTGCGGCTGGCGACGCATCACGTACGAGAGCGGCAAGCCTGTGGAGGGCGAGCCTACGGATGGGATTCTCCCGGTGCAGGAAGGTGAAGATGCTGACGATATGGATGACGGTGGGATTTAGAAATTTGGTCTATTTGCGAATCGCCCAAATATGATTTGGTTCCGCGCTTAGGCGCAATGCCGTTTCTCTAATAGAGTTCTTTGTACATAATGAGTTACTGTATACAACCAAGTTATATAGCATCACCTACTGGGGTGGCTTGGTTGGCAGGTTATGTTTTGATTACATATTTATAGTTATAATTTTGTGGTCGAGTTTCTTATAAGAGCCGCAATTTTCATTTCATCTTTTGTTATATGTTATATTAAATTTGACTGTATCTGCAAAGAAAGATGTTCTAGGAGGCCAAGGCGACCTTTGATATAGATCCTTGTTTGCAAATTAGTATAGTTAACGAGAGTTTTAAAAAAAATAATATGTCTGTAGCAAGCTCAAGGTACCTGTGTACCTACCTATATATGCAGATGCTAGGCAGGTGCAACCGTAGAAACCAACGATGCCAACTGCTATGCCCTGACCGAGCAACAAACGGTCCGTCAACGACGAAATGGAAGCTTATCATATCCAACAACAGTTCTTTCCCTCGCCGCCCCACGGCTGGCACACTCGCACAATGGCACTATGGCGTATTTGAATCCGTACGAAATCACACAAAACACTCAACCCGAACCCGAAGTGCGCCGGGTTCGAGTGCCGGGGGCGGCACGGTGGGGTCCGGGGATTTTGTGGCGGCGCACCCACATGGCACACTCGTTGATAGGTACATGGTGGGGAACTGGGGGATTGTGGGTACGGGCGGGAGGGGGCACTACACTATTAGGACACGCATTCACGGCACTGAGAAGGGGGGTTGTAGGTTAGAGGGCTCAGGGGGATTGGCGATGGGACGGGGATTGGGAGGAGGTGGGCAAAGGAGGAGAGGAAAGGAGGTGGTGGGCACTACTTTTTTTCTTTCTTTCATGAGTTCTCTCCTACATTAGGTACACTGTGAGTGAGTAATGGTTAATTCATGTATACCAAGTTAATAGTCTTTATTTTCTTTTATTTTATACATCTTGTTTCAATTCACTTTATCGTAATAGCTTAGAGAATATAAAGTGAGCTGTTTAACCTTCCCTTTTCGATATAATAACTCTTGACAATCTTATCACGTATAATTACCCTAAATACCTAGTAGTCATGCTTACTTTATGTCACAACCCATGCCACTACAATCTTAAAAGACAATTGGATATGCGAATCGAAACGGTATTAATATTTTCGTAGGTTCTTCCAAAAATAGAATGCTATCCTAGATATGTATAGGGAGTAAGTAGTAGGTAAGTCAGGATAACTCTATAAGGATACCGTCGAGGCAATCCACCAATCCCGTTATCCCAGCAGCCTACCCGCCCCCAGAGATTGATGCTCTTTTATGCAAATGCCATCCTCGAGCCCTAATTATATGCAAGCAGCGAAGGTGCGAAAACAAACAACTCCCAGAACCCCAACAGCTCAACGCACCAAAACCTATGCCGGTCCACCTCGACGGTCCGGACGACATTCTATGGGTGCCAAAGGGTATCGATAGTGTAGCGGAATAAAAAGTAAGGCGATCCAGCCAATTAGATTCCTAGGTCGGCGCAAAGAAAGATTTCGATAATCATGGCTCATCCCGTCATATAGTCCACTCTTGCCGATGCATTTTCCTCATCTTGCCGCGGACTGGTTTAGAGGAGAGCGGCAAAAGCAGCCGCAGCAAGAAGCATTATGCTGTTTACGGAGCCGTAATTACTATCACTTCCAGCTGCGGCGATGCCATTCGCAGGGACTGTGGGTGAAGGAGTAGCTGACGCGGCCGTAGTTTCGGGGCCAGGCGTGATGGTGCTGCTCGGAGGGGCAACCGAAGTAGATGACTCGCTATCCTGAGACGTACTAGTGCTTGCTGTGCTTGTCGCACTTATAGAGCTTGTGGTAGTGTTTATAGCGACCTTAGCTGACGTACTAACACTCTTAGCAGTAGTAGTGGAAGCATGGGTCGTAGACGTGTGCGACGACTTAGGTTTAGTGGTAGATGTGCTGGTCTGCGTCACGAGGGAACCAGGAAGGTTGTAGGCGTCTGCGCACTGCTCCAATGTCATATTATCGGGACAGCACCAAGTGGCGCCTTTATCATCTGCTGTGCAGAAGTAACCTTTATCGCAAGATTCTATATCATGGTCAGCTTAGTCTCGTATATGCTTAGGTACCTAATGTATGTATCTACTATGAAAACCTACCTCCAGTTTTTCCAGGGCAGCAAGTCTGTGAGGCAGTCTTATTGAAGCAGTGTACAATACCGTCCTTAGAAGCGCATTGTTCGAAACCTTTACCGCACGCTTCAGCGCAAGTATCGCCATCCTCGCAAAACTGCTGCTCGGGCGCATATCCACCATTCGCACGACGATCGAGACCAAATATAGCCCTGGGCGACATATGGGCGAGCTTGGGCTTATACGGTTGACGTATAGGCTCAGCAACAGCCTGGCCAGCAAGGGCCGCAATAGCAAGCGAAGATATTGTGCTGAATAACATGATAATTTATTTTTTTCCTTTCCGTGAAGTGATACTGAAGATCTTAGGTCTGTTAGGTTGTATGAAGCAAGAAGGTATAAATATAAAGCTGCTTTTCCTAGTGGTAAAGACGGACTATGGTTAGGATAAAATAAGTGAGTGTACGCTCGTCAGAGCTATAACGAATGAATGATAGAATAAATGAAGCAGGCCCGGGCTGTTAGAATGGAAGTCGGAAAACGAAAGAAAGAAGACTCCGAAAAGGAATCGACTATAATGGGGAAAGAGAATTCTCGGTGTGTTGCCCTCCTGTATCATCAAGGTAAAATATCAGGGCGATCACCCTTGATTATTTAAATCGGTACCTACCACTAGCTGCATAGGTATGTACCACCTGGGTGCAATCCCAATAGAGGGGATACCTGGATTAGGTACCTGCCCAAAATTCGATCCATGTCGTAATAGGTACCTATGTACTTAATATACATAAGTTGGCCCTGCCAGGTGCAAATGCGTGATTAGGCGCGGGCGCATAAATGATCGTGGCAGGGTTTACTTCGGACGGACCACACAGATCATGTTCGCCAACAGTTTACAGTTTACAATAGTGTAGTTAGTTTGCTCCTCTCATATCCTCCTTTTCGATTTGGTATTGTATGTACATGGTAGAACACTTGGCCCATAACATCTAGGTAATCCACTTCTAGATCTTCAAAACGCTAACCGCACAGAACCACTATGCGATTCTACATATGTAGTATGCAGTGAATTGGTTCATACGTGACTACAAGGCAAAAATCTCCGAATAAGCGCGTCCAGTGCCAGGTAGCTAGCTCAGGACGCACTTAAGATGTCTGGGCTAATAATAGACGAATAAGCGATAGCCAGTAGCCGTAAAATGGCTTGACCGAAGTGAGGGCAGCCAAGCTTTTCCATCCAGGCTTAGCATTGTAGCAGATTAAGTGGATGAACAGATTCTAGGTAGAGTTCCCCTCAGGAAGGAGGATGTACATACATGTGTAAAAAGAAGCAGAAATCGGGAGTGGGGGAATTAAAAAACTTTAAGCAGGGGGGAGGTGTCAAGGAGAGGCGCTAAACCTAGATATGTACATACCCGATGTACCTCACCTGGATGAGATAGGTAAATCGAAGATTACCTAAGGAGATCGTCAGGAACAAATTCCGAATTTGAAACAAACTCCGAATCCAATTGGCTGGCTGCAAGCAACTTAGTCCCTGTCGCTTGTTTCATCTCGGAGCCATGCACGCCAACTCTATTTAACCATTCAATTCCTCTTTCTTGCATGTGTTGGCAACCTCACCGCTCACTTATGTAATTCACAAATCTCGATGTTGCTTTCTACTTGTACAATAATGCTCACTTAGAAATATAAATGTATCCAAATTAACTATATAAATATAGGAGGTAGGTACCTAAGTTAGGTACCATGCCTTAGTAGTGATTTATGCTTTCCCTGGTGTAACAACCAAGGCCATAGCGGCATATCAGCTCCCTCACGCCAAGCATCATTGACCTCTTTTACATAAAGCACGTAGCCGTCTCGGCAATTTAACCGCCCTCTGTGCCAGCGTCGTCTTGCTGCGCCATAGTTCTAGCCCGTGCGACGCCGATATACACTATCCAGCGAAATATTCACTCGGACCTCTTTTACGGATTAAGCGCGGGAGAATAGCAATGCGTGCTTAATGCTGATGGGTTAGGGCATTTATATCAGTTTTCATCTATCTAACCCTAGGTCATCATAACTCCAGCGTTTAATCTAAGTCTTCAGCAAAACTTAGGTACATATGTCGACGGTATATTCGTACTACTCTCATTTTCTTACATCGTGTAGACATAGTGATGGATATTATATATGATTCCTTTGCCTCATAAGCCAGGCTTAAGTGTCTTCCAAATTGGACATCGGCGAAAGTCTACTAGCATCAAAAGACTATGCTATTCTATCTAGTTAGATAGCTTCGTAACCATGACGCGGACACGTCCATGCCTAGTTTCTGTAACTTTAGTTAGTGAAAACTAAATCAATAGAGTTTGTGGTGGCTTAGGCAAACCGGTCATATATGGTATCATCGTCGTAACATATAACTACGCAACATAGCCCAGTGAGAGCTTCCAAAGTTGTTAGAGTAGCGAGCATTCAAAGCATCCCTAGATACCTAAGGTACCTATAGAAAATCATGAGCACAGATACGATCAAAGAGCGAATCGTGTATCGCTAGCTGAAGTCTGTTCCCACCTATGTTCATCTAGTACCTACTTAGGCTCATGGTCTATGACTGTCTGATCGCAGAGCCTATTAGGAGTTCGGGCAGCTCCTCGAAACAGTGTTCGATATCTGTCGACTCGCGCCCATTTACAATCCCACAACACTTTCGCATAGAACCTCATATTCCCCCATTGCTAAAGACTCGACGCAGACCCAAATCCACTCAGATTTTCTTTCAGGCATCATGCGGCTTCCGATATTCGCTCTCGCGTTTGCTATCTGCAAGGCAGCAACGTTGCCTCTCCAGGGTCAAGATTCCGCAACTGCCTTGGGAATCCTCAATGGGTCTATCCCGGCTAGCGACGATGGTTGGAGATCAGGACCTCGTGGTGAGTCACGGCTCTCTTCCGATGCTGGATACCTGATTTCCGAGACTTGTTCAAATATTCCATCCGCTAACATCTTACAGAGCCAATCAACAATGTCATGGATCGATTTCCCGGCATGCATATTCTTGAGCATACACCCCAGCACATAGCACATAGGGACATGCCTATGTGCGCCAATGTCGTCATGCCGACCGGGGCCGCCGGCGGCGCCGGCGAGACGTTAGCAGATGGCAAATCGATGGCAGCGGGAGTCGGGGACGTTTCGACTGCCGCGCTCGCCGTAGCAATCGCGGCTCTAGTCATCTAGCAATTCAAGGCGGTTGATCAGGACGAAGGGAAGCTCAGTTTGACGGGTCGGCAAGCAGCTTTACCACGTCCATAACGGACGGACTTGGCTCTTCCCTTTAGCGACATCTACAGATCCCAGTTGAAAACGTTGTGGGGTGAGCGGACAGCGTGTATGATAGCCACGGCTGGTGTTGCGGCTCTAATAGGTGAATTATTCGAGGGGAAATTATATCCCGCTGGTTGGTTCGTGGGGCTGTATCGAATATCGCTTGCTATAATACTACCTACATTGCGGATCTTGCATTCTCGCCTAGTCTTGATAATATTAGTAGTAGTAGTAGCTGGCGTGATATCTCAACACCCGTGTTTACCTAGTTGATATTATATTATGATCCCTGGTGAGAGATTAATCACCCTTCGAGGGTACTGTTTATACGGCAAGACATACTCAATGAGGCAAACGAGGTTGATGGCCTCGGAAGTTCAGTGGCGACCTCTTGCCGTCGCATACCCGTATATGAGGCCGAGTTCGATATTAAGTGATTACATGCGCCTGTCCCAACATTTCCAATGGAGGGTAAGATGCTAGGCAATGCTTGCTAGTAGATGCGGTCAGCGACGTGTGGCAAGGGCTTTTCAGTTTAGGGCTGAGATGGTAGGGTCAGACGCATGGGAACAGGGTCCTGCCGCTCCACCCGTCGCGTGGGTGAGACAGTAAAGTCGTCAGCATATCGTCGAGGCCGTCGTTCCCGTTGTTGCCTAGGTACGAGCTCAGGTATCCTTCGAGTATCGTGTACAAGAACAAGAAATAATGACTCCCACCAGGCGGTGAAGACGAAGATGGGACACGGGAACACTTGGCTGCATTTCCAAGTTACATCCGGCACAGACTGGAATGCACAGGAACGAACGAGACATTTGGAACCAGGCATCTTGAACCTGGGTTCTTGGTGTTTCGACCCCGGAAACCCCGAGTAGCCGGGTCCAGACGCCGGTAGGATCATGCGTCGTCGGATAGCTCGCGCTGTCGCGTCAACAGCAAGTCACACGCCCGGGGGTCGTCGCGATATCGGATTGCTCCCGTATTTCGGGGTCCCGGGTCTATCTACGTGAAGGGAATTGTGAATGTTGTTTACGTAGAAGTAGAAAAAAAAATTTTGGTTCACGTCAAATACTACATTCGTTGCGAAATCGCACCGTAGTCCCCTGAGCGTGTCACGCCTGATCCCGAATCCTTCCGTTCGTTATGAATTGATAAGTGTCGTCTCTTTCGGGGTCGGGATGGGCTCGGAGGTAATGCCAGCCCTGCCGCAGCTGAGATAATTCGAATTACCTTATGCAAGCTGGCTTTTAGCGCGGTCCCAGGGCTATGGTATACAATAGGGACCTATCGGGCGAGCGGGAATGATGTCATCTCAATTAGTAGGAGTTTAGGGAGTTTTTATGTGTCGTGCTGACAATTACCGGGCAGTTAGGTATGCAGTATTACCAAATCAGCCAAGGTAAGGCTGCCCCAAGGGAGAATATTCTTGCTGGCTTCCATGCATGCATTGGATAACCTAAAGGAGTTAAGGGAGAGAAGGTGGGTACATGTGCATGCGTTTTAGTGTATGCGTTACTGATGCATCGGCAACCACACATCGGTATAGCTACGCTGCTACGGGATCCAATGAGAAGGAATGAGATTCAATTCGTCTATCTTAGGTTAGGCACATTCATGTAACTTAAATGCTATTTTCATCTATTTTCTAGCCTCATTGTCAAGTCTAGCTTATCAGTATCATGTTGAAACTTTTCCACCACGCCCCTTTTAAGGTCGAGATTTAATGTCCTGTTGAATTCAGCCTCTAGTTCTCAAGGTGCCTCCTCAGTTTCTCTATAATAGCCATACGAATTGTATCAAATATACCAGAGAACCCCCCTTAAGCTTCCATCGAATCAGAAAATATAAGCTGTTCTATAATCTGTGCCTCGGCAGCAAGGCTAGAATCGTCAGGGGCCCATTTGCGTATTTTCGTAAGCACCATGTCCTGGATTCCTTGCATTTGGGGGACATAAGTATGCAAAGCGGCTGAATTATCTGCCAACCATAGCATAATTAGGCATGCCAGACAACTCTGCGAAATGGTCCATAGGTATGGAGAACGCTTGTCAATCATATCCACCGCATTGTAAAGGTAGGTAACACAAGAATCGATGCAGGCCTCGCATCTGTCCAAGAATACAGGTGACTCGTTGGATGGATCAGGAGTTAGAGCAGAGGATCCCGCCGGGGATTGGACTTCCTGTTGTCGGCAGACCATCTGAAGTAAGAATGGCTGATAAATTATGTACCTCGCAGCATAGTACCGAAGCCTGAGGACTCGGGCACGATCGTTCGGTAGTGGAAGAGTCCCTTTCACAGGTCTTAGGTAGTCCGGTATAGAGATGTACCATTCCTCCAGCTGTCTGTTAAGCTCAGTACTGAGAGCTAAAAGTTTCTGAATACCTAGACTCTGCCATGCTTGGTTTGGACCCGTGAAACTAGTTTCTGCGAGTTCTGGACCGTAAAGCGAGTTGTGTATACGGTTCAAGAGCCGCCGAATGGCATGCTCGGCGATGAAATAAATGATATTCTCGTTATCGGAGGGGTCCGTATTATGTGGAAGCCGCATCCGATCCCCTAAGGGTTCTATCCCGCTCCGAGGAACGTCAAGCTCGGCGATTCGATCACTACATTATAACAAAGGTAAGTACAAAATAGAGAGTAGACTTTCGACTTATAGCTGTCCTACCATTCCACTGTAAAACACTGCCAAAATGTTCTTAATTCCGCCTCTTCGAAGACAGCACTCGACAAATTATGTTTTCGACTTCTGTAAGTCAGCTCGGGCTATCATGGCCATTAAAGGGGTGTTCGTTACCTCTCAACAAGATTTAGAAATATTCGGGATGCGAACTGCGCCATCCTCCAGCTGTGTAGGGGTCTTCCTAAATGAGAAAAATATGAAGCTGCGAGTAGTAAAGCCTGGCAGAGCCCTATGCCCGGTCGAAAATCCCACACCAATTTATGTAGCATTATTCTCAATGCCGGTTGGAAAAATTGAAGACCAAGCACTTCATCATCCTCATAGTTGCCCTCTCGGTCTGAACTTATCGTACCCAAAGCGTAGACGCAAAAGCATATCGAAGTTCCAATATCTTCCATATTCCTTTCCTGAATAAGCTGATCCTGCCACGATTCGAACATATTCGGCGTGAATAACGGGTGGTGAGGGTGAACATTTCGGAAATAGTTTTCGGCTAACGCATTAAGACCATCGAGATCAAGAGATGGCCAGACCAACGGGCTATCATAGAGACTCCCAAGCAGCCCTGGTAAGGGGAACTTCTCTTCGATTTCGAAGAAATATTCTCTTGGGTAGTCTCCGAGTAGATCCCGCACCTGGGGCAGTGAAAGGAGCGTAGTTGTCAGAGTAGCATGACCTTTTGGGATTAAAAACTGCGGCGAATCTAACTGGGGGTCTATTCCAGCAGATGTGGAAGGCAAGTAGTCTGATTGTTGCTGTTGATACGCGGTAAAATAATCGGCCTGGCTCGGAGGGTACGAAAGGGGGCTAGAACGAGTACTGAGCTGGTTAATCTGCTGGCTTTGATGTTCGAGCAGCGATTCTATTCGGGCAAGTCGATCGATGACTGCGTTCGGACTTGAGTCTTCCACTCTACGATTTAGGGTCAGCATGGGCACCGCCTTGAGCTAGAGAAAGTTAGAGAGGATACCTATCGAACGGTAGCTCCTTGTATACACAATCGGCATTTGAATCCCTGCAGGTAGAACACGGTTTCTTCCCATCGCATCTCCGCTTACGATGCCTGCTCTATGTTAGGTCGAAAGGGATTTGAATAGCCGGAGGGAGTAGGTACCTGCAGAAGTCGCAAGCAAGGAGTGCGCCTGGTTCTCAGTAAGTTAATAACCTAACGATATATTGGGGAATGAATGGGTAGCATACGCTTCCTTGTGTAATACATGTGGCAAATCCGAGGAGCTGGCTAAGATGGAGATACCCCCTGACTTGACTCTTATCGTCCAGGCGAGGGTAAGCATTAACTAAGATAATAAGGTCCAGCAAGTCGAGCGGGTATGGGCGGCTGCTTCCGTTCAAATACCCTGGCCGAAGAGGCTGACCTCTGTTATAGTCGACCCAATAACTGGGAACGTAGTATAAAACTCTTGGGCCTTGCCGGGGGTGAAGACTGGATATTGGGTAGCTAATGTTACGCTGTCACTCGTCGACTTCTTCATAACCGAGTAGTAACGAGTTTCTCTGACCGCCACGCAGGCGAACGAACGTTAGACCAATTATGCTGATGTCTAGTCGCTGATCCTGACCAACAAGAAGTTTCTATACCCGGATGTTGAAAGCACGACACCTCAAGACATATCAGGCACTTCCGCAGAAGCAACAGACGTATTATAGCAGTCACGTAGGTAGAGACTTGCATAATAATAACTACTTAAGAAGAAGCGTATGCTATCGAAAATGGTTAAGCCCCCTTATGGGGCAAATGGAACGTTGGAACACTATCCACTATACCTACGCCTCACCTTCGTCTTCCAAGTTTGACTAACTACATGTACTACCAGGTCGTAATAATAATAGAAGTGAGAAGGGTCTTAACTGATGGTCAATACCACCGATGCCCCAAATAGGAAATTGGTGGTTACGGGGAAGACTCATACTTGAACAGAGCTAGCAAGCTTACTTGACCCATACGTCATTAAGGCTGGTTAAGAGTATTATAAATACTCCAATGCTATGTGTTATGGGCCAATTTGTTAAGCATCGAGATATATAGGGCTGAATAGGGCGAAAAGTTACCCCTTGTGATGGTTTTTAGGGTTTGAGGATAACACGGTAAGTATAAGCGTGGCTGTGTTTTGTACACAGAAGTACTAAAGACCTAGGTTAAAAGACTATTTGAGTTTGACCGTTATGTTACCTTAGCGTCAGATGGGGGGTAGTGGTAGCCGTATATATACAGTATATATACGGCTCCCAGGTATGAGCCGCTCCCAAATGTTAGGGAAAAACGTGAAGCTCACCAAATTCATGCGCATCGGCGCTATGAGCCAATCAATTTTTTTTGAGTGGTACAACTGGTGCGCCGCTCTTGCACTGTGAGCCACTCGACCAATGAGCGGCTCGTGCGCCTCTCACACTTTTTGCGCCGCTCGCATCTCTGCGCCGCTCCCGTTTTTGAGCGGCTCCTACCAGGGAGCGGCACGTGCACCGCTCCCAATTTTGAGCCGCTCCGGGTAAGTGCATATATATAAAAAGGTATCTTCCCATACGTTTTGTATGGGAATCTACTTGTAAGATTTTTTTTTTTTAATTGGTAACAATTACAATTACGATTATAGGTTGTATGGGTTACGGGCTACGGGTTACGGGTTACGGTATACGATTAATTTAATTGGAAGGTTACGTGTTTTTCAAATAGACCACGGGGCATATTATGTTACATATTACGGGCACGCGTGTGGACTTGTAATTATGGGGTATAACCTGGTCTATGCGCCCGGGGTTATGTAAAAATACCCTGTACGTACCGCTTAATAGGGGAGCCGCTCAAATCGGGAGCGGCGCAAAAAGTGTGAGAGGCGCAAGAGCCGCTCATTGGTCGAACCGCTTAAAATAGGAGCGGCGCAAAGATGCGAGCGGCGCAACGGCAGCTCATTGGCTGGAGCCGTGCTAGTATGCCTCATTTTGGCCTAGCGCTCCAAATATTTGGCGCGTTTAAACCGTAAGCGGTAATCCTACTACTCAAATATTTGAGTCACTTAATTCTTTAAACGTAAGAATCGGGAGCCGCTTATTGAATTGAGTGGGATAAGTACGGCTAGATTTAATAAGCGGTATATATGCGACTACTGCTACCCCCCATCTGACGCTAAGGTAGCGTATTCGAGCCCAGCACTAAACACGGCTAACAGCGGGGCACGCGGGGGGTTTTAAGCCAAAAAAATAATAAAATAAAATGGAGTTACTGGCTGGGGAAAGCATTTCTTCAAGACATCCCAAGCATAAAACGCAGGTTACTCCGAGTCCGCAAATATTAAATGGATCAAGTGATCTATCGACGACGCATCTCCGGCCTATGCCTGACCTCCTCTACGAATTTCTAATGCCGGGACTTGAACTAAAAACACCGGACGGTCTTCGGTAGGTGGGATCGGTTTGAACGTTTGATGTTGAACAACAATCTTGGCCTGCGTATGTAATAGGCTGGGATATTCATTGTCTATTGGTTCGTCATATTCTGACATACATATCCCGTACCCTCGGGTACGCGACGACATACCATTTGAATTATGTGAAGGTAGCCGAATTTGTCAGTTTGCACGCTCGTAATCAGCAATCATGTGTCTACGTGCAGGATAAAACACATAGATCGCAAATGATTACCTATTAGATATGCTCTATACGTCAGTGATTACCTATTTTAGGTGCACATAGAGAATAAGCTACTATGTAGGTAGGATAGGGAGGTATTAAGAAAAAAAAAGAGTCTCGAAAGTTCGGGAAGGAAGAAAGAGATAATAGTCTGTAAATGCTGTGTCAGCTGGATTAGTTAATTCATTATGTTACGCCTGCATTTTATTCCTGCAGGTTAAGTAGTATATGTACGTACGTACCTAACCTAGCCTGTGGACGTTACCTGTGTAATGCGGCTACATAGGTAGTGTACTGATATAGGGGGGGACCTGGTCACAAACACCGAACCCGGTCCACTTTTCACAAAGCCAATCCTTCCGAACTGTTCCTCCTATTGCAACCTACGATGTTTTGGGATTGCAATCGCCGTAGATCCGGCGTCATTCGGCATCGCTGACGCCGCAAGTCGGGACGCCATGTTTTTATTCAGCCGACTGTCTACCTTGGGGACGTCGGAATAACAAACTCCGCTATTTTGATAGCCGACGATGCCGGGAGACCGACAGCTCAGCTTTTAACGGAATCCTGCTCCTATTTCAACTACTATTTCAACTACCCCTCACACCTTTCCTCATAACTGTTTCAGTGTTCCCTCTGTCCTCGAAATATATGGAAATATAAGGTTAGGTACTTATATGGTGAGTTGTTATCTCAATTTTATCTAGCTGAACTTCCCTAGATAATTTCTCCGAGGAGCCACCTACGATGTACGCTGCCACCCTTGGCGTCTAGAGCTAGACATTAGAAATTAAACAGCATATTGAATCACGTGGGAAAATTGAACTGTCGCACAATATAAGGCGTAATTGCTCGTCAGCGATTACGGCGTCGTTTTTTCGCTTCGACAGTTATGAGCCCGGTTCGTGCAGTGGAAAAGCCCACAATTCCCTGCATCCAGCAATTACGCTAAACCCATATTTGAGCCCCAGAGTCAGACTAGTATTGGCAGTAAGGCGAGGGTTCGAATCGAACTGAAAGCATCGTATAATACCGCGCTGGATGAGTGCTCTTGGGCTGTATCTCCGAGGATTAGGAGCAGCCAGAGCCATCGCGTTACAGGTAGAGAGAGGTACGCTTAGCTGACGGCTAACAGCCATCTACGATACTAAACTCTAGAGAGCCAAGGGCCAGAATGAGCCAGTGCTATAGAGAGCTTTAGAGACGTTAGAGTGCTGCGATTCAGGTGACCCCTATTACCTATACCGTGGTCACCTGGGGGGGTGTGTCGCACAATATAAGGCGTAATTGCTTGTTAGCGAATTACGGCGTCGTTTTTTTTAGCTTCGACATGAACCTTATATGATTATATCATATTCGTTGACTCAAAACTATTTCAATTCCGTATCCCCGTATGCTCCGGCTAGAAGCGTGACCACGTATGTTTGGCCGCCGTTACCGAGTTTCATTGTCCGGGCTATTTTAGGAATACCCAACGAAACTAAATGATACGACTTACTTACCCCTGTGGGCGCCATATCGATTCCAATATACCGGCTTCGGTAATGGTATTGGTTCTCAATGTAGTCGGTTACGGCTATCAAAATCATACATACGCTCGCTCGGGAGGAACCCCTGAGTCTAAGCGATAGGGTGTCAATACGGCGGGCACGTTACAGTGGTACACTTGGGGTGACCGAAAAAGAGTCACTAGGTTGACCCTAGTGAGAATATATTTGCGTCACTGTCGGAACAGCCGCCCAGTGCCAAGTTCGCCATTACGATTGGGTATATAGGTACATGGGACCTTTTTACAGGGTGGCTAGGCGTATATCCCCGGTCCCATTGAACCACCAAGGCATGGAATATGGGAGCACATTGCCTGAATCTGCTGAAAATGTGCGGAGATGGCTAGTAGCTAGATGAAGAAGGCTTTACTGGAGTTTTAAAGATGGCTATATGAAGCGATTGCTAACGAACCTTTTAGAAATACTTAAGAGTCAGGATCCTATCGGCGACTGTCTCGAAAGCACGACGTACATTGTCGATTAAAATACGCTGACTACTTCACTCCATTGGCATTACTACTAACATTACCTCCTTTCTGTCGAGTCCTTGGGTATCGTCTTAGGCCAGTCTTACATCGACCCTCATACCCGCCATCCAATAACATGGCTCACTGGAATTCACCAAGCGGAAAGTGGCAGCTCACCTGCTTGACATTAACCAACTCTGGTATATACTGTTCACCGCTATGTTGCTGGTATAACGAGTAACATATGGCAGTCTCAATGGCACACTTTGGTTACGACCAGGTTGTTACTACCCGTGTTCTCCGTATTGGTGGTTAGCTCACAGCCAACTCAGGGGATCTTTGCTGGCGCCCTCATATCGGCAGATTTTATCGAGACCTTTCCAGAAACCAAGGATCCAGCTATCTCGGGTATTACGTCCAGTTGTTTCTCTGTGGGTCGTGACGCTTGACAATGCTAATCGCGGATGCTGACCATTGCATGAGCTCGGTGCTTTCTTCGGCTGTCTCGCATCATTCCTACTTGGTGATAGGTTGGGGAGGAAGAAATCCGTCTATGTTGGGCTCGCGGTCAACGTTATTGGAGTAGTTCTGCAGATTGCAGCTTACCATTTGCCGCAGATGATCGTTGGCCGCATCATCAATGGGTTTGGCAGTAGGTTCACCCCTTGGAGCCTTAAGAGCTCTCCACTCTTAACTTGCCCATTCTCTCGAGAATCTGCTTAAAATTATATCCCGTTACATACGGCTCCATCTAGTGACTTGCCGTTCCGTATATGCTAACCCCTTAGTCTAGTGGGGATTACCTCTTCAACTTGCCCTGTATACGTTGCGGAGGCCTCACCTACCAATATTAGGGGTAAGCTTGTGGTACTAGGTTCGTTGTGCATTACGGCGGGATTCTGCGCAGCAAACTGGATGAGTTACGCTTTGTTTGATAGCAATGGAGCATTCCAATGGCGGTTCCCCTTAGCTTTCCAGCTCGTATACCCAGCCATTGTAGTAACGTTTCTACCGCTTACCGTTGAGTCACCGCGATGGCTATTACTACGGGGAAGATTCGAGGAGGCTCGAGTAGCTCTCGCTCAACTCCGAGGATTATTACATAACCTTGATGATAAGAATTTGAAGGACGACCTTAGTTCTATCCAGAATGCCCTTGAGAAAGAACGCGAGGCTCGTGTGTCTATGATGGATGCTGTACTCGGCCGAGATCCACTACAGAATGTTCGCCGTCTGGTGCTGAGGCAAGTCGCCTTACAGGCACACCGGCCTAATCCGCCATGATGCTGACTCTTTAAAGCTGCGGGACGCAGCTAATGCAACAGTTCAGCGGCGTTAATGCCTTGGGCTACTACCTCCCCACGGTGTTAATTGAGTCGGTAGGGGTTTCTAGTTCATATGCAAGGTTATTGGCCGGAGCCAATGCCAGCCTGTATTTGGGTGCGGCTTTTCTATGTCTGGTTCTAGTCGACCTGATCGGAAGACGCAAGTAAGGCCCATACTCCACATCTCTCTCTGCCTTACCGGCAAGCAGTGATGCTTATGGTTCCATAGACTTATGATGTACGGTTCTATCACGACTGGATCTTGCTATCTCGTTGCCTCTATGACACTGAGAGAGGCTAATCTTCACCCGGAAGATAAGTCTGATCTTGGCAAAGTAACGGTGGCTATGTTCTTTCTGTATTACTTCTGCTACGGTACCAGCTTTGCCAAGGTCCCTTGGGTTTATAATTCTGAAATCAATAGCCTCGGGTGGCGGACAAGGGGAGCTGCCGCCGCCACCGCGACGAATTGGTTAAGCGGTTTCGCCATAGTACAGTTCACAAAGGCCGGCGTGGATAACCTTGGATGGAGGTTCTACCTTCGTAAGAGCTCATCTCTGCCGGATACCATGTCAGAATCTAATATTATGCACTACATAGTCTTTGCGGTATTCTGCTGGTCATACCTACCTATTGTATTCCTTTTCTATCCAGAAACCTCCCTTCGAACACTCGAAGATATGGACGAGATATTCGAGCACCATAGAGGCCCATTCGTGTTCAGAAACAAAACCCTTACCCAACGGAACCGCCCGCAAGAATTTACAGAGGCCGAACAGAGGCGCATTACCGAAACCTCCCCTCTTGCTGAGGCATTCCGGAGTGTTTAAATTATATCATGCCGTTCAATATTTACCATGGGCGTTAGCGTGCTACCGCCGATGGTCGGTTCTGATATATCGGATGATTCTTCGTACGTGGCAAACTCGATTCTACCCTATGATGCTATGCCTTGGACATAGCATTCGCTTAAACAATGGGAGTAGTGGACTTGAACTGGGCTCATGGCGGAAGCAATGATATATGAACAATCCTCGGTCTATCTTTTCAGTCGGCACAAGGACACATCTAGCACCAACAGAGCGGCATGAGCCATTTTAACGACTGTCGTTATCTCCTAAATACGAATAGTCGGCTATCCAGGAATTAAATCTACGCCACAGATTTATGCTCCTTCTCTTAGCCTACCCGTATATTTCTAGTTCCTCCAATCTCACATAGCCTACTTCAAATGAGGTCAGATAGTGTCACATGGACTGACTGCTTGCGTGACCATCACCTAAGCTTGCTATGTATTTAGCCTACTTGAAATATTGACTCATAGCTATGAGTTATAACTCCTTATATCTCTTATCTACCTACCTTTGGTAGAATACGTTCAATTATGCATGTATGATACTGAGAGGTATTGCTTCGCATCCTGGACGTTATGTACGACGTAAAATGGTAAGGAAATACACTCTGCATGAGTATTGGATGTGCCCCGATATCTGATATATAGTACTTCTCTCTAGATTATTATAGTTCTAGCGAACCAGTAGCCACATTAATCCCACTCCAGTATAGCCTGGGATGGTTTGGCAAATGGTAGGTGCCGGTTCAATCTGTTCGAGGCTCTGGCCTCTTGTAGATTTTCGTGTGGAGTCTATTCCAGCAGCTCCTGATAAGCTGTGATCACGCTCGGTTGTCATAATAGTACATACAATAGTTCACAAATGGATAAACCCGTAACTTTCCCCAATTTGAAACCATCTTTCCGAACGCCAACAATCCTTGATCGATTGTGAATGCATCTCTTCTTACACTGTATTCCAACAATACATAATCGAGACTAGACCTCGCCAAAGTCGTTTGCCTTGCTGGACATGAGGAGACCGACGATCAAACCGAAGAGACCTAGGACGGAACTGAAGATTTCAATGACGAGGATTTTGACGAAACTAACAGCTTTTGTTAGCATACTACATGGCCGAGGGGGGGATGGAGCTGAGACATACAGAGAAGGGTCCGCAGCATCCGCTAGAGCAGCTCCACTGCCGTTGATGCCAACAGCAACACCGCAAACCAGGTTACATCCTCCTACCGTCACGCCAGCCCAGAACAAGGCGAAACCGGTATAATAACTGTTGGGGTCGAACACTTCGTCGGGGCCCGCGTAGCTGACCTTGGCAGAGAATACGATGGCCATGATGACACCGTAGATGGCAACGACTTCGCAGAAGATGATGGAGATTAAGTTCTTGGTTCGGATTCGAGGGGCCTTAACACCACCACCGAGGATGGAAGAACCCGTGATAAAGATACCCCTGGATATTTGTCAATCGTGATATGTTCGATTGGGATGATGATAGCTTGAGCTAGGGGCGTGCCGTACCATGCCGCGCCGACGACTGATAAACCAATGCAAAGCGCAATACCCAGATCCGCCCATACGTACGGCGATACCGTTTCGAGGAAAGCTCCGACCTAGACGAGAAGATAATTAGGATATGGTGTAATTATTTATTGCGTGTTTCCGAGACGAACGTTGAAGGATTCACCGCTACCGGTAAAGAGCATGTCTATAAACAGTCAGCCTCTCAATCTCAATCTCACGCTCTTCCGCGCGAATGTTTCACCTACACAGTCCAACAACTGTTATGAAAGAGGAGAGACCTCCAGCGCCGTACGTTAGAGCGCCCATATTTATGGAATTCGGATGCGAGTAGTTATTTGGGTAGTTCCGGGGTAGTTTTGGGATGGATGCGTCGACACAGCTCAGGGGGAGCTGATGAATGTTTAAGGAAAGTCGCGATTGACGTTTTTAGTAGGTAGGCTGCCTTTCTACGAGCTTGGAGAGCTTTGGGGGTTGCAGCCGCGCAGCCCGTTGCATCCCTGGAAACCTTACGGAATAGGTAGCGTCCGAGTTTAGGTCAGGTGGATCCCGGCCCGACTTAGCTCCGGCTTTTTAGACTTTGAATGCAATTAAACATAAATAAACCTAAATATTCTCTAATTCAATTAGAAATGATATTACGTGATCATTTACATATCACCCCGCCTTATCTGGAAAGTAAATGAGTCAATTCGATGGAGGGGCATTGGAATTCAAAAGCTTCAAAAATTTCATATCAAACCCCTCCATCTCCATTGTCACTTGACGCTAAAATCCCAGTTCTCAAAACCTTATTTCTCTGCGACCCTATCCGAGTCGCAGCTAAATAAAAGGTCATCAAGCTGTCACTACTTCGCGCTATTCGCCCTCTTTCACGAGGCATAATCTCTTTCCGGACTTTCACCATGGCCGCCCTTGATTCCCAGAAGCTAACTCCCACCGAGGAGGCTGAGGTTCAACAATGGATTACCACCTCGGAGCGGTTGAAGAGCTCGCCGTCGGACACGTCTATCCTTGAGAAGCTCAACTCTCACCTAACTTCCCGAACCACCCTTCTCGGTACCAAGCCCTCTAAGGCTGACGTCGCCATCTACGAGTCCCTAGCTCCTACCGTTAAGTCGTGGACCCCTGAGCAGCGAACCGGCGAACAAGGTCACCCCCATATCCTCCGCCACCTCGACTTTGTCCAGAACTCTGGCGTCTTTGGTCTGAATGTGAACGATCCGGACAAGATCAAGGTTGACCTTGACGAGATCCTCTACGTCAAGCCGCCCGTCGACGCCAAGGCCGAGAAGGAGCGCTTAAAGAAGGAGAAAGCCGCCGCCGCCGCTGCTGCTGAGACGTTAGTTGACCGAACCAAGGCAGCGGCCGACGCAGTCAAGGATGCAGTCGTCGAAGCCGGTAGCATGGCCGCTGCCGCAGTGGGCATTGCTACCGAGAAGCCTAAGAAGGAGAAGAAGGAGAAGGCTCCCAAACCCCAAAAGGCTCCGGCTGTTACTACGCCCCCGTCGCCCCACCTGATCGATCTCCGAGTAGGTCACATTCTGAAGGCCATCAAGCACCCGGAAGCCGACAGTCTGTTTGTTTCCACGATTGCCATGGGTGACAAGCCCGGAACCGAGGATACCACCGAGTACGAAGGCCAGGTCTGCCGGACTGTCTGCTCCGGTTTGAACGGGTTGATTCCTCTAGAAGAGATGCAAAACCGCAAGGTGGTTGTAGTCGCCAACCTGAAGCCCGTCAAGATGAGGGGAATTAAGTCATGCGCCATGGTCCTAGCTGCGTCGCCGAAGCTGAAGGAGGGCGAGGTGGACGATCACAAGGGACCCGTCGAGCTGGTTACTCCGCCTCCTGACGCGAAGACCGGTGAGCGCGTGTGCTTTGACGGATGGTTGGGCGAGCCCGAGGGTGTTCTCAACCCCAAGAAGAAGGTTTGGGAGACATTCCAGCCTGGATTCACTACAACGGACAACTTAGAAGTTGCCTTCGACGGTCGCCTGGTCAAGGAGGCTGGTAAGGAAGAAGTAGGAAAGCTAATTACGGCTAGTGGAGGCGTGTGCACAGTCCCAAGTTTAAAGGGGGCTACAGTACGATAATGGCGAAATTTACACAGTGGTCTAGAAATCAAAAAATTAAGCTGCATTGAAAAAGCTACAGACTACACTACATTTCTTTTCCCCTCAGTTCCTTAGATCTTCCTCGCATACTTAATTCTCAAGAGAAGTGGGCGTGTTCCACGGCGGGGTCTCGATTGTCTCGGATGTAATGGTAGGCGTACCAGCACATCCGGTCGTGTAAGTGATCCATTCAGTGGGGATAGGGCAAGGGTCGCAAGTCGGACACGCGCCGTTAGCTACATACGATGTTGACGTTGTCGGGCAGCAGTCCGTAGAGCATGGCACGGTGACGCTTGAGACCTTGATGTAGAGCGGGCAGATTGCATCTGTTGGCCTGGGTGCGCACGATAGGGTAGGGCAAGTAGCTAGGCATGTAATCAGTAACTTGCAGGTTAAATGCTATTGTGCAAGGAGGGACTTACAAGACTGGATCGTCCTGGTGTAAGTGTAGCACTCGTGAGTCTTGACCCAAGCAGTGGTATGCTCAAAGTCGTCCATCGTAGTTGAGCAGTGACCGGGGATCGTCGGGCTAGGTGCTTCTGCTACAGGGGATGCTACAGCTATATTGCTGTGATGTTTTAACATTTGTTAATTAACTTATGTTGTTGTCGAGATAGATGTTACGAGCAGGCGGTGACTTACCAGAGAGCCAACAGCGCGGCAGCTCCAGAGATGAGAGCTTGAGGTGAGAACAACATTGTTGAGATGTAATGATTTAGGTATGTAGATGAGTTTTGGTTGATGGGTTTGTTTAACTGTTTAACTAATAAGTCAATCTCATGATATTGTTGGTTGACGAGAAGAAGAGTCAAGCTTCTCTTTTTATACATACGCACGCACGTACACAAACACCCCATAAACACGAGCCTCGACGTCACTCCCCTTCTCCTATCCGTTGCCAAGAGGAATAAGAAGAGGAAGAAAAAAAAGCAAATCACAAGATCAAACCAGCCAAGGAGGCTTGGGAGGGGGCTGACATAAAGGGGAGCAGGACTCCGTTCGTCCCTTCCGCTTTCCTCGCTATTTCTCGAATGAGAAAGCTGTGACCGTCGCACGGGGAGATCCTGCTTTCCTGCTACCGTGGTTCGCCCCTTTTGTAGGTATTATATATATATCTTAGGTACCTGCCTCTATGTAAGGTATGCATCATACATTTATGTAAGTTATGTATTATGTACGCCTACCTACATACATACTAATACATAATAAATACATATAGTGAGGTCTATATGTATATATCCCTCACCGGCACCCGGACCCACGTACCGGGAAAAGCGGAAGAGATACATACCTACCTATGTAGAAGGGAAAAGGGAAAGAATAAAAAAAAATTAAAAAAAAGAGGCTAGAAGGGGGATAATTCTGCGATGGCTGAACCGCCTCACCTCAGCCCTACCTCGTATGTATGAGCTCACCGCATCTCGGTTCGGTCTAGGTTAGGGCGTCAGCGAATAAGACGCGGGGATGGCTGCATCTACATACATAGGCTGTCGTTTCCAGCTCTCCTCATTTCTTGGTCCGCATATGTTAAAGTGAGCGCATAGTCACAACACTCCTCATTTTCCTCTCTCCCCGCAAAACCACCCATGTACAATACATACATACATACCATACCTAGAAGTACATATCGAATGCGACGCATCTAAAAATATACTTCACACTAGTTATACGTACATACACGACCCCGGACATTTAAACCTACCTAGCTTCCTTTCGGCATTCTGGAATCTCACCGCGAAGATCCTATAGGCTAGTCTGGGGCCTCGCTTACCTCGTAGCTGCAGTGTGACAAACAAATAGCCTCAATGTTCTCTCGCCTCTCTGACGTTGCATTGCGTCCTACGCCGAGATACGGGTAAGAGAAGGGCTGCTGACTTCACCTCGCTCTTGTGTTTGGGAGTACACAGTAGTTCAAAATTTCGACTTTGGCAATTTCCAATATTTTCGATCGAGTTAACTGCTGCTAAATTTATACAACAAACATTGGAGTGGATGACTCGCTTTGTTCCCATCCGTCCTTGATTTGTTCCGTAGTCCATCCTCCTAGACTACCTCCTCCCGTGTAGGTACTATACAGATTGGTACAAGAGACTCGTATATACAATATAATGCCTTTATGTTCCCAGTCATCCTCTATACGCCACTAAGCACTTTTTCATCACCAAACGCCGCATGATGCATTCGCTCATAATGCAATAACCATCATCATAACGCCATCCATCTTCGAGCCGTCCTAAAAACTCGGACTCCTTACCGAGCTCGACCGAGCTTACCCAAGCTCATGAGAAGAAGTACTGGCTATCCCTAAGTCGTGTGACATCGAAATCGCCCTGAGAATACTGATTAGCCTAATGTTCATCTACCAAACCAGATGCTAGATAACTTACCTTTTCAGGGACCTCGGGGAAATCAAGCGGAAGCCACACGTTGATGAATGTAGGTTTAGTCTTTGCCTTTGCTTTCGCTGTTTTTTGGATGCTTCCGCTGAGCTCTTGTTCGAAGCGGCTGACGTTTACCCCATCTAGCAAATTATCCATCACTTCTTTCATCGAGGGATTCGTGTCCGACTCGGTAGCTTTATCGACCTTGGCCTTGACGGCCTTGACGGCCTTGACGGGTTTGACGGGTTCTGAAGCTAGTGCTAAATCGTCCTCTCCGTTTTCGTCGACTGTTTCCATTGCGCTGGCCAGTATCTCATTTACATCGGGAATGTCGCCTAATGTCATGCCTTCCATATCTTCTGCACTGTTTAGGGGCTGAGGGGCCGACATCTCTTCGAAGATGCTAGCGGGCGTCTGCATTTCCTGGCCTTTCTTGACCTCCTCGGGGTCTGAAGATGCCAATAATCGCATTCTCTCTCGCTCCTCGAGGAGTTCATCTTTCAAAGACAATTTCCTCTTCTTGCGAAGTGCAGCTATCTTATTTCCAACCTTACTATATCGTTCGACCTTAGATAGATAGATAGAACTTTTATATCGGGCTTTAAATTCGGATGCAAGGCGCCCGATGACATCTTCGCTGTGTATACGAATGAAACTGTCCCGGAGCACATCGTTCATAACATCAACATCGGCAGCGTGTGTCCAGAAGGAATCGTGCACGGCCGCAAATGAGAGACCACGCTCATCGCACTGCAACGCGGAGAGAAGCATGTGGCTGGCATCCAAAGAATGGATGAAATTGGGGGGGAAAGCCTGCAATTGCTTCCGTCGATTGACGGGATCCGAACTCTCGGGAACCTGCAGGGTAAGATCCTGCATCGAGGTACTGATCACACGAGTTCCGTTTTTGCGGTATGGTTGTACAATAGGCATGCGGAGCGGGGTGGTCCAGACGACTGTCGATCTGAATTGACCGAGAATCTCATCGGTAGTGCTCTTTGTAGTGGTCTTTCGCATACCTGTTGTCCTAGGCGGTGGCACTTCTCCCTTAGCAATTCGATCCATCTGCTCTGGGGTAAGCGCGCGACAGACTCTACCAGCGCACTCTCCGAGCCAGTATTGAATATTATGAGCTCCGCGAAACATAGTAGACAGAGCTCCAAACACCTTCGTAGCGACATAAGAAGCGAGAACAGCTACCGGGATGCCTGTTTCTTGTCGGATATTGGGATAAGCCGCATCGAGTTGTTTTTGTACTTGGGCTTTGGCGCCAACGAAGGTAACGCCGTACACATTGGTCATGACAGTTTGCTTCACCACTTTTCTTGTTATCTTGCCCTCAACCGCCTTCGCGATGACATTGTCCGAGTCCTCTAAATCCTTCGCGATACCTTCCTTTACTAGGTCGGCTACCGCAGAATACACATCTGCGGGGCGCTCTCCGGGTAATAGATTCACTTGTTGGGCACCCCAAATATCACCACCGAGAGCCGCATAATGCTGCAGTCCGTTACATGTACCGTCTTGGTGAACTGGGAGGTGAGATACGAATTTAGTAGGATCGGGAGACTCGAGAGCCGCCTTCAGTTCGAAAGAAGTCGCCAAGCATTGCCATGCGTCCTCGGCCTTGAGCCACCACCGCTTCCCCGTCAGAGGATTGGCGACAGAATCGTATATGTCGGCAAGGTGATCTGTCACGAACGCTTCTCGTTCCTTCAAACTCGCCTTGTCGTAGCCAAAAACATTTGCTAGGTGGATCTTAAGCCACCGTAATCCATTCTCACCAAGCTCCTTTCCCTTGGCAAAACGAAGCAAACCTCGAACATGATCTGCGCCCATATGGTTGAGATATGTCGGGATCGGATAAGCTCGGCCTCGGAAGTCCATGTTATGCGGGAAATAGAATGTCTGGTCTTTGAAAGCTCTGGCAATTTCAAATTGGAAATTCATGAAACAACGCTCGGAGTGTAGACCTGACTTTTCGTTCTCCGCAGCCTTCACGGCATTCAACCATTCCCGCCGCTGCAGGGGATCGTCGGATGCTTCTGGTTCTGGAGGTATGGGAATTTGGGGATCTAAAGGAGGAATGTTCGCTATCGGCTCGCCGCTGTTCCACGCTTCAAGCATCACATCGAAGACAGGTCTGTTAATTCGCCATCCTGTTCGACCAAGGACGTCTAAACCTTTGCTAACCTGCTCCATGTCTCCCCTCTGCACGGCTGCTTCGGCATACACCCTTTGGTCCTTCTCGCCGTTCTTGATTCGTACAAGTTGGGCAGGATACTCAACGAAGCCCCCTTTGTCAAATTTTGTCCAGGGTTCCGGCTCAACAAGCATGGGTAGGTGCCTAGCAAGGAAATCCGCAGGAGGCTCTCGCTTCAAAAGTTCGACCAAGAATTTGTTCGGCATGACTAGTCCAACCTTCTTTCCCTTTCTGTTTATTGTAGTATGAGCCATAGCGGGTTGCCGTTGGCTGACGAGAGCCTTCGTTTCAGGGTGCTCCCGGACCACATTCATTTTTGCGGTATCTATCAAAGCAGATAGTAGAGCAACGCCGACCTTGGTTCTAATTAACGTAGGCCACGACCTAACCTCGAAGAGAGACTCTTCCACGACATTGGATTCCGCCTCTGCGACATTAGATTCCGTCTTAACATGGGTTGTGCTGGGCGTCTCGGTTGGTGGCTGAGCTGTCGATGAGCTTGTTGCGCTCTTCTGTTTCAGCTTTAGCATGTTATTCCGGGTTTTAGCCTTACGTTTGGCTTCCTCTATGCGTTTCTGCCGTATCATTTGTCTAATATCCTCCTCTACTGCCTTGGAGATATGGCTGAGCAAAGTAGATAGCTGAATACCCCCGTCGATGCCTACAGATGACATGGCATTTATGACGCTTATAATTGTGACTGCGGATAGCCTCGCCGGTGTTGATTGCTTTAGGAAAGGGGAACATATGCAGCGATCCTGATCCGCATCGTTCTTTTTTTCACGGGTTTCTGCTACTTCGAATAGCTCAAATTCCTCCTCTAGCCTGCTTTCTAGGGCACATTGCCATTCGTATAGCTGGGAATTCAAGCCGCTCGTGGACAACGATGTGTTCAAGCCCATTTTCATAAGAGCCTGGTTTTCTTCTCTCCATCGGCTGATAGCGGCGTCAACACAATCATGCTCTAGCTGAGCCTGAATTTCCCGGCGCTCTGCGTACGACAGCTTCGAAAGATCCCGGCCCTCAACCTTGGAAAAGAAAGATAAGACGCCGCGTAGTGTCTTGAGGCCCAATCCTTTCTGATCTACGGCTAAAACTTCGGGCGTATCGCCTCTCTCCGCTTTCATCTCGGAGATGTTTACCGGTTCAGTTGAGCTAACTTCCGTGTCTAACAACTGTGATTCCTCATCTTGTAGCATAGGCCCCCAATCTTCCAGGAGATCAGAAGCGGGCTGGTAAATGCTGGCTATGATGCCGACGTCTTGCTGGGTCAAAATGTCATCTTCTGATAAAACTTGATATATGGCATCTCCAGGCATCAGATCCATGTATCGGGCCACAAGCCGCTCCAGTCGTGGCCCTTGGGTCGATAAGAGCGAAATCTTCAACATGCAAGCAACGGTCTCAGGTGTTTGAGGAAGACCTTTACCTCTAATATTTAGCTCGTACCATTTATGTAAAGACTGGGCCCATTCAGAGTCTGGTTGTTCAAAAGCTTTGTCGATGGCTGCGCGAAGGTATTGGTTGTGAAGCTCAGTCAGGGAAGCACCCTGTATGGCGCCGCTCTCACTAAGGCGAGTAATGACAAGAGCCGCTCTATCTAGCTTGCCGACTTGTAAGCAGGCATCAAAAACCGACATCATCTCGTCGACACCACCAGGTATGCCATGGATACTAATCCTAGAGCGAGGAAAAGGATCCTCTGCAGGTTTGAGGAGCAGTGGCGAAGAAGGGTCGAAGGGTCGTATATCGTATAAATGAGGAGGCGGAGATAGCGGATACATGTACTTTTCAGGGAGATGATCGTAAGGACTTTCACCTCGTATAGGGTCGTTTATAGCCGTAGCCAAAGACCTCTGAAAGATTGACCCATGAGTGTCCTGCGAGCTCTTTTTCCTCCTCGGTAACAATTCGACTCGGGTGGTTAAAAGTCTACGACTTGATGCATGGAGGGAATAGAGGGAATAGAGGGGCGGGTGTCTGGCAACTGATTGTGGCCGCCTCACTGCGCTGATTCGAGGTAAGGAAAGGCTCTGTCGAGCCGGAAGAGGTCGCGCAAGCATCGCGACGGTTTTGGGTATAGATATTTTGGAGGAGGGGAAAAAGAAAACCTATTCCCAACAGGCTCTTTTAAAAGCTGCCGAGAATTTTGCTGAACTATTATTATAACATGAAGTCTAAAGGAATAGGTGAAACCCGACAAGAGCGATTGATTGTATAGGTATGTATGAGTTTAATCTATGTAAGAAAAAAGACCCGAATCGAGGTCGAGTTTGAACGGGATGGTTAAATATTTCGGAGGCGAACTTTTTTTCATGAAGATCCAGCTCCGAAATTTTTGCCATTGAGAACGTATTTTTTTTTTTAGTCCCCCTCAGTTAGGCTTAGATAGAGTGATAAGTGCGATAAGAATTGATAGACATATGAATTGGTAGCTTCTAATTGGCTTGGAGATTATAGATGACCCACTTAACAAATCTAACAAGCAAAATTCGCCTCCATTAAAGCTACAGTACACGGTTATTGGATATCGCATGTCTGAATAAGGTCGCACTTTGAAGTCCCACTTTGGAACTTTAACATCTTAACTTTGCCGACTTTAAGTTTTATTCTAGGTCGGGTCACCTAGTTCCCCTTATATCAATACATCAATAGGTATAATTAAAATTATTGACCACCGGTAAAGAGTCTAGAATAAAAGGTCGGCACATATTTTATCACCTTTACGTCATCCAGCCGACGACATGGTAACTCGACATACAGTAGCCACAGTGGCCTGCTCTCACTGCCGTCTGGCTGCTTTAAAACTATTTGCTAATTCTACGAATGCTTTACCCGCTATAAGAACTAGCCCTTTACAATATCGACCACGACTAGTCACTAGGATACCAATTCGGTCATTCTCATCTCGATTATCTCAAAATGAGATCTCGAATAGCACCGTGTCGACTGAAGCAGACCAAGAAAGGGACGACACACTTGACGATCAGAGTCATGAGACCACCACTGGGAGTACGAGTCTAAATAGTACCCCTTGGTATCTTCAAGTCGAGCCTCCAAGACATGTGGCTACCATTGAGCCGCCGCCCTTACCGGAAGTTCCTTCGGAATCTCCAGAGATCATCGGCTCATTATTAAAATATGTTTCCGAGGAGTTGGGCCTTGACGAACTCGAACTATTAGATCTTAGGGAACTGGACCCCCCAGCAGCACTAGGTCCGAACCTTTTTATGCTGTTTGGCACAGCGCGGAGTGAGCGCCATCTCAACGTATCGTCTGGGAGGCTGTTACGATGGCTACGCGCTAAGCATCATATCTGGGCCCACGCCGATGGCTTGCTCGGACCAAATGAGCGCAAGACAAAGCTGCGCCGGAAAGCTAAGAAGGCAAAGCTCCTGGGAGGTGTTGAGGATACCGATGACGGTATTAGAACCGGCTGGATATGTGTTAATCTAGGGACCATAGGCTTTGGTAAGGAGGAGTCCGCAGTTGTTGCCGGCGATGGGCGTGTTGCTGGCTTCGGTGCCGCTCAAGATGGATCCACAATTGTCGTTCAGATTATGACAGAATCTCGAAGAGCCGAAATGGGCCTCGAAGCTTTATGGAAACGGAGTCTAGGCCAGCCCGTCGACAGCGTCGTAAAGTCGGAACATAAACCTGTAGAATCGGATCATAGGCCTATAAAGTCTGAGCATAGGCCTATAAAGTCTGAACATAGGCCCGTAAAACCGCAGCATAGGCGGCCAAAGTCAGATGTGAAGGACATGGAAGGCCTCCACCCATTGGAGAAGGCTATCCTAGCCAGTTCACGCCGAAATACAACCTCCGGAAACAATCCCTTCAACGACACGTCAAGGGGAACACCTTTTGAGCAGACACGATTTTATTCAACACAGCGGACGATCGGAGACGAAGCACCGGTGATCAAGTCACTGTCTAATATCGAATCGGAACATGCACTTGAGCAGAGTCTACAATTTGATGTCCATCAGAAATCCAATATTCTATCTCTGCTAGAAGCTCGGCTTGATCATCCATCTGTCATTTCTACTTCAGATGAAGGGCGATCCTTCTCAAAGTCTTTCCTTCGATTATCCCAGCTTGCATGCCAAGGGCTTCGTCCATCTGAAACCTGGGGGTTTCGCCTCGCAGTTCACACCAAGGCATGCGAGCTTGGCGTGGATAATTTCACTGAGTTCCCAAACGACGTACGGCAGCTATTTGAAGAAATGTGCCTTCATGGAATCATTTTCACGCGGCAGCAGTGTCTGCAGCTTTTGACGTGCATTTACAACTCGGATATCGGCGGATTTGATGAACAAACTAAATTAGCCCTACGACTCTTGAAAACGGTTCAGCAACGTGGACAGCCAGTCCTCGCCAGTGATATCATTGTCACTATTATCGAAGCAGCAGCTCGATCTTATAAACGATCCGCGTCTCAAGACTACGTAAAACTCATGGAGCGACTAGAAGACGTTTTGGTGCAAGCAGATTTATCCCAACTAGAAGAACCGCAGATCATGAGACTCATGAAAGCATACATCGAAATAGGTGATTGGAAAAGATTTCGGAACGTATGGGGCATACCTGCGAGACACCTACGGCCGCGTTCGGCAGCTATGTATATCCACGCCTATGATCTGGCATCCGCCACGGGTTCGCATGCTGTTTGCAGAGCGATGCTGAGATTGTGCTTTCAGGAGATGCTCTCAGAGAACCCGCCTGTGCTACCCCGTGGTATGGTGCTAGAGGGCATTAAAAAGTGCATCGATATAGCCGATAAAACCGCCCAGGAGATCTTCGAGGCCATACTGAAAAATCCCCACGCTCACGAAACTAGAAGAGGGAAAGAATTTGTCAGGCTTTTGAATAGCATTCATTTGATAAATATAACCAGTGGGCGACAAGCTTAAGGATGGGAGATGCACAATCTTGGAGTTAATATCGGCGTTGGAGCCTGCAAGTTAACTCGTCTCCACGGGATATTTTGGAAGCTGTCGGCCAAGAGTTTCGGAATCACTGTATATTCTACGTAAATTAGTTGTATGACCATGTTAAACCTATGACCTCTCTTGCTTTCGCGCGAGGTCGTATAGGTGATTCGCTTCCACTCTTCAGTTCAATTCTACGGCTTCGTCAATCCTAACAACCTTCCCTTTCCGGAAACCCCGGCCTCCATTGTATATCTGCTGAATCGTAAGCATGGATGTGGTCCCTAGACTCCCTAATTCTGCTTCGCTAAACCTGACGATAGCAATAATCAACTAACCTACCATCAACACGGACTCAAGTATATGTAATTTCCAACTGCAACATATAAGTCCACGCCAAGATCAACTACCGAGATATTTCAAGTCGGTTTTCCTCCAGAGGTCCTTAACCGATTTGCGGGAGGATTACCTGCGTAGAACTTTAGATCCGCACCTCACCGAAGTCCAATCAAGGCAGGTCACCGGCAGCGGGTCTGGACTAAAAGGGCAAGCTCTCTGGCATAAGCCAACCACTACCTACTATCGTGGAGAGAACATCCTCAGCAATGCCAAGGAATACCGGTTCCTGGCCAACGTGCCTTGCTTGATTGGATTGCGCCCCGAGATAAGGGTATCCGTGGCGACGATCCCGGCTCAATGCTACCTACCCTGAATCTACCCTACGACGCAGCTGAGTGGCGATCAGAACAACCACCTTCTGTAAACTTGGTGTCGTTCGACGCTAGATTCGCGTCCCGCTGCTGGGTGTGTATGTGTGTGCTATATATCCGTTATCTCGTCTTAGACTAAGGGCCCGGAGAGCGCCTGAAAAGCCAATTAGCTTATTCGGTATGGGTTTTATTAAATCAAGTTGATAACAGATCGCTCTATATACCTTGATACCCCGGTGTATAATACCTACACACGTGTGAATAAGTGAAGATATAAGGTTGGAGTAGGTAGGTAGGTAGGGAAGTTACGTAGGTATATAATATCTTCGCATCGTATCTTGGCATCCTCATCTCTCGTCGTTTTCTTTCCCGTCACTATACCATCCTTAAACAACACGAAAGAAAGTAACTACCTGTACGCACTACTCACCATGACGCGCATCGCATCTCTCGCCCTCCTACTATCCGCCGCCGCCCTCCGCGGCGCCATGGCCTGGGGCGCCATGGGCCACGAGACAGTAGCCTACGTCGCGAGCAACTACGTCAGCGCGTCCACGAAATCCTTCTTCCAGGACCTGCTGGGCGACGCTTCGGCGGACTACCTGGCCGGCGTGGCGGCCTGGGCCGACAGCTACCGGTACACGAGCGCGGGCAAGTTCTCGGCGGCGTTCCACTACATCGACGCCAACGACGACCCGCCGTCTAGCTGCGGCGTCGATCTGGACCGCGACTGCGGCGCCGAGGGCTGCGTCGTCCGCGCCCTCCAGAACTACACGACTATCCTGATCGGCCAGAAGGCGAGCAATGCTAATTTGCAGATCGCAGCCAAGGTAAGTACCTAAGCATTTATTTACTATATACTCCGTATTCTACTTAGAATATCCTCCTTAGACGTGTAATATTTGAGTACATACATGGATAGATAAAATGGTATTAACAAGCGCAACTATAGATGATCATCCACGTAAGCAACTATGTACCAAGGGGGGGGTGTCGGACGAAGTAGCGCACGCATTGAGGCGATGAAATTAACATAACATAACATGACAGTTCGTCGGCGATATAGGACAACCTTTACATTGCGAGGCTTTAGAGGTCGGCGGTAACGATATCGACGTTCAATACGACGGCGACGACACAAACTTGCACGCGGCTTGGGACAGCAACATCCCCGAGTCCATTTCCGGCGGGTCCTCGCAGTCGTCGGCGAAGTCGTGGGCTTCGGACCTGATAAAGGGTAACGTACCTACCTACCTATCTCCTCAACACCATCTGTCCCTCTTTTGTTCATTTCCCCTATTTCATATATATATATATAAACACTAGCCACAACCCTCTAACACCGCCCCCCCAGAGATCGACTCCGGCTCCTACAAATCCCAAGCAGCAAGCTGGATCAGCGGCCTCAGCGTAGCTTCGGCAGACAAGCAGACGTCGACGGCGCTAAAATGGGCCACGGAGAGCAACGCATACGTATGCTCGACGGTGCTACCAGGCGGCGTAAGCGCGGTCGAGAATAAGGACTTGAGCGGGCGGTACACGACGACCGCGCAGCCGGTTGTCGACCTGCAGATAGCGAAGCAGGGGTACCGGCTCGCGAAGTGGCTCGATGCTATCGTCGCTGCGATTTGATAAGTTTGTCGTGTTGGAGAGGTTAAGGTCGACTATGAGGTCGGAGTTACCTATGGTAAAGGTGAAAAAAAAAAGAATCCCTTTTAGAAAAAGAAATGAGGTTTCAAGTGTAGGTATCTATCTATCTATTGAATGCTGATGCTACCTTACTCGTCCTTGTAAATCTACGCGATGCATGTCTTTTCGAGACCTCTACTCTAATATGCCATTCCTCTACACCCCCCCTATTCCTTCTTGACCCCCTTTAACGCCTCTCTCAGCATAGGCGCGATCTGCTTACGACTATGCTCGACCCTCGCCTGCGTCCAGCATCGCCGCCAATTGCCCTTCTCCTCCAAATCAAGCTTTCCACCTCCCCACGTACCAAGGCCCAACTTATCCTTCCCATCTCTCTCCGCAAACGCCTTCGCAGCATTCACAACCGTCGCACCACCCCGCGCCCAGACCAGCAACTCCCGCCTAAACTCCCCGTCGTCCTTCGCCGTAGTGAGCACCGCCATAACATCGATGCCCTTCTCCTCGCACCACTTCTCCAACTCTCTAGCGAACGCCTCCTCGCCCCCGGCCTTGCGCGCCAGAAATGCGAAGGCCTGCGGCACGGACGAGGTGCCGAGTTTCAGCGTGCCCTCGTCCCACTCCTTATAATCCTTGCGGAATATATCGCGGAACGACATGTACGAGACGTCCTCCTTAAGGGCCGTAACCTCGGCGAAGAACGCGTCACGGTCGTATCCGCCCCCGTCACCACTACCACTACTCTCGAAGCCGGCACGGAGGTGGGCTTCGGCAGTTGCTACAGCACACTCGTCATGAGCCGTCGTTTTATCCTTGTTGCCGAGGTTCGTGGTATCTATGAGGATGGGTGCGAGGGCGAGATACGCGAGTTGCGCATTAATTTCTGCAGCTTCTTTGTTACTGCCGCCGTCCCGCTTCGCTAACGCCTCCCATGCCTCGCTGCATTGCTCCACGACTAAGCTCATGCAGCTACCGCACTTTTCAATGACGCGCGGCTCGGCATCGTCAGGGACCTTAGCTTCGTCATCGTGGTGGTCGATACATCCGACGACTCTGCTGCCATAAGTCTGACCTAGCGGGCCTGTCATGACATTGTGGTCGACGAGCAGCCAGCGCGTGTCCTCGGGCTCCAGACCATTGTCTCCGCCAGGCAGCTCAGTAAGCGTCAACACGTCGTCGGGGGTGACAGCAGCATGTTTCAACACAGCGGTGAATTCCGGCCGTAACGAAAGATCGTCACGGGGTAAATGGCACAGCGGGATGTGCAGAGTATGGGGTGGCGAGTGAGTCCTAAGATAGGCCAGGAACAGCGTAGAGCATAGGGAATCGAGATCTGATCACATTTCGTGTTGGCCTCTAGGTCCGAAGACATATATAAAAGACATGTATAAATAGGAATACGTACCAGCTGATTCATTACCCACAACAAAGTGCAACGGAGTCGAGCGTTTAGATGGCGGGGCCGTTAACGCGGCCCGAGCTGTGGCCAGGAAAGCCTGCAGCGTTTTCTGTGGTGGCATTTTTGACAATTTATTTCATGTGCCATCCATAAAGGTTACACTTTAAATATCCCGATATGAATGGTACATATAATAGTATACTTTAGGTTAAGTACTTTAGGCAGACGTTAGGCGAGATAGTGTTTGTATGCTTATATGCAAAAGTGCAACGTCATACTTGTTTTTCTTCCTGCCTTCGCAGTTTTCCTCTTATCGGTACCTACCTAGGTAGTGTAACGATATCTTGCATTAGCTCCCGATACGTTAGTATAGTTGTACCTGGTACTATGTATCAATTTAAATATGTTCACTGTACGGATTATTATCATCGAGATATACCCAAGTCAAAGCTACTTGATACATTTTACTTGAAATAAAACAATTATGTACTCGCTACCTCGTTTCCAGGGTCTTTAAGCCGTAATTAAGCCCGTAATTTAATCTACCCAAGGTTATCCTGCCCTAGTCGAAGCCATACCTAGAACGCCGACCTGTAACCTAGTAATATCTATCGCTTTTACTGGAACACAAAGATGACTCCTGACCTGTCTACGCTAATAGTCATCGTGTAAGGCATTTCCAATACAGCCACGTCTAGGATCGAATCCAAATGGCTTCTGAGCAACTGTCCCTGCTCGGCCGATATGACCGCATGTCTGGGTGGCTTTTCTCTGCTGCTTGTAGCCTTGCTACTCTTGCCACCTTTCTGGTCCGCACCCGTCACATTACCCCCCTTTTGTAGCCTTTCTATGTTAAGAGTTAGCCCAGGTTGGTTCGGCGTGCTGACCGCGCTGAAAACCGGCTTGGCATCTTCACTATGAAGCCCGCTGAACACGCATGAATTCTCGATGCGCATTAGGTCCCAAAAACGTAGTTTCTTGTCCGATCCTCCTGTCAGGATATATCCGTACCGTACTTCGCGCTGGTCTTCCATAGCACCTGAACCAACAACCATGGCTCGGACGCCACGATCCACAGTACCGCTAGCGGTTGGCTCGATATTCGTTGCGAAACGGTCGAGCATGCCTTCGGGTTTGTCTTCATCAACGTCCCATGCTTTATATCCTTTAGGCCCGTCTTTATATCCGCCCACGCGATAGATTTCCCTACACTGTATCTTCTCCAGATCCCAGACGGAAACTTCGCCAAGGCTAGTACCGCCTGCTATGCATACCCACTTCCCGCGACCTTTAGTGGGATGAAGACAAAGGCGGTGGATGGCCGATTGGCCTGGTAATCCCCAACCCTTTAGCCTCATCTTGAATCGTAAGTCCCACAAGTCCAAGACCCCGTGCGACGTGCCGAGTAGTAGCCAGTTATGCTTCCGATCAACACAGAAACAAGTGGGTGTGCCGTGGTGCACCGGGTTTTCGAGAACGTACAAAAGTGTCATCGTACGAAGGTCAATACCTAAGACTCGAGACCGGTTGGTTGCAAGTACCAGCACGGAATTCAATTCCTGCTTAAAGTGCTCACACCAGACAGCATATTCATCTGCTGGAAGCTGATACTCGCGAAGTAGCCGCAATCGGATATACTTAATAACTCCGCTGGTGTTTGCCGTGTCGACCTTCACGATATGAACGCTGCCATCACTGGCGCAACTGACGAACGTATGCGTGTTCTCGATGAAACAGAGGGAAATAACCTTCGCGCCCGAAGCGTGCTTATGTGTCTGGCGTGAACGATGTGTGACATTGCGCTCCAACCTAGAGGAGTCCCACACCTTCACGCAGCCATCATCACTACCTGTTACGAAAAAGAGATGGTCTGGCGATGGAAGAACACGGTTGATCGCCCCCGTATGTTCCGAGAAGGTAGCGACAAGACTACCACTCGGCTTCCACGCCTCCTCGCCGCTTTGTCCCGCCGCTTTGCTTACTTTTCTCCTCGTGATTGGAGAAACGAGTGGCCCAAATTGGGCTACGTCGTGCGGATAGTTATCGACATACATGTTATCGAGCATTTTTAGAATATTAGGGTCATTGCCCTCGTATGTATGTGAAGTACGAGGTCGGGCTCCTGGCATTCCATTCTCTGAGATGGTACCGGGAATCATTATTTGCGGCGGTGGATTTTGTGCGAAGGGACCCTCGACTTGACCAAACGCATTCGCTTCAGTCGTTCCTGTCTCTGCAATAGATCTACCACTATCCTTCCGATTTAAAAGATCCAGAGCACTTGACTGGTGCCGAATGGCTCTCCTGGTGGAGTACGGAGAATCAGAAATAGAGGCATCATCATCCTGAGAAGTCGGCCCACGTGTTGTAGAGGAAGCACGACGCGACTCGTTAAATCCCATGCCGTTAACTGGGGAAGATGCCCGAGACTCCATCGGCGATAACGCTCGGCCATCTTTTGTCCTCGGCGATATTGCTCCTCCGCGACTGCTTAGATGTGAGCGATGATTGTTCATGGCAGCGCGACGCCGCTTCCCGACGGGCTCGTCTATTGTCATTGACGCATCTAGCAGAGCATCGGCAATAGTATAAGGTCCTTTATCCGAGCTTGAAATTCGCTGTCGCTGCCATGCGAGCTCATCTTCGGAAGGAGCTTCGTCGAACATGATCGTCTGCAATTTGACATTTAGACTTCTCAAGGGGATAATGTTGTTCAAGGATGTGGTGATGTTATCTTGTGCGAGCAAGTCACGGTTTCTCATTTGACTCAAGCGCCAGATAAATTCCCTAAGAACAAGAAGCTTGAATTCATCCTCGGACGTCATTCCCATGTTCCGTAGTCGAGTAAGCCATTGTTCATCCTCGTCATTCCGTTGAACTTTGTTAAGTGTTTGCGGTTGTACCTCCCGAGACGAACGGATCGCCAATGCTGTGGACGCGATAGTAAAAGTAGACTGCTTCTGTTGTTTGACAGCTTTCCAAAACAGACCTTTATCAGTTTTCTGTGCCCAGGACAATGCCAAGTCGAAGACCGTCCTCGACAGGGGTTTCTTTAGAGCGTCTAACAATTCAAGCTCGGAAAAGTCAGGGATTATTGCTGGCTTTAGGAACGGCCTAACAAGTGGTAGGACAATGCATCTGATATCAGCGGGAGACAGCAGCTTTGCGGCACTGGAAATGTATTCTGCAGCAGACTCTCGGATCCACAGATTCGGATGCATTGTGAAGCGGCCGACCACGTCTATAAGCTCCCAAGTTTTTGCTTTTGATAATAGACCTAAACTTGCAAGCTCGGCCAAAGAGTGTAATGCAGCCTGCACCACATGCTCTTCCGGATCGGTCACAGCCTGTATCATCAGAGGAAGGCTAAATTCTTCCAGGCTGGTGCTACCTAAGAAAGCGGCAATGCCTACGATCGTATCGAAGAAAGCACACTTCAGCATCCAGTCTCGATCGTTGAGGTACGTATTAAGATGAGTGAGGATGATATCGTTAGACTCTGCACTGCCGAAAAACATGCATAGTTCCGGGACGGAACTGAGAAACGCCCGGCGCACAGAGGCATCCGAGTCTTCGACAAGAGCTTTGGCATGGGCCTCGAATAGTTCAACGAGCTCGCTTTGCGCGTTATCAAAAAGCCCATCAAATGCAGCATCAGGGTCGCTTCCAGCTTCGATCTCCGGATCAGCTGTACTGATCGATCCTTCTGCTCTCAAGATAGCTGTCAACTCTAAGAATTTCGAAGCAGTTGTCGCAAGACTACCTAGGCAGGACGCGTACGTAGCTCGAACTAAGGCGCTCGGCTCCCTACGTTCCTTTCCCATAATAGGCTGTCTGGAGGCACCTGATAGAAATACCTGCATCCTGGGCATAATGTATTCGGGGAACACGTGGGCATTGACCGGCGTGACCACCGTTACAAGAGCCAAAAGTTGAGTGACAGATCTAAGAGCTGCGATAGCAACTAGATCACTATCGTCATTCAGCAGAGTCATTAGATATGGTAGAATCCGGTCGAGCTTCGCTTCGTCAGACAGCCTCTCGGAAAAAGCTAATAATATATCACAAGCTCTGATCTTTGAAGCTGCTCGGGCTGTATTTCTAAGAGAAGCTGCGACGAGAGTGAGAAATATTAGAGTACCGTCGTCTGTAGGAGGTTGCTTTCCTGCAGACGTGAAATGTTCATTATTGGGTATATTTAGTCGTACGGGAAAAAGACCTAGCCCTAGGCGAGGTGTAAAGTGAGTAAGTTGGGATGACTCCTTGTCGTCCCGGTAGCCTAAGAAATACGATATCTTGTCAAAGTCGTAGAAGACTCGGTCTATCCGATCATCGGCCTCGCCTAAATTCTTTACAGACCCTGAAACTAGAGACCTGCCTGAACTTGGATCGGTGATAAGTTCCATATACTGGTGGAGAAAGTTGTAAAAGTACTCGGGAAAGACCTTGGCTTTGTAGAAATCCAAGTATTGCTCGGCCGAGTATCGTTTTTGGGGGTCAAGCTGGATCATGCTGGACAGCATCTCTCTCAAGCCTTGGTCCGGTATCCTACTAAGATGCGAGATTACTGGGTCGTACTCGCCACGGCGATATTTGAACATCTGGCTAAGGCTGAATATGGGGGTCTCGAGGAATAGTTCAGCGATTACACAGCCAACGCTAAATATGTCCATGGACCAGGTAAGTTTATGCCCCTGGAGTTGCGCCTGAGGGTTCTCGATATGCTCGATAAACCTCTCCGGGGCAATATAACACGTACGCCGGCCGGACAAGTCGAAGAAATAAGAGTAAAACATAGGGTTATCGTCGGGCAGCATCGTAGGCTTAAAAGAGCCAGTGAAGTCGGTCAGGTACAGCCAGTTCCAAGATGTCACCATGATATTCTCTGTCTTCAGATCGCCATGATATATGTCCCGACTGTGGCAATCTCGCAGCGCGCATAGCAACTGGAATGCAAGCCATTTCTTCTCTATATCTTCGAGGAAAGGTCGTGTCGACATGCGGTCGTAAAGGGAGCTGTATATATACTGTCGCACGAGGTAGGCGTTTCCTTCAGTTTCAAAGGCACGTTCGAAGCCTAGGGCGTTAGGAACTTCTCTCAATTTATCCCTTTCCTCTTGAAATCTAGTTAGCTAAAGTAGTACGTAAGGGAAACAATCATGACTGACGCAGTATTTTGTCGCCATAATCTCGTAGAGATAGCGGGGTATAGGGCTTCACTGTGACTTTTGCCAAAACTACACCATCGTTATGGCGGGCACGGATACTCTTCATGAACCGGGCACTTCCGATCGACCTTTCGTGCACCAAGTCGGCTAACTCTGGTATATCGATGCCAGCAGAGCCGGCGTACGGCGTGGTGAGGGAGTAGCTGTTACCCATCGCGCAAACATGTGGTGGTGCTACCTAGCCAAGTTTGATGTAAGACGAAAGGAATTGACCATTTTCGATGTTTTCGATGGTTTCCACAAGATTTGTTAATGTCAACGAATTCAGTGACTCAGTGTTTTCAGTGATTCAGTGTTCTAGCATGAGAGCAAAATTGGTAATCGTGTTTGGGGCAGCTGGCAAGGCTGCGTGATCTGTAATGACGGCAGAAGGTGGGTGGGAGACTAGGAGCAGGTAGGTTCCATAGGTCGGTAGGCGGGCAGTTACCAATGCTTCTAGGTATGCTGTCACGCTGTTAGGTAGAAGCTAGAGTGGGTCATAAACCTTGACGCACAGCCTAAAATGGCCTAAAATGGTACTACCTTTATGTAGCTTAAAGGTCTTAGGTCTAGACCCAAACGTCTACATTACAGAGTAAAGAGTACATATGTCATGTACTAGAATGTCTAATTCCACCTCTACAAGTTTTTTAGAGGTATTCGCATAAGCATATTCATATAGGGACTCATTTTCGGGAAAGGTTTCTATATTCGATAATCGAGATGGTAGGCTTACGATATTGACTAAGACGAACCTCAGTAACATCATTATGCCAGGTATCTACCTAGGCTAAGGCTCTCCGTACCATACCACTGAAGATATTATCAGAATTCTCTCCCCTCATCTCCTTGCTCGTCTAATAGCCATATAGGTAGCATCATATGCGTTGTCCAGCTCCAGTCCAGTCTTACACGACTCCCCTCCTTAAGAAGTAATTACATAACAATGGCCCTCCCCGGCAGCATCCACTCCAAACACCTTTGCTAACACACCGGGTATATCGAACGAACAATCGAATAGAATAGGGAGGGCTCAAGTGTATGTGGTCGTCATATTAATATAATCGCGTCTCTTCATATCAAAAGTCCCAGGACAACCTGGTAAACACCACCACCAGAAGTCCTGCGGTCAAATCCTTGATCCGAGGCGATGTGTCATCCGAAAAGAATTAAATGCGTATTATGGAATCGAAAGCATTAAGCGTATCAATCGCGATAATGCGAACTATCGTGTCTATGTGCAGGACGAGGATGGGAAGACGCGCAGCAAGCCGGTGACGATTAGCCTGGACGTTGTTCGGCCGTAGGTCGAGGGTACACCGGGAGGAAGAGTGACGCCGGGTATCGTGCTATGCTCGGACCGAAAGTTGCGTCTAAGTCGGAAGTCCCTGAACGCCGGAGCAATGCAAACGCAAGTAAGCTTCATCAATCTATCAAATATAAGTGAACAGCGTAATATGTCGTTATCGGCTTCAGGTAAGGTGGCCGTGATGGGCGCTCGAGCCAGTCTCTGTGGACCCGTCACCTTCGATAGTTTTCCTCCAATGCTCAGGGAGGCAGACGCAGACTAATGGGAAAGCTTTTATCTCTCCGCTAGCAGGAGGCGACGTATCTCGTCCACGGCCCGAGGTGTGCGATACACCACTGTCTCTTTGAGACTGCTTTCGCGCCTCCCACTCGTCTGCCCTTTCGTCCAGCAGAACACCTGTCGCCCATCCATCATCCCAGATACCAACCACCTTCAACATATCGCCACGTTCTAGGGCAAATTCGTCGGCCGCGCGCGGTTGATATGCCCATAGAACTGCGACGCGATCGCCTGGGTGGACATCGTCTTGCGAATAATAGTCTTTGAAAAATGGCAGTTGCTCAGACTGTTGGCTGTTGACACCGGGAGGGGATGACATACCCCCGGCACTAGCCGGAGATTGAGGATCCTCACCAGCGAGTACAGAACTACTGGACAATGAACCGTGCCTACGAATGTTCATAGGAGGTGGGCGTAAGATAGCTGCACGTGGTTCTGACCTAGGACTGTCTCCAAATGAGTCCGAAGATGAGTGATCGCCCCCTCCCCTTCGCCTTGCGGTCATATATCCAGCCGCGGCGCCTGCTGCTGCTGCGCCTGCCGAACCTCCACGCTTTGATTCTCCACGTCTTGAGGACGGATCTGCCGTGTGGCCTTCTAATGCGGACATGCGAGCTATTCTTCCTCCGGGGAGAACTTCGTACTCTTGGGGCGGCGCTGCCACGTTTGCGGGTATCTGCGCTGTTTGGGGTCCTTTTCTAGAGGGTGAAGGCTGGTTGAAAATGCTTCCCTTCTGACTACCGCGCCTCCGTCGGGCAAGTCTAATGCACATCAAGAGGAGGAAAACCAAGAGAGCCAGGCCGGCGACGGATCCGACTACAACTCCAGCTATAGCACCACCAGAAAGGCCACCATTGCCCGAGGAAACACCCGGTGCCGGAGTGGCCGTCGAACTTGCAGACGAGCTTGCAGTTGGTAAAGTCATTGTCGGCGTAATCGTAGGTAGGACTACGTTAGCACATCTTGCCTCAACATCGGAGTTGTAACAACAAGTGTCGGTCGAATTGATGCCACCCGAGGCGCAGTATGAGCACAATCCAATAGTGCTGTTCCCGTATCCACAGTTTTCTGGCTCGTTAGCTATGCCTTGGATGCAACTACCAGGTGTCAATGAGCGTGGTGGTACGGAACAATCGATAAAGTCAGCTCTTATCTGCTCCTGGCGACGATCGCTAGTGCCAGGACAAAGATTAGTGTCGGCTGCCAAGTAGGCTTCACTCTCAGCAAAGTCGGTGCAAGAGTCGGCACACAAGGGCAATGAGGCCTGGTCTGACAGGCCGCAGGGCTCAATGGATTTCTGAATAATAACGTTACAGATCTTCGAGGTGGTGAAGCGGGCATATAAATCAGTAGTGTTGACAAGGTCGATGTTACCGCATCCAAGAAGATTCTGATATCTATAATGGTGTAAGTTTAGGCTACCAACGTAAGGTCATTTTACTTACTGTTCCTGAACATAGGTCGTTCGAACGTACTGGCTTAATTGCTCGTCAAAGGACGCCGTATCTTTGACAAATTGAAGAAAGGTGCTGAGAGTGTATCGGTCAGAAATTGAGACGAACTGTACGACAGGTAGATACCCCAGTCCGATCACTGAGAACTTGGGTTTACAGGGGAATGAAAACTTACAATCTTTTTCGTAGGTCATCATTCGTAGTAGAAATTGAAGCAGGCTGAAAAGCTCCGCAGGTGGTCGAACCCGATAATGAGATACAGTTGTCTTGCGCCATGGAACCAGGAACCGCAAAGAGAACCGAGAAAAGAGCTGCCTTCACCATCCATCCCGCCCCGCCAGTCGTTCTTCCACATCCTCCTAATCGGGTCCGCGACATCGCCATATCACACTCGCTCTGCTCTGAGGAAGTCGAATTGAGCGACATATCGCTGATCCTCCTAGAATTGTCGATAGTAGCGATCGTTGGCGCTATAAATGCATGATGCTGTGATCCTATCATTGCTCAATACCACATGCTACCTACTCGAATCGACTCGTTTGAGGCTGTTTGCTGCTGGGGGCTCTGATGTGTCTCGGAATTTTTGAGGTGGCTTGGCGCTAATAAGCGGTAAAGCGTGTGAGATGCTGATAGGAAAAGTAGTCTGTTTTTTTGCTTATTTTCTTGGTGAGTAAATTTAGGTCGCAGTAATAGTGGTAACTGTAACCAAAAAAAATCAGGTGGATAGTTATCTAGAGTCAATTGCTCTAAAATGGGAATTAAGAGGGAATGGTGATTTTTATTGAGAAGCTTTGTTCGTGGTAACGGTATACCGATAGGATCGGATGCGTTGATGTTTCCGTGGTGACGAATGAGTGTCTACAGTTGGAGAAAGTAAGACTGGATAGAGAAGGAACCGGAGCCAGAAACCGTATTAGTGATTAAAATTCAGGTCGCGCTTGACATGCTGTGGTGGCCTTTAGGATGCACGACGTCGGCTAGGACACTATGGCGGAGGCTCTAGACCCAAGTGAATTGAGATGGCTGGGCCTTCGGCAAAAAAAACGAATGATCGAACGGGAAGTAAACGAAGGATAACAAGGAAACAAGAAAAGAAAATAGGCCACGACGATACGCCGTGAAACCGTAAATCCGAACTGAGGAAGAGGATGATGATTAGATCGGAGGGAAAGAGGTCGAAATTTGGATATACGACTGAAATCGTCGGCAAGGAGGAGAGAGGACAGGAACAAGAGAGACAGGCTCGCGTAATCAGATTATGCCCAAAGCTGCTTCTGTGTTTCTGCGCTTCTGCGCTGCGGTCGTTGTTGCTTTGCTAGTAACTGCGATCATGGATGAATTGTGCCTGCCCCCTACCTGCCGGGTCCTGCCTCTGTCCTACCCTGGTTGCCTTATGTACATATGTACCCCACCCCCGACGCAGCGCTGTATCTGTACTTGTAGCTACTCTAATTACCTGCAGACAGATATCGATGCAGATTGTACAGTAACAAACAGCTGCTATAGACCCCCAAGTCAATACTAGGTGCGTTTTGCCCTCAACAGAGTCTTGGCATAGATTTCATCCAATGGAGCTTAACTCAATCAGTTCTATCAACCCGCGATCAAGGTTACGGCCCACCACAAACTTACTTTGCTTGCAACGGTTTACGGGACACGGGCTTCAAATTAGAGGCCTTCGTCCCATTATGTATGTATGTATTATCACCTTTATCTTCAACTTATATTCGTTTAGGTGTAGATACACTACATTCTTTAATATTATTTCTATGATATAAATAATCGAACGCATTGAAATAAATATATGGGCGCGTAATTCGATATCTTCAGAACCATCGCCTATATATAGGTACCTTATATATATGCATGTGAAGTTCAAACGATGCTATTCCATAGTAGGTACACTCGTACATATGTAGCACTTCATGCTTGAGCTACAATCCCTGTCAAGCCACGGACCTCAGACAAAGTCTTGGCCCAAATAGGGAAAGCCTCAGAAGCACCTTAAAATTACCTGACATGGATAGCCTGTCCAATCGCAAAGCTAGAATCTCTAAAGGAAAGCAAAGACACTCTTTCGTCGATCTCTTCGAAGTCGACATCTTCCCTGGCATTGTCATCGTATCACCTTATTTAACAAGTCGATCTGCTAATGAGACCGCTGTCATCTGTCATCGCAACAATGGTGTGGTGGAGATATGAATAGCCTTTGTTTGGCATGATATTAATGAAGGCTAAGTCACATCAGTATTTAGCAGCCGCTGATCAGAACGGAAACCTTTATGTGCCCACTAAGCGTGGAGACGATGGTAGTGTATCTTGAACGAGGAACACCGATGCGACGGGACACCTAACTTGGTAGTTTATCCAATTACCAAGTCCTTCCTAGTATAGTCAAGCAAGCTTCTTTTCCTATTTCAGTCAGTGTCTAGTATCCTTAGTAACCTGTTTTGAATACTGACTTGTCGGCATAGGTTTTTATAATCATCGCTGTCAACGTACGAAACATACATCAAACTTTCAGCTATGAGGCTAGATCGGCAAACCATCTACGATTCGGACGCCGATATCTGCAAGGCTTTAGGTTACTACCTTAACTCTTCAGTGTGTCACGAATCACCAAAACCTAATGGACGAAACCATCTTGTAGAATCTTAGAACAGATCGACGAGGTTAGGTAGTCCCATTGTTTCTGATTCAAGCGCCGATCAGATTAGCTGAAACTTCCACATTAAAATTATCTAAGCGTCAGCGCTGTATTTTTATGTAAGATTCGTCTGTCTCATATTCCCGCGCTCTCATATCTATTGGCTAGACCTGTTCTCATGCCTGTTGATTCAGATTCATATCGTTCTTGTATGTACTACATAGTAACTTCGCTTACCCGGGCCGCCGGCCAAGGGTCCCCAGCAAGATCCCAAGTTAGGTATCTCCGATATTGTTTCTCCGACCCTGACAGCCTGTCAAAGACGAAATGACGACGGCCTCATATGCTAAGCTGAATAAAGGGGTAGGCTAACGCTCTGCGTTTTGACCTTTCATCCTAGACTTTTACTTTTCTATTTTTATTTTTATTTTCTTTCTTTTTTCTTGTTTCGATCGAGTCTTTCAACAAATTTTATGCTTTCTTTACATAACATAAATTTTTAGCCATTCCACAATAACCAGGCATGGGCGCTTGTTTCATTTGCCTTATATGCCGTGCTTGTCTTCTCTAAGACGTTCCCCGAGATGTTCTGCCGCGTCAACAGATGAATTGCTTAGATTATCTAACGATCATATTTTTTAGTATATGTATACCACTTACGAAGTAGATAGATTTTTAACTTACATAGCGAGATGTTTAAGTTCCTAATGCTGGATACATCTTCTATATCTACTAGAGTAACGCCCCAAGATCTAATGTCCGCGAAACAAGCAATTCAGTAGTTGACAAGGCAATAAATCGCTGTGTTGATTTCCGTATAACTATACATTGTACTTACGGTATCATCCATCAGAAGATCTTCGGGTACATCAGTGCAACTCTAACTACTACGGTTAACGTTCGTACGCTTTGAAGCCCTTCGTGTAAAACTCTCGGTATTCCTGGCTCCTGCTATTCATTTGCAAGCCTGAAACCTTTGATATGCTGTTAATTAATATCAAGGCTACTTATTGCAAGAACTTTGGCAAGTAGGGGAATGACCTACGTTAAGTACGTTTATACATATTATCTACCATTCCTAGTGTAAATTCACTACCAAATACAATCAATATTTTATGTGAATAACCAAACTACTATCGCCTACTACTCGGCCAGCTTACAACCGGGTTATTCTTCATCGTAGGTTTCGAACCCCGAGTGTAAAGTTCCAGCCAGACATGAGGTCAATGTCGACCGATCAACCTATATAAAACAATTACATATCACTTAACTGCTTAGATGTTAATACAAGCAATACCAAATCTCTTTGACGCAACATTGAACTCCTAATATCAGTAAATATGCCACAGCTCTAGAACGGTAAGTATACCATTCTAGATCACACTGAATACCTCATGAAATAAAATGGCAGGAGTGTGCTGTCCGGGAAATTCAAGTTTTGAGCAATACGAATCCATAGCCGCACTTAAATTTCATAAACTATTGAATGGTCGCTCTCATAAACGGAGACGGCCCCGATTGATGTCCGAATATACAAGAATAGAACGCCCCATTACTTTCCAACTTGATCAGAAGGGGGCCTCCTTCATATCAACAAACTAATTGTAAACGAAAGATCAAGTGACTACATACACTCGGCTAAGTTAATGATATCTTATACCAAACGAGAGGGCTAAGAATTAGTGGTAACTCCTAGATATACGCATTTAGCCATAGAGAGCACTACTTGCTAATCGACGCGGAAGCCTTCCTCTGTATTTTAAATATTCTCATCTTACTCGACCAAGCGAAAAAGTATCATATGCTACTACGACGACCTGTAATGAATATCTATGAGCGCCCTAATGATCCCTTACTTGGCCCTCTCTATCGTACAACGGGCTTCTACCTGGCTACTTAGTCAACCTGGTCACTCTGCTGAAGTGGTTGAAACAGATATTAATTGCCCAGCAAAGTAAGATACAAGCATACTGGAAAATAATAGGTCGACTACCTAGTATTGGGGTAACTGATCAGAGTACTCTGCTGGAAAATACTGTCAGATATTACTATCTGTCCGATACAAATATAAAGCATAATAGAATAAAATCTATTACCAGATAACCTTTTAGTGGTATAGCGGTTTGTTCAACAAATACGTACTTCTGGTTTACATTGAAAGGCCTTATCGGACGGATCGAATGGCAAGGCTCCTTAAGCAAGGGACTTCTTAAGGGAGACTTTCTTTCTAGGGATGCCTCCCATAGGTCACTATCATTCGAAGAGTCACGAGCATCAACGGGGGATGACCACTTATATCCGCCGAAGTTCAGCCCAATGCCTGGTATTGCCCGTCTTAGAATATGGTATATGTACACCCCAACAATAATACCAGCTCTATGATTCTTCGGTCTTCTTTGCTTTCTGCGCCGCCTCGTACTCCCTTATCTGCTTAGTCCAGCTGCAAGACAAATTAGCATCCTGATACTCTCCCTACCTAGTCATGACACAAGATCAAACGTACTATCGGCTAGGGTAGAATCGATCCGGCTCCGGCATCTTATATCGCACCTCTCGGTCGGCGCTGAGCTTCCACGTCAAGGCCGTGATGCCCAGAATAACACCCATGAAGACCGCGGTATTCGCCTTCCAGTTGCTCGGTTGCGTGTACCAACCACCGGCCGGAGACCATACATGCTTGGGGTAGCTAGTGGGAGGTTAGATTCATCTGTCGAGGGCCGAGGCTCACATGGCGGGTAGGAGGGTCAGGTTGTAGCTTACGGAACTTTAGGACCGCCACCCTAGTACATAGGTATTAGTGACGTATAATCGAAGAGTTTACCAAGTACTTACCATCTTGTCCGAATGTGCGACGAACAAATTCTTGTATGGGGTCAATTGGGATAAATTGAGAGCGGGTGGATGGTTAAATATTAGGTACGTCGGGAAAGTTGCGGATTGCGGGTTGCGGTTTAAACTATTCGCCTACAGTGATATACGCCTTGCATTGAATAGTGCATTACCTAAACTTCGAGAACGTTGAATTAGCCCAGAATTGGTGGAATTCAATTGATTGGCGCTCGGGAGGGGTAATTGTTAAACCGATTATCTAAAGTGCCGGACATAAAACGGGTGGCACGTGCACGGTTCCTATCATTGGTCCCTGGCTAATCGCCCGTAGCTTCAATTCACAGAAACTTTTTCTTTAGCAGACAGACACGAGACCACTTACAAGCAATTGCTTTATTCCCCGCCAACCGTGTCGTGTCGTGTCTCAAACCCGCCCAGTGCGTTGGCATGAGGTGATCTGCGCTATCTCAAAATGAAGAGAATACGGCTGCACAGGTTATCGAGTCAATTACTCTCTACAACGCCCGCGAGGCCACCTCCTAGTTCGACAAGGATATGTCGAGCCGCCCAAACTTCCAGATTACAAGCTCCTCTATGCTGTCAAAGGAGATGGCAGACCACAGCATCTGAGGCTGCTCCCGAAAATATAAACGATGCTGAAGAACTTCCCATACTACCACCGGAGGAGGAACACATAGCACCATTGCCATCCCCGCCTCCGGAGCGAGCCTTATACTCGGCCAAGCTTGCGGCTCTGCATGCGCGACTCTCTCTTTCCTCCAAAATCCCCTTACAGACGCTCGCCCGAGCCCTTATAGACCCTTCAGCCGACGCAGACCCCCGCTTCAACAATGCGAATCTTGCATTTGTGGGCGCATCCATCCTCCAGTACCATACCTCGGAATTCCTCATTACCCGGTATCCCCGCCTGCCCATGGCCATTCTCTTCTCCGCCATGAAGGGCTACGCCGGCGTGCCGGCCCTGCACCAGATCGCACGTGCCTGGGGTGTAGAAGCGGCCGCCGCGCCCGGCGAGGAGGTGGACCCGGGGTTATTGCAGTTTTCGCACGACAAGCCGACGGTCATGATGAGCAAGTGGGGCTACGTGCGTGCCGAGGCGAAAGAAATCCAGAAATACAAGTGGCGCCGGGGTCTAAGCAGTTCGGTCTTGTACGACAATGCATTCGGTGAGATGGTCACGAAGCAGAACCAGCCGAAAGAAGGGGAAGACCTTGAGGTTAGTAAGGCGAGAAACACAAAAGATTTAACCGTCGACAACCCGGTGGGGAATGCGAACGCCAACTTCGTGCGCGCGGTTATTGGCGCCATCTATCTGTACTGCGGGCGGGATGCCGCCAAGACCTTCGTGAAGGCGCACGTTCTTTCTCGGACGCTCGACCTCTCTAACATGTTCGAATTTAAGACGCCAGCAAGGGAGCTGGTTAGGCTATGCGCGAGGGAGAACTTCGACGCCCCCGTCGCGAGGTTATTAAGCGAGACGGGTCGTCTGAGCAGGACGCCCGTCTTTGTTGTGGGCATCTACAGCGGGCGAGACCTGCTAGGCGAGGGCGCAGCTAGTAGCCTCGACGACGCGAGGATAGCAGCCTCCATCAATGCGCTAAAGGCGTGGTATCTATATAGTCCGGTCGACACCGCAGTGCCGAGCGATACATTTATGGAGGATGCCGCTCCGTTCAAGCCGGTGTACGTTGATATCGGTGAGGTTATATCAGCGTAGTCTCCGGCCTCGGAAGAGTTTCTACGCGAGAGCGCGTACGGATTATCCGTTACGGAGAGAGAATAGAGAATCGTTACTGGATAATGGCACCGGAGGGGATCATACGCGGGGGAAAAGGGATGATGATACCTAGCTGCTACGGAACTCATGAGGGTGGATTCAGGGGCCGGCATACCACGTGTGTCATTGTACTATATTCGAGAACCGCGAGCATAAATGGCCCATGTAGAACATACGAAGACAGCACCACCCACAACCACTCTTCGGCCGAGTGTAAATATCTACTTGCATGATTCAATTATCCTTCCTTTCTTCTAAATCCGTTTAAGTGTTTCCATCCCCATCTATCTGATCGGTAGGTAGTCTATCTTTTGTATATAAGGAAGTATGCAAAAGGGAAAAAAAGGGGGAGGGGGTAAGTTTCGTGGTTGATAGACCGAATTCGCGCAGCAAATTAGCTGAAATGATCGCCCTCCCCTAACCTATCTCCGATGCCCAAGCGTACTAAGCGCCTATATGCCTCCTCCTTAGCAGCGGCCTCACGTTCCTCGCGTAGCTTCTTCTTACGCTCGTAGACGGCACGTACGCAGCGGCGGATGCGGTCCTTACCCTCATCGAAGTTGGCGCGCGCGAGTGCCACTACCTTATCGACCTGCTCTGGGGTGTAGACGAAGTTCCAAGTGCTCATGTAGTCGCTTACGGCTGGGTTGACGCCGTCCACCTTCGGATTCGCTAGGAATGGTAAATATACTACGGTGATGCCTGCGCTGGGCTCCATCAGCTGCCACGACAATGCGTCGTCCGTAACTGCCTTTGTGGGCGGAGGCGGTTCCGACGACCGTTCCTCGGTCGTACCCACCCAGACCGTGCAATAGCCCAAGTCTGAATCCTCAGGGTGTGATACGTCGTGCTTCGTCTTGTCGCTTGGCTCTTCGGGTTGGTGTTTGGCTAGGTTTTGGCTCTGGGCTTGTTGTGCCTTCTGTACTTTAGTCTCTGCGTCGGCTGGTGAGTCTGCTTGGGCTGCGTCTAGCTGTTGTTCAATTTTTTTCGTCGAGTCTGTTTCCCGTGGCCACCCAACGCCAACGGGCCAGCCCTTCACGCCACGTTGGCGCGCGTACCCATCTACTACTGATAACCAGTTGTCCGTCTTGATATCTGCGGAGGCGTCGAATGCCACGATGATGTCGACATCTCGACCAGGTCGAAGTAGAGGGTAAATAGGTAGATTATTCGACATGCCGGCATCCATTAACTGTATATACTCATTATTGTATATGGTGGTTGGTGTCGTAAAGCGTAGCTTGCCTTCCATATTATACGTAAAATTAGGTATTTGTGCTGGATCGATCGGATGGACTTTCTCCAAATCTTCATTATAACCATATATCATTCCATCAACTGTAGCAAACCCGGTCAACTTCTTAACAAGCGGTCGAACTTCCCGATAATAGTGGCTAAGGGTTGCGCAGAAAGCACTGCCAAAAATACCCATCATAATGGGCATACGGAGCTCCGGTAGATGGAAGCCATTCTTCTCATGAGGTACGTCTTCTCCGTTGTTAAACCGTCGACCAAGAGCCCAAGTTGGAATTCCGGCGTTAAACTCTTCACAGAAAAATTCATAAGGCGTTAGTTCGAACCATTGGAACCATGCTTCCTGCTTTGCGATCTCTTTTGCTTGTTCTGGGCTGCCTTTCGACATATTCGCGGCTATTTCCGGGATTTCATGGCGGACTGCGGTATATATTGGCAGGGGATTTTGTCCATACTTGATGTACTCTCTTTGGTTGGAGAGTTTGAAGTCTCGTTCGTTAACACCGAGTTCGCCTTTTGGCACTAAGAGCCTTGCTGCTAATAAGATACCATATACGTCAACTAACCCAAAAGCTGCTTTAGGGTCCCCCTTTAGCTTTTCAACTACACTACTTAGGAGTAGCTTATTGGTCGGAGAAGATGTTAGGGACGAAAACGCAGCCGGAGGGTATGCGATATGAACCCCTAACCTTGCTTTTAAGTGGTCAACGATGCGATCAAACCGGCAGTTGGTCAGAGACGAATGGTATAGAGATTGCGTCCAGCATGAACCACTAACACCTGAAGTGTAGGTTACGCAGTCGAATAAGCCATCTTCTTGAGTGGCGAGGAGTGAGCCCGTGCCTGCAACTAAGGCTCGCAAGCCACCACCAGAGCCGCACATGGCTATTGTAGGAACATCTTCAGGGTTAACATCCTTCTCATCTAGGCCAAGATATTTGGCCAACGCCGCTGTCGCAATTTTCTTGCGCCGGGCTAGGAACTCTTTTTCATCGTCACAAAGCTCGTCTGAGACGCGCACCTTGGCGGAATACTGAATTTCAGGGTGAATGAAAGGGTCATGAGCCTCCTGCCATATCTCATTGGCTAGCGACCCATCTGCCATGGAAAGCTCGCGTTGAAGCTTGCGAATCTGGGCGGGAATAGCCTTAGACCAATCAGGAAGTATTAGCTCGGCGATGCGATCAGATAATGAAGACCATTCAATATCAGTAACATTTGAAAAATCTTCAAACCGGCGGGTAAAGGCTGACCAGGCGGTCTCCTCGGTTTGATGTTGTTGTGAGCCATCTTCAACATCCTTAGGAACATTCTTAGCCTGTTTAATACGGCGGGCTTGGCGGAATTGTTCGTCTGGATAGAGCGAGTAAATAAGCAAACCACCTAGTAGGAGTAAAGCCACGGGCACGACTATAAGGGGACTTTTACCAGCACCGGACTCCTTCTGTTGCTGTTTCGGGGAACTAAAAAACCCACGGGGGAACTGGGTTTGCTGTAATTGGGATGATCGACTAGAAATTCTGGATGCGCCGCTACGGATCGGCGGCAGGGCTAGTCGAGATGTTCGATGGAATAGTCTAGTTAAATGCCTTGCATAGCAAATTGCTATTAGTTGAGATCTCCGGTTGGATCTCATAACTACGGACCAGTACAAGCCTTGCTACTAGTATGGTGAGTTGGAACCTGCAACATGACTTCCGGACTGAGCTAGGATTCGGTAGAGATGTGAATAAGAGATACACTTGGTATAGGTCAGGTATTGTAATGGGAAAGTTGTGTTGTTTGCACCTAGGTTGCTGTTATGGTACGATATCGTGACATCATTAAGTTACTTTCTCATTTACATGTAGGTAGTACAAAGTCGACATGATTGCAATTATTGTTACAGAATATTTGGTCTGATATGCACGTAAGCCTACTTCTAAATTTTATATGTGCAACTAAGCATACTACCTATTTAACAAGGCTCGACTTAACTACCTGGGATATTACCTACAGATCAACCTTATCTATCAACTATCACCTTGATCGCCCACCCTTTCTGTTATGGTGGAAGAAATAGCGATGAGGAAGGCACAGTGGAATATATATAGACTATAATTGGTTCATAGAATTTCCATAATAACTTCCTAGAGTTCTCGTCAATATATTAAAGAAGGTGGTATTCGTTATGTAGTACCCTTATACCCTTAGAGAATCAAGTCGTAACTACGAATGGAAGATACCTTACAGCTTGCTACTCCCAGCCACCATCCTATTCCTCGGAATTTAGTAATTCATAACAGATTAAGGATTAAGTTGAAATATCGCAGAACGGCTTAGGTATATTAATACGACGGAATAGCACGCTTAGGTTATCCTATCACTATGTCGCTCCACAGGTGGTCTTTGCCCAGCAGGGCTTCCCGCGAGAAATCCAAAGACAGCGATCCAAACCACCGTACTAGATTCCCAACCATACACATCGGCGATACTATCTCTCGTCGGCGAGCAAATATCTCCTCCGCCTTCGCAAATTTATTCGAGAAGGATGAGAATTGCCCGAATAATGCAGAAACTAGCGGCACTCGTCTTACTAGCAACGATTTGCGGCCCTTTTCTTATATTGAAAATATAACGTCGAGTACTAGGTCTAGAGTGACGAAGCACGACGATGGATCTGATCATATTAACAAAGCCACCCTACAAATGTCTGGTCTCATTACCCAAAAATCCTTTGGGCAAGAGGTATCGCTACAGGAAACATTGCAAGAGCGCAACGCACGTAATCCTTTCAGTGACCACAATGCCAAATCATCAGAAGAGAGTACCTCGGGTGCTGATTCGCCAGCCTCACTCACTAAAGTCCGCAGCGCTTCGTCATCTTACCCGTCTGAAGGTATCCGTTCTCCGCCGGACCATTGCCATTCGCCCCAGTCGAATACTTGGACACAAGACTTCATAGCTGAGATATCTCACTACGGTACATATCCATCGGGAAACCCCCCGAGCAAATCTAGCGCTTCGGCCAACGATGTGTCAGTATTAAGTAATAGAGCTGGTAAGTGTCTTATGGAAGAATTAGCTGCAGCCGGTGGAATTTCAGATACCGATACAAGAACAGCAAGCAGTGATTATACCCCGAGACCACCGCTTTCAGATGTTGCTTCTACCAGCTATCCACAAGACAAGCTAGACAAGGACTACGACAACGATCACTTTGCCGCCGCGAGACAGGAAGTCTTTTCTGCACTAGATGGTCAAGGCCCGAGTACCTCGGCTATCCATGGCAGCTATCCTGAACCTGGACCGTCTCACACTAGCTCGTCTGACGAGGAATTTCCATTTCGGTTGAGTCATACAAGTTCTACGGATCCCCTTCGTCGGAGCGGGGAGACACGCAGGACACGTTTTACTAAAAAGATACACTGGAAGAATCAAGGCAACAATTATCATACTATGCCAGCAACTACTGCGCGAGGCGGTTCCCGACGAGGTCGGCTCCCTGAAGTTTCACCTCCCTTGGGAAGTCCGCAGCAACCTGGGTTTCATTGGACGGGATCCAACGCATCTTCTACTACACTAGTCAAACGGATCCAGAAGTTCAAGTTCAAGAAGTGGATAAAAAAGGTATGTATCAAAACCAAAACGCGGTTCGATAGCGCTATAAACATAGAAGCCGCTCCGCATGCATTAAGTAGACGGAAGTCCAAGTCGTACAGATCACGGAAGTCAAAAAGACATAACGGCGCCTACAAAGCGAAAGCGAAATCGACTAGGAGTCGTTGGAAGTCATTCAAGTCCACAAATAAAACAAATAAGGGTAATGAGGCAAGGGAGGGTATGGCGCATCGATTCATGAACTCACTGAGACCAAAGCACAGCATGCAATTCCCCATACGAGATAAGTCTAAGGCTAAGCATAGGAGAGCACAATCCTGTCCACCTTGAAGGTAACTGATACAGTATAAACATTCATGCTCCTAGGAGGTGGTTGGGTTGGTGTGTCATGGCGCTATCACGATAGTCTTGTGGATTGTATCTGTCTTTTAACCAAAGAGTTCATGGAGCAGGTCAGGGTCCGTTTACAGGACATCCTACCATGTCCTCCAAGCTTGGACTGTGAGGCTTCTCTAGAACATCGACTATAGAGTAGATGTACCAATGACAAAATGTGTTAAGGCTAGTCCTTCTTATACAACACGAGTACCGTGAAGCGAAGATATAATATTATGGCTATTTTGTGCTATAGGGTTAATGGCCGACATATATCATTTGCTTATGAAGAGAGAAATCTCGCGGGTGATCAAAGCTGGTAAAGGATTTGTTCCTAAATCAACACATATTCGAATTTACAGATTAAAAAGACAAAAAATCTTTAAATACAAGATATCTAGTCTCATACGGTAGGTTTTATTTCCTTAAGCTGTTATACCCCTATATGCCCCTTTTCAACTAATAGTAAACTCTAAGTCTCATGTAACCTATCTCAGACCTAAATCACAAGAGGGACAAGGTTGTCCAAATAGTAATTACAAGTTACTAAGTAGGGACTAATGAATACGGGCGGGAATTTCCTTGGGGAATCAGTGCCGCTTATGTCTATGATGCCTTGTCATGCCAAAGCCCCAACCATCTATTACGCAAGAGTACTGATTAGCAGGTTATAGCTTGATAGGAGGTATATATATAGCCTAGTATACGAGTTAGAATGGACACAGGCAATAACTCACATTGACTGGCCACGTGGATATCCAGATCCAGCTCGTCGGCCCAGTGCCACACCAGATCCGGATCCTTTAGGAACGCGCGCCCTACGATAACAGCGTCCGCGGACTTCGCGTCCAGGATGGCTTGGGCCTGCTTCCCCGACGTGATCCCGCCCACGGTGCCCACGAGCGTGCCCGTGCCGGCAACCGCCTTCTTGATCGCCGCCGCGTGGGGCACCTGGTAGCCGGGGCTGGCGACGATCTTCTGGCGCGCGTCGGTGCCGCCGGCCGAGACGTCGAGGAAGTGCACGCCGCGGGCGGCGAGCGCCTTGGCGAGGCCGACGGCGTCGTCGAGGGTCCACTGCGGCAGGCTGGGGTCGTGCTCGAGGTAGTCCGTGGCGGGGATCCGGCAGAAGATGGGGAAGGTGCTGGGGACTTGGGCCTTGAGCAGGTCGACGACCTCGAGGAAGAGGCGGGTGCGGTTGGTGAAGGAGCCGCCGTATTCGTCGGTGCGCTTGTTGGAGGATGGGGAGAGGAATTCGTTTAGGAGGTAGCCGTCTGCGGATGTGATGTTAGGGGTTGGGCTAGTTATATGAAGTTTTATTTAGATGTACTTACGCGCTCCGTGGACTTCGATGACCTGCTTTCGTGTTAGAGCTGTCTACTGACAACTTATCTACCTACCTATGTTTATGGGCGGGTTTACTTACATCTACACCAGCCTTCAAGGCACGCCGGACGGCAGCAACCCAATCCTTCTTGAACTTCTCGATATCCTCTTTAGTTGCTTCTTTCGGCACGAGCGTCTGCGCGTTATAAGCCTCTGGGGACGGAGCAATGACATTACTTGGCCATCCTTCCGACTGGATAATGCGTTAGTTTGGTTAAAATATTCTTAAGGGGGCCAGCTCTGTGCTTGCTTGCTTGCTTACATAGTCACGCGCCGCGGCTTTTCGGTCAATCCATGGCGCGACAGTGCTTGCTTTCCGTCCGGCATGGGCTAGCTGCACGCCGAACTTCACGCCCTGGCTGTGGGCAAAGTCGACGATTTGCTTCAATGGTGCAATGTGTCCGTCGTCCCAAAGGCCGATATCTTGGGGTGAGATGCGCCCTTCAGGCGAGACGGCGGTGGCTTCTGTCAGGACTAGACCTGCTCCTCGAGAAGCGAAACTCCCGAGGTGGACTAAGATCCGCAAGGGTTAGCTCTTTCTAGAGAAGGAATGGGAGTGTTATTTGTTGGATTTCAAACTTCCGACTTCTGGAATAGTGAAAGAAAAGGGGAGGGGGAGGGGAAGAGGGGCAGTTGCTAGAATCCCGTACCATGATGCCATATGGTCATAAACCCATCTCTTGCGGAGTATCTAGTTGATACAATTAGTTCCTCCCATAATAGAGCGAGTATGATAGATAATTTACTGGCACATCGGAGAGACGATAATGCGGTTTTGGAGCTCAATTCCATTGATCTTCAGGGGTGAGAAGAGGGAGCCTTCCGGCTGTACATCCCAAGGGGTTCCTGCAGGAGGATCCTGAACGGGCGTGTAAAAAGGAACCTTGATGGTTCATTAGTAAAACTGTCTACTGGTCTTGTTTCATTATTAGAGCCTTACGTTCGGAGCGCCGTAGTTGATCAGATTCTTCTCAGTAGAGCAAGGCTCTCCCGCTACGGGAGCTTGGTCAGCTTGGACTACCTTTTCGGCCATCTTGAATAAAAACACGAAAGAATAGCTAGGAATTGAGAGGCCTTTTACTCATAATCAAGACCAGCAGGTTCAGGGTTGAGTGATTTATACTCGAATCAGCCCTATATCGTATCGCCGAAAACTATACTACACCTTCTCCGCAGTTGTGTGTAACATGTAGTCTTACATCGTCAATCTGGATACATTTGTAGATCTTGGCAGGCCTTCATGTCCCAATAAACATACATCTTTTGCGGGTGCCTAAGGCTGTCTCTTAGTAATGCCCATACATGAGGATCCTTTCGATGCAACAGGACCGCATCGCCCATGTATCATTAGCACAACTCTAATAGCCCTATCAGCAGATAATTTGAACTTTTCTGACAATTACTATGGATTATGTCGAAATAGTCTTCTAGAGCATAGTGTCTTTGATCCCTCTCCCGCACTTAGAAACTTATTATTGTTGTTTCTTAACTTCTTCGGCCTGTTCAGCACTTCTACAATAGATCCTATATCACTTGGACCACTAGCTCCCGAGTAATACTGCCCCCCAATATTTCATCTAGGGTTAATGCAAAGAGAATAGGCTTCATTACGAATCTTGGAACTACCCCTATATCGGTATACTGCAAGGTGAATACGAGAAAAGTGGAGAACGACTCAACTCCATCATCCATGGGCAGATCTAAACAAAGTTTTAACTCTTAAACTGAGTGAATAAGCGTCTTGCAGGGCTAGCTCCGTTTAAGGTCTGACATGAGTGTACGACGAACTTCATATTATGGAGATCTGCGAAATTTCGCATTCAAATATTCTAAGCGCTGGTATTGTATGGATATAATAGAACATATCACTCAATGGCACTATCTAACACTACAAGAAGCTAGTGTACTTCTGCCGATTCCCCGGTGGCGCAATTGGCTAGCGCGTCTGACTGTTAAATAACTGTTATCAGGAGGTTGAAAGTTCGAGCCTTTCCCGAGGAGTTTATTTTTATACTTTTTTTCTCTCCTCGAGAGAGAAGGAGATTTAAAACCTTTTCTTTTGTCATGTGATCCATTGGCTCTGCTTGAGGGTTATGACTAAGTTGCATTTGGGTGCTTATATGACCTGCTTTTCCACGTGTCTAATATCTTCCGATTGCACGTATATTTGGCTGGGTAGCATTCGTAGTATAAGTGCGCAAATGATTGTATCATAAGATTCATTACTTCTCATCAAATAAATTAAATGATAGGAACCCTAAGAGGCCATGATCGGAGGTATTGACTGTTACGCTGGTCTGTATAGCACTCGTGCCGGTAGGATAACTTGTTGAATAAAGACCTTAAACAAACATCTAAAATAAATAAATTGAACAACGTAACCTGCTAAAGATCTACTACCGTTATATAGGTAAAAAGAAAAATTAGTCCATTCGTTCTTTCAACTGAGGACAAACCTGTCATCCGGTATATCTCTAAAATTTGAAGTCCACGCAAGACTACTCGTCGTACCTTGGTCCCGGACATGGGGCACCTCTTTTCCTATTCTCTGAAGTGTCTTCAACAACGACGAGTCTTCTTTATCCGAGACGACGAACCCCATATCAGCAGCGAGAAGGCACTCCAGATCGGTCGTCGAATCGCCGAAATAGACCGACGGTTTCCCGACTAGCCCCTCGGCTTCAAGCACGGCTTTCATGGCATCCAGCTTGTCATGCGAGTTGGTCAAGTTCCTCGTTTCCTCACGATGACTGCCATCGGCACCCCCCGAGTTCAATATAGGGGGCCCGACAACCGACCCATCTTCGCGTACATCGTTGGCGATGACCTTGACGCCAGATAGCTCGCCGCATGCGCCCTCGATAAATGCGGAACTCCAGTTCACAGAGAGAACCCAGACGCGCCAGCCCTCCTCCAGCCTCTTCTGAACGAACCGGGTAAAGCCACACCGGAGCGTAATCGTGCCCTTCCCAACTAAGTCCCGCCCCGCCTCGCGAAAAGCAGCCGGGCTAATCCCGCTAAAGAGGCGACAGCCATTAATGCGGCTGAGAGAGCGCGTCTCAACCGCCTTCATATGCCGTAAGAACTCCACCTCCTGAGCAGGTAAGCTGCGCGCGTGCGGCTGGGGATGGTACCCGTCTACATGGGCGCTATGGTCGTCGACGTAAGCGTTGACGACGGCATCCCACTCCTTCTGTAGGTCCTGGCCCTCGTCTGCTCTAACGCGCAGGGCGAAGTTGGCGAGTTCGCCCACGGTGTCTTTTACCGTGATCGTTCCATCGAAGTCTAGAAAGATGCTCATTATGAATGAATATAGGGTATATGAATACAAAGTACACCGAGGGGGGGGGGGGGATGATGAAGAGTGGGGAAAGGAGAAAGGGGTCGTTGTTATTTTGGCCTTGGTTGGCTGGAATTAGGTAATATAATTGTGGAGATACATGTATGTATGTAAGAGGTCTTTCTCGAGGAGTACGGAAGTACGTGGTATGGAGTCTTGAAAAGGGGGTTTATATTTAATTCGAAATGTGGTAGCTTAACATGATAGATTGATTCACTGCCAGTTTCCAGTATGTGCCCAAGAAAGAATATACAACAATTCACTTAGTATGGATATGTCAAGTGAGTCAATATTCGCTAAAGCTGGCCCGTAACAACGTTAGAAGCCAAACTATCAAAATACCAAAAACAGATTACCGCCTCGCGTATCAATCAATGTACAAACATGTTGCTTTCTCTCTAAACTTTGCGGAGTCTGTCACGCAATAGTAATAATTTTCATAGTCTGAACTTGCGCAGACTCTGACCACTAAACCTCAGTCCTGATTGTGCGATGCCGAGGGTATCATTTATGGTACAAGGTCCCCGAGTATGTATCATAACCGTAAAAAACGCCGTAACTCCTTTTCCTTGCCGTACGGCCTTTAGTCACCCATGTTTCCCGACGGAACTCTCTCCCGTACTCCGATTATGGAAGAACATCCTCCATCTCCGCGTCGGACTCCGATTCGTCCTCCTCGGGAGCAGTATCGGGCGCAGCGCCGTTGGCTTCAAGGACATTGAGTCCTCCCTTGTGATCTGAATTCAGTTCCCAGTGATTGGCAAAACGTCCGGTCTTGTGGAGAATCGCCACCTCCTCCAAGTTCTCTCGTAGCCAAGCCTCCGGCTGGTTTAGGTGTTGTTTGAAAGCTTTCATAGACCAGTAGTTGAATTGCTCGAAGCAGCCGAAGATGCGATCGCGCAGCTCGCTCTTTGGTAAACGAGCGGCCTTTTCTTCCTTCTGCTTCTTGGCTCCCTTCTTGACATCAGGACCCGTGCGCTGAAAATGTTAGCGTACTGACAGGGTTAGAGATCAGAGTCAAGAGAAAACTTACAACAAAGTTGCTAAATTTATCGTTGGAAACATGCGCGCCAGCTTGGATAAGGCCGGTAGGCCTTGCAGTAGAGGTAAGCGTGGTGGTTGCCTTCGGTTTCATCGCATCATTATTTCTTATGCTGAGCCAATGCTTAGTCTCTTCTGTCCAAGCCGGTCGACAGTTCAGCTCGTGGCGAAATCGACCAGCAAGAACCGTTTTCTCTGCAACCAATTAGTGTTCTGAAGCGGAAATTGGCTGTTGAGGCAGATGGAAATGCGTCACTGACTGGGAATAGCCTTCCTGTAATAGGGTTGATATCGGGCTTTGCGGCCACGCTTTTCACCCTCCGGCGGCGCGGTTTGCTGGGGGCGCTCTGGTTTCGGACGGAGGTATGAAGGAATATCGCTATTGGCTCCTTGAGCCTTCGATTTGTATCCAGGCAGATCTTGCTCAGTGAATAGGAATGTATTGATCAGGCTCATATCCTTAACCTCCAGATTGTATTCTTTGGGGATCTGCTGATGGGGTGCAAGTTTATGGTCCAACAGGATAGCTATACGTGGCTATGACGGGATTAGCTGGGGTTTGTAGGCGTTTCGGAATGATGAATATTATTTCACCTTTGATTCTCCATTTGGACCGACCTCTGACCACTGGCGTAGAGTACCGATTCTGATTTCGTCATTGTCATCCATGTTCGCCCAGGCATCGTAAAGATATTTTGGTACGTGGGTCAAGTAAACGGCCCCATCTTCCATATCGTTCGGGTCGTAGAACTCAAGATCTCCGGCATCTTCGTAGATGTCATCTTCCGACATAGCTCCGGGGGAAGGGCCAACATCATCAGCTTCGGACTTGATGCTAGGCTCAGGCTTGATGCCCTGCTCGGCCTTGACTCTGGGTGCAGCCATGCTGACGGCTGTATCCGCTGTGTCCGCTGTATGATGTATCCAATGGGAAGGGAGTCAAGAAGGGGATTCGGCTCTCTCGAATGATGTTGTATGTTGTATGCTGTATGCTGTAATGATTTAGATTTAGATTGCTGTGGAAATGTGGCGGGTGGATGCGGTGGAACAGTTGGATGTTGATGTTTGAAAGGGTCGAGCACGCGGCTCGTGTCAAGACTAAAAGAAGCTTAATGATGTAAGGTTAGTGGTAAATCAGCCACCACTGCAAGCAGTTCTAATTGAGTGGGTCTTCAAAGGCCTTAGATAATAGGGTTGATGGTAAGCTGATGGGTTGGCCTTAGGTAATCATACAGGAGTTTGAAATTGAATGTACAGCTAACTACCTTTTTTTAGGTATGATGTACCTACCACCTACGTAATAGTAGGTGCCTTCTAGATCCGATGCTCTGATTAGATAAGGTTAATTTGCCCCACCTAGCCCGTTGTTTTCCACCAACCCGCCTGCCCGCCCGAAACCTTCCTTGCGCCTCAATTCACGTCTTAGACATCACACAATCGGAAAACATCACGATATAGTCTTGTTAGGTTACAAGACATTAGTTCAAGGTTTGCTTCCCTCCCTTATTCACAAGCATACCTACCTAGGCATCCTAGATTGCCCTCCAAATTCATTGAATGTGATTCCGTTACCGCGCCTAACTAGAATCATTGTCATTATTGTTCACGCATTCCGGCTTCTTTGTACATTGCGACTGTAAAACTCCACCCTGACCCATTTCCCTCTCCTTCTTGCCACTAAGCAAGGAAGTCGCGATCCAGATAAACATTGCATTATATTACACTACATATCGTTCCACCTATCCGACAACCTTCTCATCTTTCTTAAAGCATATTTCCTTACGATCGACGAGGCATTTTCTCTAACTTGTAGCACCTAACTTACGTCTCATCACCTAGTCGCAAACATGTCAACATCTGAAGATCAAGAGCTGATGGCCAAGATCAGCAAATTAGCTGGTACGTTTACCATGGCATCTGTGTTCTACGTACGTCTTGCTTATTCAAAACCAGGTCAAATTAATCGCCACAAAGCCCAGCGCGATGGCGTCAATTCGGGTATGAAAACTTATTTGATTACGCCAATTATTTACTGTCCTTAGATATACTAATACGCCAAAGATCCTAACCCCCCTTCCCGAGCATCCCATTATCGTGCTGCCCCGTATCCTCGTGGTGGCTATCGTGGCGGACGTGGCCGACCCCTCCCGACCTATCGCAACAAGACTCTAGTTCTCAATGGACAATCTCGGCCTGCAGCCGATACTAGCGATACCGCCAACGAGACTTCCGATCCTGCGTCTCCGTCGTGGGTCACGAAGACCGACCGTCATATGCAGCTGATCAACACTTCTGTATACGAGAAGGAATCGCAGCAACGCGCCAGTGCCATAGAGCAGACTCATCGCCAGAAGCAATTCCAAAGGAACAACCGCGAGAAGACTGTTTTTATGAACAACGTGCTTCAGGGTGTTGCTAATGTTAAACCTGTTGGGCTTCCTAGCGTATCCACACCAGCTTCCCAATACGAGGTTGTAGTGGATGGCATTCTCTTTCGAGTTGTGCAGCAAGGCAGCAAGCTTGTGAAAGCACCCGGTGAGCATTTTCCCAAGTGGACATGCAGGTGCAACGTTTAATAACTAACAATCAATTATTAGACGACGTAAACCCCCCTTCGGCTACCCCCAAAGTGACATCAATCGGTGGTGTCAAATTTCATCGTACTAAGCACGGCAACCTTGTGAGGCACGGTGTCGTAAAAGCCCAGCGGTATGTAATCTCAAACAGATCTGAACCTCTTGCTAACGCAATACTGTTGGTAGGTTTGCTGGCGGAGTTAAGAAGGTCAACGAGCAGTGCAAGACCTTTTCATGGACCGGTATCGTCTTCCTTCATACTACGAAAAAGCCCATCTCGCGACTCGTGGAGACCTGCGGTGTGGTAAGACCCCCGGTAGAGATACTAACGATTCGTTGTAGGATCATGCCCGAAAGGCCCCGGATGTCGGTATATCCACGATGCTTCTAAGACGGCTATCTGCCGAGAGTATCTTTTAAAGGGTAAATGTCTACAAGGTGACGCTTGTGACCTTTCACATGACATTACAGAAGAGAGAACCCCTCTCTGCGTGCATTTCGCCAAGGGCAATTGCTACAACACCTCGTGCTCATATATCCATGCGGCACACTCCCCAACAGACCCCGTATGCCGATCCTTTGGAATATATGGATACTGCGAGAAAGGAGCGCTATGTCCTGATCGCCATGTATTCGAGTGTCCTGACTTCAGCAACACCGGCGTATGTAAGCTCAAGGGTTGTAAGCGGCTTCATATCGAAAGGGCTAGTGTCCTTCGAAAAGCAAACAACCGCGCATCTAGTGAGGATACAGACGTATCTAGCGACGACGATGACGCCGCAGCAGACAGCGATGACATCGACTCCGATGAGGTTGAGGAGTTTGTCAAAAACGATGGCGAAGAGGACCTCGATTTTGTCCAACAAAGGGATTACATTGGGTTTTAACAAGCCTCGCCGGTTTTTTACTAACTATCTAGGCATTGAAGATGTGGCTCGTTTGGACAAAGCCTGTATTGCCAAGGCGATGTACTTACTGCCTTTCTTAGAATCGGTTTCTAGCTCTTTAGCTAGCATCTAGACGGCACATATCACGGCCGTTGGTTGGCGTTTGAAGGTTGCCTTATTCGTACAACAGTTCGTGATACCCATTGCGATGCGTTTCGCCTTAGGCGACCGTTAGGAGTTGATACCCTGAGTGGAAGAAGAAAAAAGAAAGAAAGACAAAAGATAGTCAATTGTAATAGAAAATAAACATATTGTATAACCATGATGGTATATTGAGTAATTAAGGAGTATCTATCTGATTATATTTCACATGTGAATTCTAGACCCTTTATGATAGCCTATAAGACATGGTTATCGGACTTGAATAGGTAGGTCATAATTAGAGCCTTATGTTCTATAATTATACCAACTATAGTATTGTACCTAGAAGTTAACCCCACCAATAGGCGACTTGACGCTACAAGGCGAAGGGGCTCTACCTATGTACCTAATCTATGTATGAAAGTATGAAACCTCTACCTAATGTAATACCACCCATATTGGAAGGATTGGAACAAAGGCGTAGTTTCCCTTTGTTAGTTACTCGAAGGGCTAAAATAAGGGAAAGCAGCATATTTTATTCGTTTTATTCAACAGCGGAAATCGCAGCCCCCCCTTCCCCCCTTCTCCCCTTTTTTTAAGGTTGCTCAAAGCTCGGCGCGTAAGCTGGGGCTGAATTGAATGGGCTAACAGCTTGAATAATGGAGGCCTATTAAAGAAGGAAATGACTACCTTGAATTGGAATCGGTTCCATTAATTGTTTTTGTTTTCGTTCTCTAACATCTACAACTAGATTATCGCGTTTATATATACAACATTTATTTAATAACTATACATTTTGAAAAAAAAAAACATAAAAGTATTCAATTAGGTACCTAAGGTAAGTAAGTCATGGGGATACGCGATCTTATCAAAAAGAAAGATCGACTAGATAGTGGTCATGGCGGTGGCGGCGTAGATCGCGAAACTTTAGATAGACTCGCCGGACCCGAGTTTACCTTCATACGGTCTGATACAACCACTCAAGAGATCATCCATCCTCCGAGTTATCCGAGGAATTCTGACGGAAATAACAATTACCTAACGGCCAAAGACGCCGTAACGTCACCTTCGAAGACGCGCCGTAGTCTTGACGTCTTTAGGCCGCGATCGCGGGGCAGCAGCACATCCTCGGTCCAGAACGACGGCTCCTCGCGCAATCAATCCAGTGGCCACTACCGCCTATCACAGCGTCTGCACCTGTCTAAAGCCCCGCCTACGTCCGACTACGTGCCCGAAAACCTACCGCAAATCAACGTCTCGGCCGAAGATGGATCCGGTGGCGGCCAAGGAGGTGTCGGAGGGGCGGGTGTAGACAAGGACGCATACGAGGGACAATGGGAGAAGAGAGCAACGATACTGGCCGAAGCAAATGAGAGGGGGCAACGCCGGGGCAGCAGAACACCTGGTGTCGTGTCGCCGTCTCGGTCGCCATCTCCTTCGCCCTCCGCGGAATTGGCTGGGTTGCGGCTGCGGGATGACGGAGGAAACGGAAACGGACCCAAGACGGACGGCGTGGTCTCGTCAAAGGTGATAGACGACAACATCCAGGAAGCTATCCGATTGCACGAGGATGGGCAGCTCGAACAGTCTACGCGGCTGTTTGGGCGCCTGGCCGATCCCCAGGGCGCGAATAACCCCCTGAGCCAGGTTCTTTACGGTCTTGCTCTGAGGTCAGTAGTTGGATCGCCACCATCGTCGTTTCATTGCTATTTATGGAATCATCGTACCGCATCGCACCGCATCGCATCGCATCTCATCGCGTCTCATGCGTGTCTCACTGGCACATGGCTACGTCTAGACCCATCTGGAGAATGCCCCTGATCCCTTTTCCTGTTTCCTCGAAAGAGGAAGAGCGAGAGAGATTTATGGCTTCTGGGTAGCTATGGGTAGCTAGATAGATTACACAAGCGAATGGAGCGATGGTGGCAAAGTTGCCCACATACGAACACGAAAGTACCACTACGGAAGAAGACAAGAGTACGTTCGGAGAAGCTAACATCCTGCCTTCGTGCTTTGGCGGATCTTTAGGCACGGCTGGGGTTGCGATCCAGATCCCGAACGAGCTATCACCTACCTGTCGGCGGCAGCGTCGAATGCGGCAGCGGTCGAGAGCATGGCGCTACAGGCGGGCCTAAAGAAAGGAGGTGCCGCTAAGGGAGAGCTCGTCCTGGCCATCTTCGAATTGGCGAATTGCTTCCGCCACGGCTGGGGCATACCGCGAGATCCAGTCGCTGCTAAGCAGGTGGGCCACCAACACCATTACCGTTTCATTATTGAAGCATAACGGAGGTCAAGTGGGTGAGGAGTGCTGAGGAGAAGGGGACGACACCTTGTACCCACCAGCTAGACCTCGTCCCAAGTCCCGCTATTTTTTTTATGATGATCAAATCGACTAATGGTTACCGTCGGGCAGTACTACGAGACAGCGGCCAACCTTGGAGATACTGGTGAGTGGTTCGACCTCGTCGAAAGTAGACAATACCGTTGCTTGCTTGAACGCTCTTGGTGATGGGATAGGCTGACAGAGGGCATGTTGCTCGGTGTACGCAGATGCCATGAATGAAGTCGCCTGGTGCTATCTGGAGGGTTTCGGATGCAAGAAAGACAAGGTACGTTAGGCGCAAAGCCAGGTCTCCTCGCTGTCTATCTATTACCTCTCTTCGCTACGTATCACTTCCAAATCCGGCGCCTCACGTCTCTGCCCAAAGCTCACCACTACCACACCACGCGAGCGACAGCTAGGCATGATGAAGTGTCAGCCTCATGTGGCCTAAATTGTGGCTTGTCTGGTCAGCTCGCTCGCTTGGCTTCCGGGGTTAGATCAGGATGTCTTGTCTCCGAAGCAGTAGCGGCAAGCTAAGCAGCCCTGCTGCTCGGTCCTAAATCACGATCACGTCCCGTTGGGCAGCAATGAGGCTTGCTTCCAGCCGCAAATCAGAATCGCATACTCGGGGGCGACAGCTCTCGGAGTACCTAACTCGCCCTAACGTCCCGTCCCCATCTGCGTGCCTAAGGAAGGGAAGGGAGAAAAATCACATGAGACTAACTGTATGCTTCCCCTTTAGTATGCTGCAGCAAGGTACTACCGTCTAGCGGAAGAGAACGGCAACAAGACCCTAGGAAATACATGGTAAGTGGTCACATTTATTATCCCTTCTCGTAAGCTACTCGTATGACTAGTCTTGATTTTCTCTTGGCAAAGCCCTTTCTCCTTTGTCGTTTCGTCCCGTACGTCGACGGCGCAGCAAAAGCTACGAGACCCCGGCCGTCGCGGACGAGTGGTGTTCGGGGTAGACGATAGGCTATCCGTGTTTCCGGACATATTTGCAGAAGTTCGCCCTGTCTTTTTATTTTCCCTTTTGACAACAAGGCTCCGAGCGGGTCTAGAACAAGGATTCGCTTTTTGCTCTTTTTGGGTTCGTCTCCATTAAAAGACGGCCGCGAAAACGGGTCGCCGAGTTGGGGTCTAAACGAATCAGAGCCTCATCTTTCACCGAATCCGGGAAATGTCGCTCTTCGTTTCCTCAATTCCATTCTTATCCTCCTATGGCGCTTGCTACCGTCCCACGTCCCACGTCCATCGTCTATCGTCTATCGACTACCGTCTACGTCCAATGTAAATGCCTCAGTTGCAGCGGAGCAGTCCGGTTTTGTTCGACTCTGATCTACCCTAACTCTGCGCTGTCCTACACGCCGTCTCGCTTTGCCGAGCTTCTCCGAATCTAGCATATACCCATCTATCTACCAGTGTAACATTATTTTTACTAACCAATGACGCACGGGGTGTAGGATTTGGAAGGACAAGTATAATCCTACGAACTCCAAGAAAAAATAAGCAGCATTCCCCTCCTGGAGCGACGATGACTACGTATGATAGGCTGGTAGAGATGGAGATGACTATTCGCCAATTGGATACATGGCGTCCCCAGCCCGTGTAGCCCCTATCACGACATGCTGGCGCATTGGATACGGGTTTCTCGACAATAGGTTAGGTACCGAGACAAGCACTCGCAAACATGACGATAGAACGGGCGAATCCGCCTAGGCGTCGAGGAAAACGGAAGAGGAGGTCTTATTATTATTTGTTCCCCTTTTGCTTTTGCTTCATTCGCGGGGTTTCTTCAGAAGGGCCGCAGCCGGTAGCAACCAGAGATGCTGTGCATCATCTTTGCATATGCACTGACGATTGTGGGGGAATGCATATTTATTATTCTGTTCTTGTCTTACATAGTTTGTATGTAGCAGGAGGGCGCCGAGAGAGGACGAGCAAGTAAGAAAAAGGGGGTGTGAAGATGGTCAGATACTTCTTGTTCTTGCATACGCCATAGTTGTGATCGGCCTTGGCTTTACGGGTTTTACCTGGGTTATTCAATAGTCAAATGTGCACTTTGGGGTATCTCAACAGCCGCCTCTTACTCCGTTCTAAGCTAGAATTTACCAATGGGGATGGATATGCAGGTTGATAATTAATTGGGGTGCTTGGTTGGCTAGGTTGACTTGCTTTTTTGGCGGTCGGTCGAGGCTGATTTGACTATTCTTGAACCCCATCGTCGAGTAAAACTCGTGCCCGGTTCCCCATCCCTTTGCCCCCTTTGCCTTCCACCTGGGCTGGTTGTCTAAGGCGTCTTTCCCGTGCGGAGAAGACATGCGGCTGATTGAATCCGCCCGCAATTTGTTTCGTATATCTTAATGTACTGGCCCTTGCACATCGACTCGTGGGTTCGGAGAGCCTACGTACATGAGATACATACCTACCTACCTCATAGATCATCGTAATGTAGATAACCGTGATGAATGAGCCTCAGGCTTAGCTAACAACGAGATAGCCAAGTACCTAGGTTATCTCCCTCGCCGTCCGCTCCCTTGCGCGGGATACAGTCAGCACCGGCTTTAGCTGGCTAAGCTTTCCCTCGAGGGAACATCGTCGTCGTCATGGACGAAACCAAAACCAACCGGCTTACCAAACTTCGACAGGACTGACTTGACTACCTACCCGATGGAATCCGCCCCGGGGAGATATTGTCCGAGCCACTACCCCAGCTTACTTGCTACCGCATCGTACTATCTATCTTATCGTCTCATCTTCGCAACGTGTGCGACACGAGGGGCTGAGGGCATAGGTTAGGTTAGGTTAGGTAGGTTGTAACTTTGTAAGTAGTGTAACTGGGCGCATTAAACGGTGTCTGTCTGCCTCTTGTCCCCCGGACCCCAGAGCTCT